AAAAATTCAGAATTTTTTCCATATATAAAGGGGCATAACTCTAGAACAGTAACAGTGACGCCACCAAAATTCAAACTTGATCTGTGTTTTGTGATAATGAGCATTGTGTATAAGTTTCATTACATTTAGTTGAGGCAAACTAAAGTTAGAGAACGGAAACCAATTTTGGTACGTACCGGACGGACGTACAGACGGACAAGGGTAAAACTTAAAAAGAGAGTTTAATCATAGCAGGCACGCATGATATTCTTGCTGATAAAGTCAGTATCAAAAACAAAAATGCCATTATTTTATATGACTGCCAGGATAAGATAGGCCAAACAACTTATTTATCCCAGTTATGAGTTAAAAGAAGTAGAATCCCTGGAAGATATACAGTCATGTCCAGTTGGCAGGGTTAATCTGACCTTCACTTCTTTTTCGGGGTTCATTGGACACCATTATATTGTTATGAGGTCCTTTTGTCATATACTACAAGCAATAGGTCAATATTTTGAATACGGAATGATTGTTATGTAAACTGTCTGTCTGGCATAATGTATTGGTCAAGGATAAGTTTTCACGATTCTGTCCCTTTCTCACTGGCTTAGGGACTTATCATTTTTTATCTGGGAAGATGGGGGGGGGGGGGGGGGGGGGGCTGGTCATTTTGAAATCAAATATATATAAAATTTTCTTGATCCCCCTTAAAAACATTTTAAAAAATGTGACTCCCTCCCCTCTATTATTAAAACATACCAAAATTTTAACATGGAAAACACTTACCTTTGACACACATGATATGTAGGATATACTTTCAGTCATGTCTGCTTCTCATATACTACATTTGTATTAGCAAAAGGTAAAGGTTGTATTTGGTGTGTGGAATGATTTTTATGTATACATGTCCAACTGTCGGAATTCATCCGACCTTGAATCCCATTTTCGTGTATCATTGGTCAACATTAAGTTTTCGTGATAAGGTCTGTTAATCAGATGTAACTTTTTTGGATTTATGGGAGGATTGTAAATCGTACATGTTAATCTGGTACGGTGCTTCTGACCTTCACCTCGTTTCATGACTTCAGTGAGTGTAGAATGATTTTAAGGTGAACATGTCCTCTCTGTCAGGGATTACAACAAATGCATCATGGGCTGTATGTCACAGATGTTGGTAAAATTTTGCAAACAACTTTGCCTCGTTGAACTTTTACTTAAAATCGAAAAATAATACATTTAATATCTGTGTTATTTTCTGAAAAATTACTGGTTGAATTCTTTTAAAACATTTGTATTGAAAGCACACAAAATCGACGTATTAAAAAAGTTCTTAATTTGCCAGTCTAAAAGTCATCAAATTTCAAATTTCAAATCCATAGGTTTTTCTTTAAAAACTATATGTTGTTGATACATTAATTTACGTTTTAATGATGTAAAATAAAAGTAGGGTCACCGACTTCGTTTTACGGTATACCTTATTCAAGTGGTGTTCTAGGTGAAAAAATACCACACACAAAACGTCGAAATAAGCGTAACGTTGTCTCGTTGTTCATGTAGAAAATGGTGGATTAGTCTGGTTTTATAGCTAGCTAAACCTCTCACTTGTGTGACAGTCGAATAGAATTCCATTATATTGACAATAATGTGTGAACAAAACAAATTACTGGAACGAGTTAACATTCTGTAAAGGCAAAGGCAGAAATACCTAATTCCAAACGGAGTAAAAAATTATAGATAGTCTATTGTACACTTAAAATAGGAAATAGGAGTAAAAAAGAAAAAGTTCGAAAGAAAGAACTGCCATATTCATATTTTGGTATACAGAGGTATTGTGTCAGAAAATATGTGTAATTCGTAGGTTACAAAAGAACATTTGGATATAAAGTACGAAAAAATGTTACAGGAAAAAAGTCACAGAAAATAAACTGAGTCACGGAAAAAAAGTGAAAGGAAAAAAGGTCACATGAAAACAGGTTAAACACCACATGAAAGTAAATAAAGTCACAATCAAACAAAATTGTAAATTAATTATTTGAATATATATAATTTTTATAATATTTTTATTAAGATGTAACCGGTACATATAATATGTATTATATGTCTCTGGATGTGGGGAGAAACATAAATATGTGACATGTAATATATGTCTCTCATGTATGAAAAAATCACAGGAAATGATTTGAAATTGTATATAGTAAATTATATCAACTAAATAGTGTTTCCGAATATTTCAACACCTTCGATATGTTACTTCAATGTTCAATAATTACATTAGATGTATATTTCATTATTATACGTTATTTTGATTGGCTAACAGCAATCTCGCGTCATTCTTCATTTCAAAATATATATATATATATATTTATTCAAGATAAAAAGGCATGAATTTGACAGATACAAAATATTACAAAGACACAGATACAGCACTAGACATAGTTTATAGACACTAAAATGATATACATGTTTACTAAAAATTTTAAATTAAGAAATAAAAAATAAAATTCTGAAAATTTTCATGATATTTTGATAATATGATTAGACTAGATTAAAAATGAGTGAAATTTAACTTGACTAGATTTTACACTGTACCCTAATATCTTAGGATGACCCACAAAAGTTAGTAAAACTTATTTCCAGTGGGGTCCTTTTATAACGAGACTTCCAGTTTACACCAAGGGTTGACACATAGAAAATACAAGCACAAATAATTTAGAATTTATCACAGATAAATGGTCAAAGCCCCAGTATAATTAATAAAAAACAAATTCACTATTAAAGATGGATTTAAATTTATCCATCAAAAATTTTTTCACCTGCACTTTAAAATTATATCTTTTAGAGCAACTTTTAATCATGTCTGGTAACGAATTCCAGTCTTTTATTCCATTATAAAAGAAAGTGGTTGATTCACACCCTTTAATTCCTGGTATATAAAAGTTTTTACTACTAGATCTTGTATTGAAAGATGTTTCATTTTTAACAAAATTAGTATGTAAATAATTTGGGCATATGTTGTTAAAAATGTTAAAAACATGATTGAGTCTTAGTTGTTTGACTCTATTACTAATATTTAAAAAGCCCAATTTCTTGAATTCAATATATGTCACACTCTTTCTGGGATGTAATTGCAGAATAAATCTCACAATCTTATTTTGTGCCACTTGAAGTTTATTCTTCATTTGTTTTGATATACCTTCATACCAGCATGCACATGCATAGTCAAAATGACATTGAATCAGGGAAGAGCACAATGTTTACCTAGATTGAAAATTTAGACACTCTTTGTTTCTATATAAAAATTTAAGCCTTTGATTGACTTTTTTCACTATAGAGTTGACAATAAAATCACCAGTTAGAAACTGATCAATTATTATTCCCAAATATTTTACAAAAGTTTTGGATTCAATATTAATACCATTACAGGAGATAGCAAAATCACCCGGTATTAAAGACCGAAGTTTTCGACCAGGACCAAAAATTATGCTCTCCGTCTTTACCAAATGTAAGGACAATTTATTGTCAGTTAACCAATCATGGCATGATTCCAGCATTCTGGATAATTTATGCGAGATGACCCCAGGGTCTATATGGGAAAATAAAATTGCAGTATCATCTGCATATATCAAAACTTTACAATCTGAGTCGATGCTAGTTTGAACATCATTGACATAGATCAAAAACAATAGTGGACCCAGTAATCTACCTTGAGGGACACCACATGTAATATTACACACTTCTGAAATCACCCCATTTACACTTACAACCTGTTTTCTGTTTGTTAAATATGACTCAAACCAAGGTATAGATCTAACCCCAATTACTTCTAATTTGTCACATAATATCTTGTGATCTACTGTGTCAAATGCCTTCTGTAGGTCTAATAGGACCATGCCTGTAAAAAGACCTTTGGCTGTTTGAGCTTTAATGTGATCTATCAAGTGAATGAGACAAGAATCAGTTGAATATGAACTTCTAAATCCTGATTGAAACTCAAATAATAAATTATTTGAAATCAAAAAATTTTCAAGTTGCTTATAGGCAGCTTTTTCTAGAATTTTAGAAACAATACTTAAAATACTGACAGGCCTGTAATTTTCAGGCTTAAGTCTGTCATTTTTCTTAAATAGGGGCTTGACCTTAGCCATTTTCAGATCGTCAGGTACCGTACCCTCAGATATAGATAAATTTATCAAGAAAGTAATGGGTATTTTCAGAATTGGGGCTGCATCCTTAAGAAACCTTGCTGGAATACCATCTAGGCCCATGCTCTTACTTATATTTAAACTGCATAGTTCTTTATACACAAACTGCTACATGCTTGAGGTTAAAAAAAATATCTGATTTCCTTCTCTGAACATAAAAGGATCTAACAATATTTGTAGTGGCACTATATAAACCCTTTGCAGTTGGTAGTTTTTCTACCAGTTTTGCAGCTATAGTTGTAAAAAACATGTTAAAATTATTTGATATTTTTTTGTTATCGTGACAGAAAATGAATTGCATGAATTGAAACATACATGATGACACACGTTTCCACAATAAATTGCACAGGTAAATAAAAGAAAAACTTGATAGTAATCGTGTTAATTCATGATCATAGCGAAAAAATGTAATTATAAGTATTGAATGCTTCTTTTGGTAATTTCATAGGGTTGTAAAAGCGTTGACCGTGCGTACATTTTTAAAATGAAGCGCTTCATACAAAATGTACTTCGGTCAACGCTTTTACACCCCAATGAATTTACAAAAAGAAGCATTCAATTCTTAAATATTTGACAAATATTTCAGGCGGGGGGTAAAAAGATATGACCTTTTTTTCATAAAGCTTAAGGATTTATTCTGCCAAGACAAAATCTCAGTGAATATTATTTCATATTTGTTGTTTATCAGAGACATATATATGTATGAATTATTTTCTGATCAATCCGACTATAAATTTTGATTTGTAGGTAGTTCTATCTTATGTAACTTGAGTAATGGTTATTAGATAAAACCAAACCGGAAGTATAGGTTGTTGCCAAGAAACTTATGCAGCCGACAAGCACCTGCTTTGAATTTATCTTTATTTACAGCAAAATTTGACAAAGTTTACGCTAGGCACACACTGTTTCTCAGTTTAAAGGAGTTGGAGATCCTTCGATTTTACGTAACAATTAACTGTACAAGCAATTCAATGCATACCATTGACTGATAATACAAAAGTGCATGGGGGTGCATGTACATAATTTCTAAAGCCTAAAGGTAGTTTTTCTTCTAACAATGTGAAATCACATATGTCTATAAATCTTGTTTGGTTAAAGAAGTCGTGACTGAAGGGCTGATACCATTCTCCTAATGATTTTATCAGTGGATAAAAAAAAGAAACTTTTTAAGGGACAAAAACTGACAAATATAGATCTGTAGATGATCATAGATGAATTTTGAATTTGTGCACTTTCCTGTACATTTCCGATGTCACCAATTATACTTATGTTATTACGTCACAGTAAAAGTCATTTCTTCAATGACATAATTCATGCCAATTGACCTCGGGTTCACCAGTGTAACTCATTAAAAAAATCACCTCAAGATCAGGTGTGAACAACACAGGTGAAAAAGGATTAGCAATCATTAGCCAATATCTCCCAGAGCCTAGCAGAGGCATTAATATGATTATTGAGAGGGCTTTCAGGATTATCATACTATACTCAAGTGGCAGTTTTATTACCAGAAAAGTATTTCTAAACAAAAAATAGCAGTGGCGGATCCAGGGGGGGGGGGGGGGGGTTTCCGGGGGTTGGAACCCCCCCTTTTTTTTTGACGATCAATGCATTTGAATGGGGACATATAGTTGGAACCCCCCCTTTATCCTGGGTTGGGAACCCCCGCCCTTTAAAAAATGGCTGGATCTGCCCCTGAATAGTGCCAATGATCTCAATGAAATGACAGAGATTATTTCTGTAAAAAAAATATTTTGGACCTAAATCCCGATCTGCCATTTGAGAGATTGGTCTTTCAGTTTAATTCATGTCTGACTAATATGACAATTTCCAGACCTATAATCAGACAACATGTCTTGTGATCATCTGCAGGATGCTGCTTGATTTATAATACTTTTTTTGAATTTAGAATTTCAAGGGGTGAAAAAAAGTTGTCTTGTCATACCTTCTTCTCTGTGATGTTCTGCCTCACTTAGAGTGGATATTTACCATCCACTGTTATACTAAGTGGATATTTACCATCCACTGTTATACTTAGTGGATATTTACCATCCACTGTTATACTTGGTGGATATTTACCATCCACTGTTATACTTAGTGGATATTTACCATCCACTGTTATACCTAGTGGATATTTACTGAAATAAAACACAATGTACATGATATAAGAATGTGGTAATTGCAGGAGCATTTACCTACTATGAACTAATGTACTTTCAATATTGTCAACAGTGTAAGAGTCTAATTGAGAAACCTAATCTTGTAGCAAACGTTTTGATCAGTATATAAGAGAGGCGAAAGATACCAAAGGAAGAGTCAAACTCATAAGCCGAAAACAAACTGACAACGACATGGCAAAAAACAAAAGAAGTTTGAAAAACAAAACAACAGTCTACAAAACACAACATAAAAAACTGAAGACTAAGCAACACAAATCAAACCAAAAACCGGGGTGATCTCAGGTGCTTCGAAAGGGTAAGCAGATACTGCTCCACATGTGGTATCCGTTGTGTTGCTCATGTAAGAAGAAGCCCGGTGATAAGTCTAATTTGGTAGGTGACATTCATGAAAAAAGGGTCAGGATTGTGGTATTAACAATTGGAACATAACCATGGTCATCTGTGAAACAGATATTCCATAACGGTCAACAATTCATGAGGGTGACCTTACAATTTTCCAAGGAATGATTTCAACTTCACCTTTTGGAACTCTTGCTTTAATAGCTTCCTTGTAAGCAGTAACCCTCTATCAAGGAAATCATGATAGGAAATGCAAGCTCTGGAATATCGTATCAACTGGGAGAAATGATCTTCAAATGCAGGCGCTGCTAGAATGTTGCTCATAGAAATGGAAAGTTCACAATTTGGAAGCTGAAATCATCTTTTTTGTCGTAAATTTAGTTCTCGACCGACCTTCAATGTCAATTTCTAAATGTGCCTGTCCCGGTTGTCGTTTGTTGCTGTTTATCAAATTTTTGTTTTTGTTTATAGTTTTGTACATAAACATGATAAATCAGGCCGTTGGTTTTTGTCGAGCCTGCGACTTTTGTCGCAGAAAGCTCGACATAGGGATAGTGATCCGGCGGCGGCGGCGGCGGCGTTAGCTAACTTCTTAAAAGCTTGATATTTTAGAAGGTGGAAGGTCTGGATGCTTCATACTTTGTATATGGATGCCTCATGTTACGAAGTTTCCGTCAGTCACATGTCCAATGTCCTTGACCTCATTTTCATGGTTCAGTGACTACTTGAAAAAAAAGTTCAGATTTTTTGTAATGTTAGATTCTCTCTTATTATAAGTAATAGGATAACTATATTTGGTATGTGCGTACCTTGCAAGGTCCTCATGCCCGTCAGACAGTTTTCACTTGACCTCGACCTCATTTCATGGATCAGTGAACAAGGTTAAGTTTTGGTGGTCAAGTCCATATCTCAGATACTATAAGCAATAGGTCTAGTATATTCGGTGTATGGAAGGACTGTAAGGTGTACATGTCCAACTGGCAGGTGTCATCTGACCTTGACCTCATTTTCATGGTTCATTGGTTATAGTTAAGTTTTTGTGTTTTAGTCTGTTTTTCTTAGACTGTATGCCATAGGTCTACTATATTTGGTGTATGGAATGATTGTAAAGTGTACATGTCTAGCGGGCAGGTGTCATCTGACCTTGACCTCATTTTCATGGTTCAGTGGTCAAAGTTAAGTTTTTGAGTTTTGGTCTTTTTTTCTAATACTATATGCAATAGTTCAACTATATTTGGTATGTGCGTACCTTGCAAGGTCCTCATGCCCGTCACACAGTTTTCACTTGACCTTGACCTCATTTCATGGATCAATGAACAAGGTTAAGTTTTGGTGGTCAAGTCCATATCTCAGATACTATAAGCAATAGGTCTAGTATATTCGGTGTATGGAAGGACTGTAAGGTGTACATGTCCAACTGGCAGGTGTCATCTGACCTTGACCTCATTTTCATGGTTCAGTGGTTATAGTTAAGTTTTTGTGTTTTAGTCTGTTTTTCTTAGACTGTATGCCATAGGTCTACTATATTTGGTGTATGGAATGATTGTAAAGTGTACATGTCTAGCGGGCAGGTGTCATCTGACCTTGACCTCATTTTCATGGTTCAGTGGTCAAAGTTAAGTTTTTGAGTTTTGGTCTTTTTTTCTAATACTATATGCAATAGTTCAACTATATTTGGTATGTGCGTACCTTGCAAGGTCCTCATGCCCGTCACACAGTTTTCACTTGACCTCGACCTCATTTCATGGATCAATGAACAAGGTTAAGTTTTGGTGGTCAAGTCCATATCTCAGATACTATAAGCAATAGGTCTAGTATATTCGGTGTATGGAAGGACTGTAAGGTGTACATGTCCAACTGGCAGGTGTCATCTGACCTTGACCTCATTTTCATGGTTCAGTGGTTATAGTTAAGTTTTTGTGTTTTAGTCTGTTTTTCTTATACAGTATGCCATAGGTCTACTATATTTGGTGTATGGAATGATTGTAAGGTGTACATGTCTAGCGGGCAGGTGTCATCTGACCTTGACCTCATTTTCATGGTTCAGTGGTTATAGTTAAGTTTTTGTGTTTTGGTCTGTTTTTCTTATACTGTATGCCATAGGTCTACTATATTTGGTGTATGGAATGATTGTAAGGTGTACATGTCTAGCTGGTAGGTGTCTTCTGACCTTGACCTCATTTTCATGGTTCAGTGGTCAAAGTTAAGTTTTTGAGTTTTGGTCTTTTTTTCTAATACTATATGCAATAGGTCATCTATATTTGGTGTATGGAAATATTTTATGATGTACATGTCAGTCTTGCAGGTTTTATTTGACCTTGACCTCATTTTCACGGTTCATTGCTCAGTGTTAAGTTTTTGTGTTTTGGTCTGTTTTTCTAATACTGTAAGCAATAGGTCAACTATATTTGTTGTATGGAAGGATTGCAAGCTGTAGTACATGTCTGCCTGGCATTGTTCATCTGACCTTGACCTCATTTTCTTGGTTCATTGGTCAATGTTTAGTTTTCTTGGTTAAGTCTGTATCTTAGAAACTATAAACAATAGGTCAACTATATTTAGTGTATTGAATGATTGTAAGGTGTACATGTATTTCTTGTTTGGTTTATATGACCTTGACCTCATTTTCTTGGATCATGTTAAGTGTATGTGATAGTTGTAGTAAAGCTTTATATTTAGGACTATCAACATAATATCAATGATTAGTAAAGAAGGCGAGACATTTCAGCGTGTGCACTCTTGTTACATTTGAAATTTCTTTAAACTTATCATTTTGGGGCCCATTGCAGCTTGCTATGCGGTGTGGGCTTTTGCTGTGTGTTGAAGCCGTAGGGTGAACTATAATTGCTATTAACTTCAACATCATTTGGTCTCTGGTGGAGAGTTGTTATATTGGCAATCATACCACATCTTATTTTTATATGGCAAAAACGGTCTGTTTAAACAATTTTATTTTATGAATAACATGTGTGATTATTGACAACATCACATATGTGCATTGCTTGAATTTTCTTCTAGTTACATGAATAAAGTTGAAAATAAAGTCAAGATTCAATAAAGTTTTTTTATTTTAATTTATGAACCAAAGAAATAAATATTTCTATTTGTAAGTACCATCGGGATATGATAATGAGGTCCTTGTGGTCTTAGCATACTTTGGCAACAGACGTATATATTCTTTGCTTTTAAGAACTACATATTTTTACAGGATATAGAAACAGGTATAAGACAATTCCTTCTCGATTTTGTGTACGTTCGTGATAAATTGTTCATACGTTTTAATGCTGTGAAGTGTTGACAGACAAAGTACAATCAGTAAATCTCTGCAGATTCCGCTACCCTACGTTGTCATAATCGTTTAGAACGAGGCAATGATGATAACTTCCGATATAAGCAATTGTCCTAAAAATGACTCGTGTAAACAGTGGATAAAAATGGAAATAATGTGCACGTTCGTTGTCCTTGATGTTGATGGACATTCGAAAGAAGCGTTTTTCTTTCTTTTTTTTTCCTCTTACAAGATATAACCGAGGCAATATAATCTAAATACAAATAGGTCAACTATAAACGTCTTTGTTTTCATACACATTAACTTTCAACTGACAGCTGTTATGTGCATTACGAATAATTTTCTGTAAATGTTAATTTGACGGAATGTAATCACATATGAACAGCATATTTAAATGTTAGAAATCATCCATTTTCACAAATCAAATTCACAAAACAAGTAGTTTAAGACAAAAAACACACTATTAAGAACTGGAATGAATAAAAACCATTCACCCTATATTTTTTCAACATATTTGTTTTTCATCTTATACTTGGTGATGTATTAATTGTCCCATTTAAAAAGGGTAAAAATGAGGTTTTTGAAATATAATCTTTATTATAAAAAAAAGTTGATAACCAACCAAAATATAATTATTCATACTATCTTTTCATTATATCAGCAACATGTTTGCCCATTTTGTAGCATTCAATTGCTCCTTACAAAAAAATATTATATGTTTTCCCTGCTATACCACTAAAGCACTGTGTGAATGGACTGTCACCCATAGTTTAATATTATGAGAATATTATCTCATTTTAATTAGTATCCCATAATGTTTTTTTTTATAATTCTTTTTTTATTTTTTTGCAGAAAACTTTTTTTCCAGAGGATGAAGTGGTACCACGCTTGATTGATGAACTAGTTAAAATGGATGAAACTTTATCATATGACCAAGAAGATGCTCTAGTTAGAGGACAGATTCCTTTATATGAGTTTAGAGTAGGCATTTTGATCATTGTTTTTGTAATTAGTAATCACATGTCAGTTATTTCATACATGTAAAAAAAACAGATTTTTTGTTGCAGTCAGTCTATAGGTGGTTACACCCTTTACAAAGTCTCTACACTTGATACCATTAATGTTTTAATGGAAACTTCCTAAAATGAATATATATAATAATATTAATACGTTTTTAAAAAGAATTTTATGCAGGTTAAAAAAAATGGTTACTTAACAATGTTGCTCTCTTTTTTAAACAGTTTATAGGAATTAGGACAAGTTTCATTCTGCAGATAACTGTATTTCTTCAATCAGATATTGTAGAAATAATTAATATTTAATGACATTTTATACATGATAAGTTGTATGTTGATATTTTTTACAGGAAGTATTGAAGAAACAAGATGAGAGTAAAATAACGACTATTGACTTCTCAAGGAATGGCTATTGTAATGATGCTGTACTCAAACTCATTGCAGCAGAAAAAAAGGTATTACTACTGAAATTTGGTAAATAGATTTTTGTCGAGCCTGTGTTTTATAAACAGCTGTGTCCATAACCAATCCCAGCAAAACATACTAACACCTTTTTCAATAGGTGAATTATATATCGTGTTCGTATATAATTTCTGTACAGACTTTTTATAAATAGCGTTGTCCATTACCAATCCCAGCAAAAAAGACTAACACCTTTGTCAATAGGTGAATTATATATCATGTTCGTATATAATTTCTGTATAGACTTTTAAAGTTATGCTGCGTATACTATATACATTTATTTTGTGGTTATTTCTATTGTAACCTGATTTGACCTTTCTTATGTACGATAATTACTGTTAGAAAGGTGTGTGTATGTGAGAAGATTATCTGGATTTACTCATTTGTATATAGGCAATGATTTTTCATCAGTAATGATCTGTGGTAATCAAGTAGAAGCCTTGGATTTTCAATGATTTAAAAATGATTAAGCTGCACCTGGTGTTTCGGATATCATTTAGGTCATTTTTGACCAAGGCAATAAATCCTCTTCAGGTACCCTAGCCTTGTATAATTATAATTACTATGTAATTAAAATTCGATCAGTTCGTGCTGTGGTAACATATCAAATGTAGTAGTATTTTTAGGGCACTATTGTCGCAGAAAGCTCGACATAGGGATAGTGATACGGCAGCGGCAATGGCTGCGTTAACTAACTACTAAAAAGCATTATATTTTAGAAGGTGGAAGACCTGGATGCTTCATATTTTGTATATAGATGCCTTATGTTATGAAGTTTATGTCTGGCATATGTCCATTGTCCTTGACCTCATTTTCATGGTTCAGTGACAACTTGAAAAAGAAGTTAATATTTTTTGTAATGTTAATTTCTCTCTTATTAGGAGTAATAGGATAACAATGTTTAGTATGTGCGTACCTTGTAAGGTCCTCTTGCCTGTCAGACAGTTTTCATCTGAACTCGACCTCATTTCATGGATCATTGAACAAGGTTAAGTTTTGGTGGTCAAGTCCATATCTCAGATACTGTAAGCAATAGGTCTACTACATTTGGTGTATGGAATGATTGTAAGGTGTACATGTCCAACTGGCAGGTGTCATCTGACCTTGACCTCATTTTCATGGTTCAGTGGTTAAAGTTGAGTTTTTGTGTTTTGGTCTTTTTTTCTGATACTAAATGCAAAAGGTCAACTATTTTTGGTGTTTGGAAATATTTTACAATGTACATGTCAGTCTGGCAGGTTTTATTTGACCTTGACCTCATTTTCACGGTTCATTGCTCAGTGTTAAGTTTTTACGTTTTGTTCTGTTTTTACTATAAGCAATAGGTCAGCTAAATTTGGTGTATTGAATGATTGTAAGGTGTATATGTCTGTCTGGCATTGTCATCTGACCTTGACCTCATTTTCATGGTTCATTGGTCAGCGTTAAGTTTTCATGGTTAAGTTTGTTTCTTAGATACTATAAGCAATATGTCAACTATATTTAATGCATAAATTTATTGTAAGGTGTACATGTCTGTCTGGCATGGTTCATCTGACCTTGACCTCATTTTCATGGTCATTAGTCAATGATAAGTTTTCCTGGTTAAGTTTGTGTCTAAGAAACTATAAGCAATAGGTCAACTATATTTGGTGTATGGAATGATTGTAAGGTGTACATGTATTTCCAGTTTGGTGTATCTGACCTTGATCTCATTTTCTTGGTTCATGTTAAGTTTATGTGATACTTGTAGTAAAGCTTTATATTTAGGACTGTCAAAATAAAAATCAATGGTCAGTAAAGCAGGCGAGACATTTCAGCGTGTGCACTTTTGTTAAACATTAACTATGAAATTGATAAATCATACATAATACAACCATACATTGATTCTCATGTTTAATGCATCAGGAAATGAGTTTTGAAAAACATGGCGTATGATTATATTGTATACCTTTCCAGCAGCTATTTTTGTGGAGTGTCTGTGTGGAAAAATAGATAATTTATATTATATAACCTTTTCATTAAAAAACACAAATTAACCTATTAACCTTGCAGTTGTTTGATAGTTAAGAAGTAAAACTTGTATGCTTTGTTATAGAAACCATACGAGAATTTGAAGACAGTGAATTTAGTTGGTTGTATCCTTGTTACAAATGCTGGCATCAAATGGTTATCTGATTTAGTTACTGGAGTAACAAGTTTGAAAGAGGTAAGCACCCAGCACTAACTAACATTTCTAGTTTTATACAGTTATTTTGAAGCCAAGAAGAGAATTGTGTTTTAGATTACAAAATTGAATGTTTGTACAGTAGTTTGAACATGATACAGTCAGCTCCACTTAATCACATACCACTTATTTGCATTATTCGATTAACTGCATGATTTTCTCCTGCACCAAACTATTTCCTATTTATCTAATGTTAAATTCTACTATTTGCATAGCCTGTCATGTGGTCTTTTTATTTGCATAGTCTGTCATGTGGTCTTTTTGTTCATTGCATAGAAACTTTCAACTACAATAACATATGTGTAATAGTGGTCTCAGTTTTTATCTTGTTTGGCTACACAAATAGCTGGAATCCACTGTACTATTCAAAGGTTTTTTTACTTGAAGAGAAACACTGTAGTTGTATGGAAGTGGAATTAAACTGAAATATTAAAAAAACAAATTAAATTTTTTTGTCTTTGTGAATATGTATCTGATGGTGTTGACTGTCACGTTAACTGTAACTCAAATATAATGCAGAAAAAAGTCAAAAATGTTTTTATCATCATTGCAATAAAATAATCTAAATGAGGATATAATTTATTTGGTGGGGGAACCTGTCATATTTGATGATTTTTATTTGCGAGCTGTAGACAAATTCTGTTTTATTTTTAAATATCTGGTCACAGTACATTGAAAACAAAAAATTGCATCGGTTTGTTGTCTTTATTGCGTGCTTAAAGTTTCAATAAATCTGCTAAATCAAGAATATTAAAAATATGAATGCTTCTTTCCATACATCCTTACATTTTCATAATTGTCAGATTTATTAAAGTATGTCAAGGGAGTTATAGTTAAATTGAAAAATGTTTAGGAAATGGAATGCCTTTAGTTATAAACCAAACTTTTGTGAGTATTGAAGTGAGAGGAACACATCAATTTTAAAGCTATATAACATTGATCTGTATTTTAAAATGGATTTTGTTTTTTTGTGTTTTTGGGATGCTGTCTTGACGGAACTATATGAGATTGCTATTGGCTGTAAAACTCAAGTAATAGATTTTTGTCGAGCCTTCGACCTTAGGCGAAAAAGCGAGACATAGCGATCCTACATTCGGTCGGCGTCGTTGTCGCCGGCGGCGTCCACAAATATTCACTCTGTGGTTAAAGTTTTTAAAATTTTAATAACTTTCTTAAACTATCCTGGATTTCTACCAAACTTGGACAGAAGCTTGTTTATGATCATAAGATAGTATCCAGTAGTAAATTTTGTAAAAATAAAATTCCTGTTTTTCCGTATTTTACTTGTAAATGGACTTAGTTTTTCTGCAGGGAAACATTACATTCACTCTGTGGTTAAAGTTTTTAAAATTTTAATAACTTTCTTAAACTATCCTGGATTTGTACCTAACTTGGACAGAAGCTTGTTTATGATCAAAAGCTAGTATCTAGAAGGAAATTTTGTTAAAATTTGTACCTGTTTATCCATATGTTACTTATAAATGGACTTTGTTTTTCTTCCAGTTAACATTAAATACAGTCTGCAGTTAAAGTTTTTAAAACATTTATTAGATTCATAAACTATCCTGGATTTATACCAAACTTTGACAGTAGGCGAGACACTGGGTTCCGCGGAACCCTTGCGAATTTTTTTTAAGAGCAGTTTATATGAAGGATCTGTCAAATTTCATGACTGTTTGATTTCAATAGCCAGGGTTATCTGTGATGATTTCAATAGCCAGGGTTATCTGTGATGATTTCAATAGCCAGGGTTATCTGTGATGATTTCAATAGCCAGGGTTATCTGTGATGATTTCAATAGCCAGGGTTATCTGTGATGATTTCAATAGCCAGGGTTATCTGTGATGATTTCAATAGCCAGGGTTATCTGTGATGATTTCAATAGCCAGGGTTATCTGTGATGATTTCAATAGCCAGGGTTATCTGTGATGATTTCAATAGCCAAGATTATCTGTGATGATTTCAATAGCCAGGGTTATCTGTGATGATTTCAATAGCCAGGATTATCTGTGATGATTTCAATAGCCAGGGTTATCTGTGATGATTTCAATAGCCAGGATTATCTGTGATGATTTCAATAGCCAGGGTTATCTGTGCACACTAACAGAATAAACAGAAAAGGAAAATATTTTTAATTTTCAATCGTAAGTTAATGAATTCTGTTACAGATAAGATTGGACGGGTGTACCAACTTGTCAGATGATGAGCTATCGTTGTTGTTGAAGAACATAGGAGCAGAATGTGAGGTTTATATGAGGGGAACTTCTGTCACTTATCTGTTTTCACCAGAGGGCAGGAAAGTTAATGTTACAGGCTGTCCAACACTCAGTGGATTAAAAACATTAGGTATGTAAACAAGAAGGAAATAAATTGTGTTCTAAATTAATAGGTTTCAAAACCTATTTTATTAAATATTCTAAATAAACACATAAGGCAATGATTTTGAATATTAACTTTGTTCAATTTGAATTTTTCTGATGTTCAATTCTGCTAACAACTGATGATTTTCATAAATGAAGGTAAGTCTGTTCAAAAACATTTGAAAACTATCCTGGATGGTTACAGTGGACTGATCTAGGAACCCATGCTAGGTATAGCATCTGTAATATTGAAATTTATACAACCGATTGATTCTTTCTGTGATGTGCTTGTATGTGACTTACAGAATTGAAAATTTCAGATAGAAAGTTAATGAAAGTTCAAAAATATGGTAGGTGAATGTGTTAAGATGGTATGTTTATGATTTCTGGTTCTTAAAATTTGGTTATTTAAAAATAAATCTTTGTATACAGCACATTATATACTCAAATTCACATTAAATTTATTCAAGGGGATTATATTTATTGGAATGATATTTCTAAAGGTAAAATGATACTGAGAGAAAATATACCTCCTCGATGGTCTTGCGGAAAGTTGCTGGCCTCAAGTGTGGGAGGTCATGGGCTGGATCAAAGGCAAAGTTAAACCAAGGACTTTAAAATTGTTTTGTTGATGCTTCTCTGCAAAGAATGCAACATTATGTAGTAAGATCAAAGACTGAGTATGCATTTAATTTGCCACTGGACATCAAACAGTCACCTACCTTTCCATCTAAGAAAAATAAAATTTATAGGTTGACAAAGAACAGCACCATGGTCAAGCAAAATATGAAAAGACTAACAACAGTCAACATGACATTAAACATACATTAAAGACTGGTCAACTTAACATCACCGACAACACAACTATTTACGTTATGGGCATACGATACAGTTTCGATCCCACGATGAATTTTTTACGAAAATTTGCATTCAAGCTATTTTTCACCTAAGCAATTCAAATATGTAATAAAAAATATACCTTCATGTGCTACTTTAAGAGATAAAAAGGGGGTCGAAAATTTTAGACATTTACTCAAAATTCTTTTTTTTGGACATTTCTATCCTTTGGATAGTCGACACACCTTACTTTTTTATTTCAACAGATAAACACAAGCAGATTTTTGTAAAAACATTATGAAAATCTTCTTTACATAAATATGCTCTTGATATGTATAACAATTCTTTGGAAATAATTAATTTTTAACAGTTTCAGGGATTTTAGGAAAATAACGGCATTTTTTGTGTTATATTTATCAAATTTTTAAAAAAATTCATCGTTGACTTTTTTTATTAAAATTGGTACAAATAATCTTCATACATAATCAAACCTAATGCCATTTTAAAAAAGAGGGGTCTATGTACTTGTTTTCAAGTTAAACCAGTTTAAATCATAAAAAAAACGTTAAAAAATGCATCTTTTCCCGATATGTCACGGTTTGACATCGCGAAAATAACATTTTACGTTAGCAACGTCATTATCTTCCCTGTAACTGAATTGTATGCCCTTAACAAAGGATCGATTACTATGGATCCATTATTATTCGTTGGAAACCAATTTTCATGGGTTTTGTGAAACAGGTGAACCACGAATTAAAATGTTCAACGAATTACAAATTTTATACAGGCTTTGTATGCAAAGATTGGCAAATCCACGAAATCAAGTATCCACGAAAATGCAAGTTTTCCTCAATCCACGAAAATTGATTTTCACGAAAATAGATGAATCCACAGTATAACAAAACTTGAACAATCACTCCCCTTAATAAATACTTCCAAATGAAAAGTTTTAAGAATCAGAAATTGATTAGTGTGCAGAATGTTATAACATTTAACAAGAGTTTAACTGAGATTTTTGATTTAAAAGCTTTGCATAGTCAACATTTATTTATTCAAGAAGACAGACATGGAAATGATTTTTCATTATTTGTGTCAATGGATTGTTGTCTGTCCACATGTCCTACAAAAGCTATAAAACACTTTGATGGAACTTCATAAAACTTGATTCATGGAATATTTGAATTGGAGAAAAAACATCTCCCTTTGATTTAAGATATTTTTACCAGTTTGTTGTTCCAGCGTTATAGGACTTTAACCATCAGACTTTGTGCACTAACTCAATATGCTTGGATCAATTTCATCAATTTAATATTAACTGCAGTTGTTGTGATTGGTAAAAGGAAGCTCCTTTTAATTTTTTGAATTTTCTTATTAGTCATTTAAGAGTTCTGGGACTGTAACCCATATATAAGAGGATTTTGTTTTATGTATCACACAAAAAACTTAAGTAAGTTTGGATCTGTTTATTTAAATATCCGTATCGATTTGCTTTTTGGCTCACCTTGCCCAAAGGTCCAGTGTGATCTATTGCCATCACTTGACATTTCTCATCCATTATATAGCATTAATGTTTAAAAAAATCTTCTCAGAAATTAATAGACCAAATAGAACCATACTGCCTGCTAATCAACATGGCTGGCATGTCTAAAAATGGAACTTGTAGACAAATTGCAATTTTTGTCTATTATCTTGAAAATTATTTTAGATAGTGGCATTATGACTGAAATTATCATAATGTCAAGATGTACCTACTATCAATTTTGACAAAAACAACTCAATATTGGAGTTAATGCCCCTAAATGACATTTTTTTTACTATCTGGTTTTGCCTATTTTCTTGAAAACTATGAAAGACGGAGAGAAACTTTAAATTATATAAATTATATAGATCAGCAAGAACTACAACCAATTTATAGGAGTATTTACTGATAAATTAAGGTTTTAACAAAAAAAACATTTTTTTGCCTTTTATCCTGAAAACTACGATAGTTTGGATAAAGAGAAACTTCTAAAATTATCAGCAGGACAATATCTTCAAATATGTCAACATAGCTAAAATTGTCAATAGCCTTACTGGAGGTCCTGGCCATCATTGATGACTTTTACCCATTTTTGATTTTTTGGAGAAAAAATAGTAAATAAGGAAAAACTATAAACAGCAAAAATGATCAGCAAGACAAAATTTACAAAAACGTCAACATAGTCTAATTGTTAGTCAACTTTTGATTAGACAAGACGTCTAAAACAGAATCAAGTACTTTAAAATTTAGAATATGGGACTTTTTGCCCTTTAATGATAATTAGTTGTTGCGTAGGACATTAAATACCCCCAAACATAGTAAATAGCAAAAGTGATTGGCCTTGAATCGGGATAATTACCTTTTTTTTTGTCCAAAAGCTTTTGTAAATAGAGAAAAATACTCAACAAAATAATACCCTGCAATACAAGATCAACAAAAAACAATGTTAAAAGTGGCCATTATTGAAGATGCATATATATCCTTGTGAGTGATACAGGCTCTTTAGGGGGTCTTGTCTTTAACTCAATTACCGGCAACTTTGAGGGAATCCTTATATGCCTAAGGATATGCTACAAGTTTTTCAGTAGGATCATTATACTGACTCTTAATACATGATACATCTTAAAAATACCATTTTACTCATTTTTGCCAAAAAAAAACTACTTTTATTTTAATTGTTACCCAAATTTGTTTATCTTTGTTTAAAGATTAATTAATCGATTCAAGTGTTAATTTTGTTGTTGTATTGAAGGCCTCATTGTGATTTTGAGATGATGAATAGAAAAAGGCACATCGACCTAGGTGAGCGACACAGGCTCTTTACAGCCTCTATTGTCTCTTCTTATGATTTTAAATTCACGCAACCAATTTGATGACACCAGTAGAAATGTTTTAACTGTACATTGCAGAGGAGTTAAAAGTTGGACATGCCATTGTCATACCTCATGAAAGTGTGGAACACAGTTTTGTTGAGTTTGTGAAGACAAAGAAACCAGTTAAACGACTCCCATTCCACCATGAAACAGACGTAGAGGTCAACGATTGGTTGATGTCATTGACAGAAATGTCACTTGAACATGTAAGTAGGTTAACGATTGAATGGTGTCATAGATAGAAATGTCACTTGAACATGTTAGAAGGTGACCGATTAGTTTGTGTCATTTTCAGAAATGTCCATTTAAGCATGTAAGTAGTTTAAAAAAATTGAGAATGTCATTGACAGAAATGTCACTTGAACATGTAAATTGGTTAACGATTGGATGGTGTCATGGATAGAAATGTCACTTAAACATGCAAGTAGATTAAAGATTGGATGATGTCATTGACTGAAATGTCATTTGAACATGTAAATAGGTTACCGATTGGAGATTGTCATTGACAGAAATGTCATTTGAACTTGTAATTAGGTTAATGATTTGAAGATGGCATTGAAAGAAATGGTGATATTGGCACCCTGAGTACTGCTTGGAATTCAATGGCAATATTTTGTACAGTTGTTATGTCATTTCTAGAAGGTATGCCATCATCTAGATATTGAGAAAATTTGATTTATTCTTAGACCTTAAGTTCATGTTCACTAATCCATACAGAATTCTTTAGATCTCTAACAAAGTGACATTGACATCCTTTAGAGAATCAGTTGTTATGCATAAAATTGAGAATGAAAATGTGGAATGTGTCAAAGAGACAACAACCCAACCAAAGAGCAGAAAACAGCTGAAGGCCACCAATGGGTCTTCAACACAGCGAGAAAATCCCACACACGGAGGCAGGCTTCAGCTGGCCCCTAAGCAAAAATGTGTACTAGTTTCAGTGAAAATGGACGTCATACTAAATTCCAAAACATATAAATGAACTAAAATTAAAAAACATACAAGACTAACAAAGGCCAGAGGCTCCTGACTTGGGACAGGAGCAAAAATGTGACAGGGTTAAACATGTTTTGTGAGATCTCAACCCTCCCCTTTACCTCTAGCCAATGTAGAATAAACAAACACACAGCAATACGCACAGTAAAACTCAGTTTAAAGTCCGAGTCTGATGTCAGAATAGGTAACAAAAGAAACTAAGCAAAATGACAATGATACATAAATTAACAAAGGACTACTAGCAGTTACTGACATACCAGCTCCAGACCTCAATTAAACTGATTGAAAGATTATGTCTTCATCATATGAAAATCAAGCACAATCCTCCCGTTAGGGGTTTAGTATCATACCATCATAAAATATATGAGAAGAACATAACCTGTATCATGCCAACATGAAATCAGTATATATTTTTTTCTATTTTTAGCCTTTATTAGATTGCATGATCAATAACCACCAAACCCAGATAGTAATACCATTTGGAGAGTCAGCTGTTATTAAAGAAATCAAGAAACATGTAACAGACACTATTGCAAGAACTATTACCAAGGTATATAAATAATTAGGATATGGTAGATGCATAAAACTGAATCTGTGAAAACAATTTGGACTTATTTTAACCAAACAATAATTTTTAGAGTGACCACTATGTTAATTATTTCCAATAGACAACCAATCAAAATAGAAAATTTTATAAAAAAGATGGAAATTTCTATGAAGTGCAAATGGCTTCAAAAATTTGACAAAGAAATTAATATTGATTTAGGAAATATCCTGTTATGGGCAGTGGTTTTGGGCCCTACAGAACTTTGGAGTGATTGTTTAATATCTCTTTGAAAGGAACTTTATTAGACTTGAAAGGCGCGAAGACAGCCATTCTCATCACCAATGTATGATGATTGGCTGATTTAGTTCAATCATTTTTTTTACTCCAAGCCTCAAAATACTCAAGTTAATCACATGAAAATTCTAGCTTATCCAAAATGAAATCCAAGTTACACAAAAATATGGCTCAATCTGAACCAAATATTTTTCTCAATTTTTATTTTCAGACTGCCTTTACAACAGATTATATGAAGAATACAGGCGGAGTAGAGAAATCTAATCCTGTGATAGATATAGAAGTTGAAGATTTTCTGACAGTACAAAATATTTGTAAACAACACTACACTGATGAAGGGATATTAGGGTAAACTTATTATCTAATATGCAATATATATTTATAGAGCAATTGTGTTATTATACCCCACGCAACGAGTTGCGGCGGGTATAATGTTTTTGACCCGTCCGTCAGTCCTGTTTCTTGTCATCGCAACTCCTCTCAAACCACACAACAGAATTTCATGAAACCTTTTCAGATAATAAGGACATACTACGTAGATGTGCATATCGACAGGAAATTACGATTCTATTTATTATTTTTTCCAGGAGTTACGCCCCTTTGAACTTATTTGCCCAATATACTACTGCAACCTTTTGTCATCGCAACTCCTCTCAAACCACACAACAGAATTTCATGAAACCTTTTCAGATAATAAGGACATACTACGTAGATGTGCATATGGACAGGAAATTACGATTCTATTTTTTTTCCAGGAGTTACGCCCCTTTGAACTTATTTGCCCAATATACTACTGCAACCTTTTGTCATCGCAACTCCTCTCAAACCACACAACAGAATTTCATAAAACTGTGTAGATAATAAGGACATACTATGTAGATGTGCATATTGACAGGAAATTATGATTCAATTTTTTTTCTGATACAATTTTTTTTTCTTACACTTATTTTATTTCTCCAATGACAATGTGGGGACGTGGGGTATGTGAGCGCGCTCACTAAGGTTCTTTCATTTGTGCAGTCCAATTCCATTGACCCTAAACCATTTCTATATAGCTTTATATTTCAGAGGGTTAACAACCTGGATGCTTCATACCTAGTATATAGATGCCTTAAGTTTCCATCTGTCATATGTTCATTGTCCATATCCTCATTTTCATGGTTCAGCGACTGCTTGAAAAAATTGAAGGTTTTTTGACATGTGAATTTCTCACTTACCGGTATTATGAGTAATACAAAACCTATATTTGGTATATGGGTTTCTTTCAAGGTCTACATGTTCGTCATACAGGGTACACCGGACCTCAAACCCATTTAATAGATCAGTGATTAAATTATTTGACTAGATCCTTTTCTCAGATTAATTGGTGTTTAACATCACTTTCAGGACTAGTGGTAATGTTGTGGGGGGCAGTTTTTCAAGATGGAGGAAGCTAAAGTGTCTTGAGATAACCTCAGATCTTTTTTAATTAAGATTTAATTTGACCTTGACCTAATTTTGGGTTTTTCAAATACTATAAGCAATAGGTCAACTATATTTGATGTATGGAATAATTGTAAGGTGTACATGTCTGTTTTGCAAGATCGTCTGTCCTAGACCTCATTTTCATGGTTCATTGGTCAATGTTAAGTTTTTAAAAATTGGTCCTTTTCTTAGATAATTTAAGCAATAGGTCAACTATACATGATGTATGGAATAATTGTAAGGTGTACATGTCTCTTTGTCAAGGTTCATCTGACCTTGATCTCAATTATGTGGTTCATTCGTCAATGTTAAATGTTTCTAGTTTAGTCTGTTTCTCAGATACTATAAGCAATAGTTCAACTATATTTGTTGCACTGAAATGTTGTAAGGTGTTCAGGTCTGTATGGCAGGTTCATCGGACCTAGACATCATTTTGATGGTTCATTGGTCAATGTTAAGTTTTCATGGTATGGTCTCTTTCTTGGATACTATAAGCAATTATCGCACCGCAGGTAAATTATGATGATGTGATTGGTTTAAGGCCGTCACATGGTGATCCCCTAGGGATCTTTAGGGGGTTAGTAAATTTCATATTGGGTTCATGATGTCACGTCTACTGTTAATGGTGATGTCATCTATTAATGCTGTTGTGTTTCATTTTACTTTCCCTCTATTTATCATTAGGGGTTCAATAGCGAACCATATAACTTTATAGGTCAACTTTAGTTAGTGTCTTGAATGATTGTCAGTCTGGCAAGGTTTATCTGACATTGATTTTATTGTCATAGATCATTGATTTCATTGTCATGGATCATTGATTTCATTGTCATGGAATCATTGATAATGTTAAGTTTATGTGATACTTGTAATAAAACCTTTGAAACCACATTTATCCTTATGACTTTCAAAAGAAAATCAATCATTGTCAGTACAGCAGGCGATAGATATCAGAGTGTGCATTCTTGTTAACTGAATTTTTCAGAAAAACAGTTATTAAATTAGTGATGTATAGCGGTTGGCTGCCAACAGTTTCCATACAATAAATTAGGAACTGTTGAACCAATGCTTTTCAAATTTTAATATGTTTATACTAATGACAAAATGGAGGTCAAGTTTGATATTGACAAATTTCACTTTTACCGTTCAGTAATTATGTTCCTTGATATATGTTTTTAAAATTTAAAATAATGTTGTTACTGATAAAGGAAAGGAAATTAATTTTGATATAAATGATGGGAAAACTAGATATTGACAATTTCATTTTTGCTCAGGAGTTATGGTCCTTGATAGATTAGAAAATAGGCATACAATGTGGTAGGTCAAAAAAGCCTGAAAGCTCCTTTCAAAATACAGAAAACCCAGTTTGCTGTCAATTTGACAGCTTATTGCTTATTCTATATATTTTAACAGAGCAATGATTTAGACATCTTAGGGTAGTTAGTTATCTTTATGTAAATATATTGATTTATATTGGATGTTTAAACAAAGTTTCATAGATTTGCCATGTTAGGACAATAGACATGTACAGGTTAACAGTAGACAAATGTCTTTACAATATGTCAAGCACTAATTGGACCATGTCAAGCACTGGACTTGTTTTATATATATCCTAATTCAGTGTAAAATAAACTAATGGAAATCTTTATATATTTCACAGGAACTATTGTTATAAGAATGAATTGCTTGGCTGCTTTATCTCTAGAACGACTTTGACAAGGTCAAATTACTACTTTGAATGTGAATTGGTTGATGTGAAAGTTATCAGCCCTGACGGGACTGAAAAAAAGATTGATAATGTAGATGAAGATTCAGAAGATGATGATAGCGAGTATGAGGGTGAATCCAAATCAGGCATTCTTATTGGCTGTCTGTTTAACCAGTTATTTAGCAGTATTAATCCGTTAGATGTTGATGTTGACAAAGGTGGCGAAGTTTCAACGTAAGTTTGTTGACCTTCTTCTATGGTTTTTATAATGCTACTAATGTGTCTTTATACATGTTCCATATGTACGAGTAAAACACATTTCAGAAAGAGAGTTTTGTGAAAATACATAAATTTAGGTGAATTTTCAGATGGTTTTCTGACTTTCAGATATATATATAATGCTTGTACAAGATCAAACTGAATAATAGACTTTTTTCATATTTTCAACTTTTGACTTCAGAGATTGGTATAGTGTATTATCTGAACTGGAATGGACTCGACTGGACTCTAAGACTTGACTACAAACCTTTAGCCTTTTTGTCGTAAATTTTACAAAAGAGATCCTATACCATTATAGAAAGTATCATTTGGAACCATCATACTAACTGTCATTTCTTTTGTTTACACAACTTTGTAACTGTCTGTGTTTTAAATAAAATTTCAGATTTGATTTCAATAAATCTAAGAAGTTTGGATTTGGTATCAGAGGAGAGTGGCTATCAGAGTACATACCAAGTAGAACTGCAAAGTTCTTTGCTACTTGTGATGGAATAGAGGTACTGTTAATCAGGAAATAGTTTTGAATTACTTTTGATAAAAGTCAATGCTCAGATCATTTCACACCATGAACTGATTTAGAATTATTCTTGCATCATGGTAATGTGATTCTCTCGATAATTTCCATTCATCATTTTCAATCATGCTGATGAGTTTACTCAATGTAATATACAAGGTTGGAAGTTATCTTTCTGAATTGGTCTAAAAGCCGGTATGGGGATTTAAGACCAAAGAAAGTTATTCATTTAGTTACATTTCAGGCTGCCAAAATACACAAAGGCAGCATTAAATCATCCTGACTGTCGAAGTTAGTTGTAAACCATTTACAATGGACTGACATTGGATAAATGTATTGTAGGCAAATAACTTGAATGGTTAACAGACAGGAGGAGTACATAAAATACAATCTAATCTAGATTGAAATTGAATTAAAAAAATGAAGTGAAAACATCATAAAATTTTCTGAAGGATGGTTTATTGTTTCCCTTATTTGTATTTGTCATAATATCTTTTTAATTCTACATTTTCTTTTTTTCTCTCTCAAAAATTGTATGCAACAAAGCTTGTTTATAAGCACCTGGTTGTGCAAGTTGTAATGTAATGTAATGATTCTCAATGGGCAAATAATTTTGACATCAACATTAAGATAACTTACTGGTCACAATTTAGTGAGGGTTTAGAGTCTCTTTGTGGTCAAAATGGTCAATTGCATTCAATACACTGGTCCATATAGTAGATTGTGAGACTTAGGCACTTGGTATAAGTACACTGGTCCATATAGTAGATTGTGAGACTTAGGCACTTGGTATAAGTACACTGGTCCATATAGTAGATTGTGAGACTTAGGCACTTGGTATAAGTACACTGGTCCATATAGTAGATTGTGAGACTTAGGCACTTGGTATAAGTACACTGGTCCATATAGTAGATTGTGAGACTTAGGCACTTGGTATAAGTCTTACTGCCTAGAAAATAACTTTTTATACTACATATGATGTAGCATTCTTTTTTTCTATTGGTTATTACGACTACCTGATTCAAAGGGTATTTATTCCATGTAACAAGCCTTATTTCTATTTTTAAGTACATGGACACTATGTTTCTATTTGAATAAATAGTGACACTATACTTCTAAATTTAGATTTTGATATAAGCCGTTTCTGGCCAAAATTACTCTTCTCCATTGAAGTCCATTTCCATAATACACTATTAACATATTTGATATATAAATAAAGGACTTTCACTTAGTCAATATGTTATATATGGACCTGTTAGATTATATTGACCTCAGACTTTGTCCTCGATCGATATAATCTGAACAGGTCCATATAACATATTGACTTTTTCTTAAGTCTATAATTGATAAATATGGACGCTTGCTACTTCAGTAAATCTGGACACAACATGAACATTTGTTATTCCTTTATCTAATGTTAAAGTTATTTTTTTCAGAACAATAAAGACCTTACAGGGACATCAGTACCAGAAGAAATGTTATACCCATTAATAGCAGTCATTGGAGAGAAAAACAATTCAGGAAAAATTCAGATCTGCAACATGGCAAAACCACCAGAGGTGTGTTAAATCTAAATCCACCAAGTAAACAAGATTAATTATGTTTATAAATATTTTGTTTGATGTGATCATATTAAAGAGTATAGATCATCATTTATACATTTGTATTTTTAAACATATTTCCAGTTTAGTTGCATTTAAGTTCATTTCTCAGAATCCTAGAAAAGTATATAAGCAATATCTTGGATTTTTATTGTGGAGCAAGGTTGTTACAATGTCGTGATATTTTGCTAGAATTATTATGCTACAGTCAATTTAAATATGAAAAACAACTTCAGTCTACTTGTACATTTTCAGGTAAACAGGTAAATAGGTTGACATCACCTGCCTGCCATCCAGTTCACATTGTTAGCAATTGCTTTGATTTTAGTTTGGTTAAAATTATTAATTGAATTTTTCTTGTGGATATCCCCATAAACATTGTCAAATAAAATTATATGGAAAAGATGTAATCATGTCATGTTTCTTTTGTAGATCTTGACTAGAAAATATGCCAGCGAGAATCGCTGGATCAGTACAGGGTACTCTGAAAACATACTCATTGATAATTATGGGGTTATGTGGTAAGTATTTATGAGAATCCCTGTATCAGAACAAGAACTCTGAAAACAGAATCGCTGGATCAGTACAGGGTACTCTGAAAACATACTCATTGATAATTATGGGGTTATGTGGTAAGTATTTATGAGAATCCCTGTATCAGAACAAGAACTCTGAAAACAGAATCGCTGGATCAGTACAGGGTACTCTGAAAACATACTCATTGATAATTATGGGGTTATGTGGTGAGTATTTATGAGAATCCCTAGTTCAGAACAGGAACTCTGAAAACATACTAATTGACAATTATGGGGTCATGTGGTGAGTATTTAAGAGAATCTCTGGATCAGAACAGGAACTCTGAAAAAAGAATCCCTAGACCAGAACAGGAACACTGAAAGTAGATCTAGAAATGAAAACATACTCATTGACAATTATGGGGGTATGTGGTGAGTATTTAAGAGAATCCCTGTATCAGAACAGGAACTCTGAAAACATACTCATTGATAATTATGGGGTAATGTGGTGAGTATTTATGAGAATCCCTGGAACAGAACAGGAACTCTGAAAACATACTCATTGACAATTATGGGGTCATGTGGTGAGTATTTAAGAGAATCTCTGGATCAGAACAGGAACCCTAAAAACATACTCATTGACAATTATGGGGTTATGTGGTGAGTATTTAAGAGAATCCCTGGATCAGAACAGGAACTCTGAAAACATACCCATTGACAATTATGGGGTATGTGGTGAGTATTTAAGAGAATCCCTGTATCAGAACAGGAACTCTGAACACATACTCATTGACAATTATGGGGGTATGTTGTGAGTATTTAAAAGAATCCCTCGATCAGAACAGGAACTCTGAACACATACTCATTGACAATTATGGGGTCATGTGAGTATTTAAGAGAATCCCTGGATCAGAACAGGAACTCTGAAAAAAGAATTCCTGGATCAGAACAGGAGCTCTGAAAACATACTCATTGACAATTATGGGGTCATATGGTGAGTATTTAAGAGAATCCCTGGATTAGAACAGGAACTCTGAATACATACTAATTGACAATTATGGGGTTACGTGGTGAGTATTTAAGAGAATCTCTGGATCAGAACAGGAACTCTGAAAACAGAATCTCTATATCAGAACAGGAACTCTTAAAACCATGAAAACATACATATTGATAATAATGGCGTTATGTGTTGAGTGTTAAAAGAATCCCTGGATCAGTACAGGAACTCTGAAACATACTCATTGACAATTATGGGGTTAAGTGGTGAGAATACTGTAAATTCAGAAATTATTGCGTGCATTTATTATTGCGATTTTGTCATTTTAGACTAAAACGCAATTTTAATTTTTGCGATATTAAGAAAAATCCTGTTTAATTCATATAAAAAATTTCAAAATGCGAGTTTAAATTATTGCGATTATAATCCTGTCGCATTTTTCGCAATAATAAAAACATCGCAATAATTTCTGAATTTACAGTAAAGAGAATCCCTGGATCAGAACAGGAACTCTGAAAACAGAATCTTTATATCAGAACAGGAACTCTTAAAACACACATATTGATAATTATGGGGTTATGTGTTAAGTGTTAAAAAAATCCCTGGATCAGTACAGGAACTCTGAAAAAAAAGAATCACTGGATCAGAACAGGAACTCTGAAAACAGAATCGATGGATCAGAACAGGAACTCTGAAAAAAGAATCACTGGATCAGAACAGGAACTCTGAAAACATACTCGTTGATAATTATGGGGTAATGTGGTGAGTATTTATGAGAATCCCTGGATCAGAGCAGAAACTATGTTAACAGAATCGCTGGATCAGAACAGGAACTCTGAAAACAGAATCGCTGGATCAGAACAGGAACTCTGAAAACAGAATCGCTGAATCAGAACTGGAACTCTGAAAACATACTCCTTGATAATTATGGGGTTATGTGTTGAGTGTTAAAGAGAATCCCTGGATCAGAACAGGAACTCTGAAAACAGAATCGCTGGATCAGAACAGGAACTCTGAAAACAGAATCGCTGGATCAAAACAGGAACTCTGAAAACAGAATCGCTGGATCAGAACAGGAACTCTGAAAACAGAATCTCTGGATCAGAACAGGAACTCTGAAAATAGAATCTCTGGATCAGAACAGGAACTCTGAAAACATACTCCTTGATAATTATGGGGTTATGTGTTGAGTGTTAAAGAGAATCGCTGAATCAGAACAGAATACTCTGAAAACCTACTCTGATAATAGTGGGGTTATGTGTTTAGCTATGTGTGCCTTTACAAGAGTTGATAAGGGCATATAGGATCATATAATTTTATATTTGCAGAAATTAGTTTCCAATATAGAACTTGACCAAAGCATTTGAAAATTTGAAATGTTGTTAAGGACCACTTTTAAAATACTGACCATAAGAAATTTGAGGGTTTTCATTTTTGTTTTCCTGAGTTCTGCATCTTGATAAAGTGAAAAAAACATAATTTTTTTGTTTTCGAAGTATAACTTGAGTAGGCCATCACCAAATCAATTATATTTGGTCAATATGTGGATGACCGACTTTCAGGAAGACCGAATTATTAGTCAGACATGTAAAATGAACAGGCAAATGAAATTAAGATTTCAAGTGTAATTTTTTTCTACATATACATATATTTCTGATGCTTATATTGTAAATCTATAATTTATTGTAGCAATAGTTCACCTAATGAAGATGAAGGAATATTTATATCTACGGAGGCTATTACTCATGAATTTAGTATTAAAGTTCTGGACAAAGGGAACTTTGGGAAAATAAAAATTGCTTTGTCGAAGGAAAAAGAAAAAGATAAAGAGATGCAGAAAAATGAGAGTTGGATATATCAGGGAGTAACAGGAGAGTGAGTTTTATAGTATAACAGTAAAATAGACGTTTTACATTTAGGTGAATTTGATGTTGATGGTAGACCTTTAATAGTTTTTATTAAGTGATACCCTTGACCATCTGTCCTTCTGTCTTTCCGTCTTTCTGTCCGTCCCATTTTGCTTGCAAAGCTTGAGCAGGGGCATTCTTGTCCTCAGACGCAGTTTTCTTTTATTCTTAAATTTATTTATAAGTACTTTTTGACTGAAGTAATATTAATTTTGTTTTATTATGTTATTTTCTGGCTGATTTTTTTTCATCTTCCTTGAAAATAAGATAAGTGAAACTGTTCATCAATGTTAGATAAAATTTGTGACTGTTTAATTTGTTTATTTCATCTGAATTTTTCAGAGTTATTTCTGAGAAGAAAACAAAGTACCTAGTTGATCCTAGTCGTGTAGAAACTGGAGATATTCTAACAGTCAAGTTTGACAATAAAGATGGAGAAAAGGTTGTTTTGTATAAAAATGGAAAAGAAGTAAGTATGCTTCTGTGCTTATCAGCCAAGTAATACTGCTACCATATTGAGAGTCATTTTTACATTGAAGCTTATGGGAAAGATGTAGACAAATACTCTTAATACCCCGTACCTTTAAAGTTTAGGGTAAGAACATAGGAATCACTGTCTCTCAATCCATCTGTCTGTCTGTTGTCCATGTGTGCCTTTTTATTGCTACTTCTTGTAAACAGGTCAGTATTACAATACATGATTATAGTCAATTGTAAGTATAACTATACACAAACAGCTACACAAATATTGATGAAACATTAATAAAGTGTTATTAAATAGGTGTTTTCATGTTAATCATTTATTATGTTCAGTCATATTGGGTCGAGGTTAGCTATATTGGCTCGGGGTGTATGAAAGGGACATAGAAATACTGGGCATCTGTTCGTCCATCTAGTCATGAAAGCACTCTCACATGTTCAATTTTCACCAGATTTTTATGAAATTCAAAAAGGTTTATATCAGCAGTGATTAGGACTAGTTTGAAAATCAGTGCTTTCAAGAGAGTTATGTCCCTTGGAAGTATAAATTATATGGAAAATTCATTGTAAGTGCTCTCGCTTGTACAATTATTGCCAGATTTTCTATCAGTTTATATCAAAGGTTTATATTAGCAGTGTCTGGGACAAATTTGAAAATCAGTGCCTATTTACTATTTTTAAAAGAGTTATGCCCCTTAGATATATTAATTATATGGAATATTGCATTGATAGGGCTTTCACATGTACAATTCTTGCTAAATTTTTATGCTATTTATCATGTTTATATAAGCAATGTGTAGGACAAACTCTAAAATCAGTGTAGATCAACTAAGGAGTTATGCCCTTTGAAATATTAATTATATGGAAAATTGAATTGTAAGCACTTTTAAGACTACATTTCTCTAAATTATTAATTAAGCAAAAATAAAATTATCATCTTAGACTTTTATGAGCCTTTAGCTTACATTTCAGTTTGAAAGTTTATGTGTTACTACTCCTGATTGCATAAAGACACCTTTAATACAATATTACATTTTTTTTGCTTCAGATTGTAGAAACAATTTTCACACCAGATAAAGATGACAACAAGAGTATTGTCAAGTTATACATCTTTCTATCAGAAGTGAAGGGCAAGGTTCAATTGATGAACTACAGGCCAAAGTACAGAGGACCTGTAAGTTTATTTTTTCATCGTACCTCAAACACTTTTTTGGTTATCATTCCTCCAGCAACTTACTCTTGTCACATCAATGGATGAGGTCAACTGGAGTATACGGACATATAGTTCCTTGCGGACTATCTTTTTTTTTTATACATGAGTGATATTGTTAATAAAAAACCTAAGATCTGCAATTTAAACAAAACAATTGTTAACCTACATAGTGTCTACTTTTAAAGGTTGACAAGTTGACAGGTTGACAGGTTGACAGGTTGACAAGTTGACATTATAAATCATTGTCAACCTACAAAGGTCTACAGGTTGACTAGTTGACAAAATGAAATATTTAATCAGCTGTAAACTATTTTACCTCACATGATTATGTTTAATTATTCTGTTTTTTGTCAACTTGCCAACTATAATGGTATTTTCATGCCCCCACTCCAATGGAGGGGGCATTAAGTTTTACATCTGTACGTCTGTCTGTACGTCCTTTCGTACTTCTGTCCATCCCAAAATTAGTGTCTGATTTTTTTCACTTAAGTTTGCCTCAACCAATTGTAATGAAACTTATACACAATGCTTATTATCATTTAACTCAGAACAAATTGAATTATGGGTGGCATCATTTTTAACAGTTCTAGAGTTATGTCCCTTTTAAATGGACAAATTGGCAAATTTGCTGTAATTTAACTTTACTTTGCCTCTACCAAAAGTTATTTAACTTATACACAATGCTTATTACCACCAAACACAGATCAAGCTCAAATTTGGGTGGTGTCACTTACATCGTTCTTGAGTTATGTCCCTTTATAAATGGAAAAATTGCTGAATTTGCCATATATTTACAAATGGATGCATCTATTTAGCATGGACACATTCTTCTTTTATTAACATATTTATTGATTAAGTTGTCAACTTGTCAACCTGGTAACTGGTATTTTCCATTTTATCAAACTGTCAACCTTTCGACCTGTCAACTTGTCAACCATAATTATACCCCACGCAACGAGTTGCGGAGGGTATAATGTTTTTGACCCGTCCGTCCGTCAGTCCGTCAGTCCATCAGTCTGTCAGTCCTATTTCTTGTCATCGCAACTCCTCTCAAACCACACAACAGAATTTCATGAAACCTTTTTAGATAATAAGGACATACTATGTAGTTGTGCATATCGACAGGAAATTACGATTCAATTTTTTTTCTAGGAGTTACGCCCCTTTGAACTTATTTACTTTAATGTACTACTGCAACAGTTTGTCATCGCAACTCCTCTCAAACCACACAACAAAATTTCATGAAACCTTTTCAGATAATAAGGACATACTACATAGATGTGCATATCAACAGGAAATTATGATTCAATTTTTTTTCCAGGAGTTACACCCCTTTGAACTTATTTGCCCAATATACTACTGCAACCTTTTGTCATCCCAACTCCTCTCAAACCACACAACAGAATTTCATGGAACCTTTTCGGATAATAAGGACATACTATGAAGATGTGCATATCGACAGGAAATTACTATTCAATTTTTTTTCCAGGAGTTACGCCCCTTTGAACTTATTTGCCCAATATACTACTGCAACCTTTTGTCATCACAACTCCTCTCAAACCACACAACAGAATTTTATGAAACTGTGTAGATAATAAGGACATACTATGTGAATGTGCATATCAACAGGAAATTAGGATTCAATTTTTTTTCCAGGAGTTACGCCCCTTTGAACTTATTTGCCCAATAAACTACTGCAACCTTTTGTCATTGCAACTCCTCTCAAACCACATAACAGAATTTCATGGAACCTTTTCAGATAATAAGGACATACTATGTAGATGTGCATATCGACTGGAAATTACGATTCAATTTTTTTTCCAGGAGTTACGCCCCTTTGAACTTATTTGCCTAATATACTACTGCAACCTTTTGTCATCACAACTCCTCTCAAACCACACAACAGAATTTCATGAAACCTTTTTAGATAATAAGGACATACTATGTAGTTGTGCATATCGACAGGAAATTATGATTCAATTTTTTTTCTAGGAGTTACGCCCCTTTGAACTTATTTACTTTATTGTACTACTGCAACAGTTTGTCATCGCAACTCCTCTCAAACCACACAACAAAATTTCATGAAACATTTTCAGATAATAAGGACATACTACATAGATGTGCATATCGACAGGAAATTATGATTCAATTTTTTTTCCAGGAGTTACACCCCTTTGAACTTATTTGCCCAATATACTACTGCAACCTTTTGTCATCACAACTCCTCTCAAACCACACAACAGAATTTCACGAAACCTTTTTAGATAATAAGGACATACTACATAGAGGTGCATATCTACAGGAAATTATGATTCAATTTTTTTTCTAGGAGTTACGCCCCTTTGAACTTATTTACTTTAATGTACTACTGCAACAGTTTGTAATCGCAACTCCTCTCAAACCACACAACAGAATTTCATGAAACCTTTTCAGATAATAAGGACATACTACATTGATGTGCATATCTACAGGAAATTATGATTCAATTTTTTTTCCAGGAGTAACGCCCCTTTGAACTTATTTGCCCAATATACTACTGCAACCTTTTGTCATCACAACTCCTCTCAAACCACACAACAGAATTTCATGAAACCTTTTCAGATAATAAGGACATACTATGTGAATGTGCATATCGACAGGAAATTACGATTCAATTTTTTTTCCAGGAGTTAAGCCCCTTTGAACTTATTTGCCCAATATACTACTGCAACCTTTTGTCATCGCAACTCCTCTCAAACCACATAACAGAATTTCATGGAACCTTTTCAGATAATAAGGACATACTATGTAGATGTGCATATCTACAGGAAATTATGATTCAATTTTTTTTCCAGGAGTAACGCCCCTTTGAACTTATTTGCCCAATATACTACTGCAACCTTTTGTCATCACAACTCCTCTCAAACCACACAACAGAATTTCATGAAACCTTTTCAGATAATAAGGACATACTATGTGAATGTGCATATCGACAGGAAATTACGATTCAATTTTTTTTCCAGGAGTTAAGCCCCTTTGAACTTATTTGCCCAATATACTACTGCAACCTTTTGTCATCGCAACTCCTCTCAAACCACATAACAGAATTTCATGGAACCTTTTCAGATAATAAGGACATACTATGTAGATATGCATATCGACAGGAAATTACGATTCAATTTTTTTTCCAGGAGTTACGCCCCTTTGAACTTATTTGCCAATATACTACTGCAACCTTTTGTCATCGCAACTCCTCTCAAACCACACAACAGAATTTCATGAAACCTTTTTAGATAATAAGGACATACTATGTAGATGTGCATATTGACAGGAAATTACGATTCAATTTTTTTTTCTGATACATTTTTTTTTTCTTACACTTATTTTATTTCTCCAATGACAATGTGGGGACGTGGGGTATGAGAGCGTGCTCACTAAGGTTCTTTAATTTTATTTTCATTTTTATTTGACTTTTAACCTGACAACCTGTCAACTAGTCAACGATATTTGTATTTTCATTTGATTAAATTGTCAACCTGTCACCTTGTCGACCAGTCAACTGGTATTTGCAATTTAATTAGGTAGTTAAAATATGAACTTGTCTACCTGTCGACCTGTCAACTTGTCAATCTGTCCATTTATTAAAATATAAATAAAAACTAATAAAATATTCAAATTGTAAATATAAACTTAAGGAATAGTACTGTGTATTAATTGTTTTAGCGTATGAATACATATTAATTAATCGGACATATCCTTATATTCATTCATATGTATAGAGCCTTTACAGTTATTGGCCCAAAGCTTAATTAAAGCCCTGACATATACAATAATTAAAAGGAATAATGAAGTTAAATAAATGAGACAGTAATGTAACAATACAACCTAACCATAACAAATATTTGTTAATCAATGTTTGGTCTTAAATGAACCTTAAATTTAAAAATCATTGAGTTCACATCAAAATTACTTCAGTTCAGCAATAAAAGACTTTCTTAACAACTTCGTGTCAACCTTCAAAAATGATAAAATTCTGATAAGGTTAATAGACACACATCTGTTATCCCAGAAAAGTTACTTCTAAATACTGCTTTCTTTAATTTTGTGAAACACAAGCTGTAAAAATGGAGTTTTCAAAGAAATAAGAACATGATGAAAGATTTTTACTATGAATACAATAATATTTTTTGTTTTTTTTTGTTTGACAGGTGCTTTTTCCAGAGTCATTAACTGTAGGAAGATTACACAATATGAAAGTATTTGATGATGGGAAGCTTGTTACTCCAATACCGTAAGTCCTGTTATGTCATAGGGGTCATAAATGTATGGGAAGCTTGTTACTCCAATACCATAAGTCCTGTTATGTCATTTTGGTTATAAATGTATGAGAAGCTTGATACTCCAATACCGTAAGTCCTTTTTATGTCATAGTGGTTATAAATGTATGGGAAGCTTGTTACTCCAATACCGTAAGTCCTGGTATGTCATAGTGGTTATAAATGTTTGTGAAGCTTGTTACTCCAATACCGTAAGTCCTGTTATGTCATAGTGTTTATAAATGTATGGGAAGCTTGTTACTCCAATACCGTAAGTCCTGTTATGTCATAGGGGTCATAAATGATTGGGAAGCTTGTTACTCCAATACCGTAAGTCCTGTTATGTCATAGTGGTTATAAATGAATGGGAAGCTTGTTACTAAAATACCATAAGTCCTGTTATGTCATAGTGGTTATAAATGAATGGAAAGCTTGTTACTCCAATACTGTAAGTCCTGTTATGTCATAGTGGTTATAAATGTATGGGAAGCTTGTTACTCCAATACTGTAAGTCCTGCTATGTCATAGTGGTTTGAATATATGGGAAGCTTGTTACTCCCATACCATAATTCTGGTATGTCATAGTGGTAAAAAATGTATGGGATGCCTGTTAACTCAATACTATAAGTTCTGCTATGTTGGAGTGGTTATAAATGCATGGGAAGCTACTTCCTTCAGTAGAGTAAGTCCTGTTATGTCATAGTGGTTATAAAATGTATGGGTGGGGGGAGGGGCTTGTTACTCCAATACCATAATTCTGATATGTCATAGTGGTAATAAATGTATGGGATGCCTGTTACTCCAATACCATAAGTCATAGTGGTTATAATTGTATGGGAAGCTTGTTACTCCAATTCTGTAAGTCCTGTTATGTCATAGTGGTTATAATTGTACAGCAGCAACTAAAATACATGTACAGGGGGTAGTCTTGTAATGCGGACAGTTCTACTTTATAATTACTTTTTTTTTTTTTAGAAAAAAGAAGAAAGATATATTTTATGGATGTTATATGGGTAAATTTCCAATGAATTCACAGAGATTGTCATTTGAAGTGGAAATTGCAGAAGAACTCAATGATCAGTTGGATGCTGTTGCTGTGGGATTTTGTCATTCAGAAATTCCCCAGAAAATAGGGACTGCTGCACAATACAAAGATCCTCCAACACATTTTGAAGTTTCAGGTGGTTGTGTTATGTTCTCCTCTGGTGGAAAGTAAGTAATGGATTGTTAAAACTTATGTTATAAGTAACTTTGAAAAAGTTGTGACTGAAAAGCTCTGTAAAGAATATAACAACTACATTACAGTGAAAAAAGAGTACATATTGCTCCAAATTCATGTAAAGACCATTTTGATTATTTTTATTTTGTTCAAATAATGTAAAACTAATGCTGTTGTTATATATTGAAATTTTTTTGAAAGGTAATTCAGTTATGCCATAAAAATGTGATCTTATGGGATTCTTCCTAAAACTTACATGGTTGGCAGCTGGCAACGTTTTATTTAGGTAGATGCAATAGCTACATACGGTTTTAACAGAGTCAAGTTCCAATATTATACATAGCTCTCTGCTGTCTGGCTGCTCAATTTTCCCCCATCTGGCAACTGAATTGTCTGTAAATTGTAAGGTGTTTGGTTGCTCAATTGTTTGACATTTTATTTTATACAAATTATACAACATTTTGAATTTGATTTTATTGTTTTAGTGTGTTTGCTGAATCAGTGGTCCAAAGTAGTTTTCGAGAGGAAGGGAAGTATAAAAAAGGAGACAAGATAAAATGTGAAGTGGAAAAAGTCTCATCAGCTGAGAAACTGTTGTTTGAAGAAGATGGCTCAATATCACCACAACAAGATGTCAATATTAAGTTCTTTGTAAATGATAAACTGGTAGGTTTCTTTTTTATACTTACATAATTTTCCTTTGGTTGACAATGAGGAATATGGGGTTGATCATTATAGACATTATCAAATGAATACTCCATGAATATCCGTAAAAATATCTTTATAATTTAAAATTTACATTTATGGTTTCATACTGCACAACTAGTTTAAGTTGATCCGTAATTCAGCATAGGAAAACCTTTTAATTATACTTTTTTATTATATTGGTAACAATATGTTAATGAACATATAGTAAACTACCTGGTACATTCTTGTTTTAATTTAACCAAACCCCAATTGTCCTATTTGTTTTTTTTAAAATTATTTTGCTATATATTAATTAAGCCTTAAGTTTTCTCTTTTGAATTGTTTCATATTTTTCATGTCCAGGCCTTTTACAGCCAACTATACAGTATGGGATTTTTTCATTGTTGGAGACCATCCAGTAGCTTATAACTGCTTACTATTACTTCGTTTATAATACTAACATTATATGATACCAGACACATCGAAACACCAGGACAATGCTTTAAACTGACATATAAATAAAGACATAAGTACACCATGACAATGAGTAAAACTGACAATACATGTACACGATTACAAAAACATCAGTAAACCATGACAATGAATAAAACATATTTTATAATTACAGACACATCATTTCACCATGAAAATTAGCAAAAAAACTGACATTAGACTGTTACAGAAACATCACAACACCATGACAATGAATAAAACATATTTTATAATTACAAACACATCAGTACACCACGACAATGAATATGACCTATATTTTACAAATACAGACACATCAATACACCATGACAATAAATAAAACATTTATAATTACAGACACATCAGTACACCATGACAATGAATAAAACATATTTCATAATTACAGACACATCAATGCACCATGACAATAAATATGACCTATATTTTATAATTACAGACACATCAGTACACCATGACAATGAATAAAACATATTTTATAATTACAGACACATCAGTTCACCATGACAATGAATAAAACATATTTTATAATTACAGACGCATCAGTACACCATGACAATAAATTAAATCATATTTCATAATAACAGGCACATCAGTACACCATGACAATGAATATGACCGATATTTTATAATTACAGACACATCAGTACACCATGATAATGAATAAAACATATTTGATCATTACAGACACATCAGTACACCATGACAAAGAATATGACATATATTTTATAATTACAGACACATCAGTACACCATGACAATGAGATCAGATGGCCTTTTTCCTACAGTATTTACAAATGGTAACATATCAAAAGAGGTAACACTCAGAGTTCTGAACTTTTACGCAGAAACAGAGGAAAACAGGAAGAAAGCCAACTTGAAGGTATCACACTACATATAAAATGTATCTCTCTTTTTTCGTTATTTTTTCAAACAAATAAGAGTTATGGATAAAGGATCTAAAAACTGTTATTTATATTTTCTTGAACTCCAGAAATTTCCCTTGGCTGAAATGTTTGAAATTAATTTCTATGCTCTTTTAAAAGAAAAGTTTGGCATTCATATTTATGATATGATATAATTTGTTGGCAAATATATTAGTATATGAGTGAAAACATCTATTTTTCTCAATAAGGTTAAGGTTATGGGCTGATGGGCGGCAAGGTAAGGAATATTGATACCTATTTTGTGAAATCAACATTTCCAACAGTTTTGAATCCAGGTCTCTGAAACTTTACAGAATGATTAAAAACATATTGAAGTTGTGCAGCTGCTATTATGGTATTGATTGAGGAATTGTTCCACCTATTTCTAGACTAGATTACATCCACGCCACTTGGACTGGCGGATACTGTAATTTTAGAAATTATTGTGAGGTTTTTATTAATGCGAATAATTAGACTAGGTGAGTATTGCAATGATAAGAACTTGCATTCTGATATCTAATACATATATCTGTATGCAGATTTTTCTGACATCGCAATACTAAATGCTTGCAATAATTTCTGAATTTACAGTAGTTGTCTCGTTGGCAATCAAACTGCATCTCCTAATTTTAATATTGGGGACTAAATCATTTTTCAGCAAATTTCACAAAAGACAGTACCTATTTGAATCGTTGGTCAACTTTTAACCATATTCTTTATCAGAATTTTATCTTATTTTGAGGCTATGTATAGGGGAAGATATATATATGGTTTGTGGGAAACAGTATGTACGGGTTAATTTAATCTATATCTGCTTTCTGTGTATATAGTTTTACAATTTTTATCAATTTAGCAAAATGACAAGAAAAAGAAGAAAAAGTCAGAGAAGGAAGAAGGTCAAAAGAAGGAGAAAGTTCCATGTCCTAATTTTAGAGATTGTGAATTTATTGTTGTTGAAGTGGGCAAGACAGAGGGGAAATTACAACTAATTGAGGAACAGCTAAAAGGGGATAAATTCCAAAGTACATTAGAAACGATGGCCAAATCTATTGAATATTATGAAAAGTAGGTATTATTGACTGCATAAAATTCTACTGTTCACTTAAAACATATATGTTCTTTTTAAGTTTGTATGTTATTTGTGGCTAAAGTAGGAAATAAATCTAAGGGCCACACCAGCTCTTGGCACAAATGATTCTGTTTTTTAATGTTTTGGACTTCATTTGTTGAAGTCTAGTCTATGTGTTAGTTTAGTAAATTATATTCTTAACTCAAAAATGATCTTTAATTTGAAAGTCCTAATTAATTAGATAAAACAGAAAAACAGTGTAACATATCTACTAAATATGATTAGTTGTTAAACCTCTCATTTCCCTGTAACCAAAAGGGTTGATTGGGGTATAGAAATATGGTCATTCCTGGACTTATCCTGTTCTGAGAGTAAGACCCTTGCTAAAGTGGGTCACCAGTTTGACTGTGCAGGATGTAAAAATTTACAGCCACATATATAGACATCTCTCTGAGGGGTCAGTAGGTGGCCTGTTGCAATAGAAAGTTTCTGCCCCTTGCCAACATACCCATATTTACAGTGACAGTCCAAATTCCCCTTTTCATCTTGGTTGGTGGCAGAACCTAACAAAATATTATTGTCTTAATATGCTTGAAGTAATTGCCACTGGAAGTAAAGCAAGAAACAATCAACCAATCAATTTCATTTTTATGACAGTTCCGAAAATAATTTATGAATGCATTCTGACTATGTGTGTTGAGAAAGATTCTTTAAAATATAATTGCATTTTTTTTTAATTTGAAAAGGAGTTTTAAAGATTTGGACCTACTTGACCAGAACAAATATGCTTCACTGTGCCAGGCAAAAGAGAAAATTGAAGGCTTGGTAAAAAATTTCAATAGGATTCACTACATGTCCTTAGATCTTACAACAGGAAAGGTAAGACAATTCTATAAACAACGTTACAAATTTACAGGTACAAACAAACGAGATGTTCCTTATATAGGAGTAACTACTAATTATTTCAGAGCTATTTAAAATAACTTATAAGAAGTAACATTTTTGACATTAATTTTTATGGTAACCTTTTATCTGCATATTCCTCTCAAACTTGATGTATTCTAATAATTTATGTGATAAAATAATGTATAAATTCATAAAAACTTCATTAAGCCAATGCTTCTGTTAGAATTTAAAATAATTTTATTACGTAACTTAAAAATTAAAATTACCTATGTAGGTAATTAAAAATAATAACTTGATTAAATCATCCCCTGACTGATGATGTTATTTGATTGCAGGGAATGGATAAAGTACTGGAGAGAATAACTGATACTATGGACTGTCGCAAACTACACCAGGAAGTAAAATATAACATCCCAAAGAAATGTCAAGGTCATATACAAACAATCATGAAGGAATTGAAGAAGGAAGAGGTTATAGAATTTGGAACAGGGCTCACAATGTATGAAGAAAAAACATTGAAAATGGAAGGACATGAATTCTTACAGATTGCTAGGTTACTACATGAACAGGTAAATAAAGAAATTCATGATCTGTTGAACCCTTTGTTTGACTTAATCTATTTAATTTTTGTAATGATCCTCAACAACATGATGACAGCATGTAGAATGCTTTTTGCCTTCTTTATTTGAATAGATCTGTTTTCAGTTTTTATGACTATTTTTACACCTTCCAATTCTGTATGAAGATGTGTTATTTTACTCAATAGATATAAGAAGATGTGGTATGAGTGCCAATGAGACAACTCTCCATCCAAGTCACAATTTGTAAAAGTAAACCATTATAGGTCAAAGTATGGTCTTCAACATAAAGCATTGATAACTTCTTTTTGAAATTTATTGGAACATTAAAGTGTTGACTATAATATGAATCAATAGTTTTGTAAGTACCTTGTGTATAACCCTTAATGTAGCTAAAAAAATGTTTTTGATTCTTAAACTTTCATTTTGCAGTTTGAAATAATTTAAGATTTATAGTTAAATTCATTATTTCCCATGCAATCCACAATTCTGTAATTGAGTACAAGGTTTTGTCATGGACTACTGTCTTTAATCTTTGAATTTTGATTCATTATGTTAAAATTAATCACTTCGTGGCTGACCTGGCTCAAAATTCCAGCTTGACTTTTGGCCTCACTACGCGTTTATCATCTGTTCCACTAACTTGTCTTTTTATCATCTATTCTAAACTGTTTGGCTAATTTTGACAAAGATTCAATGTCTCTAGAAATGAGAGTTTTTCCTTGTTCCCCTCAGCTGATAAGCAGCTTTGTATTACTATCTGCCTGTCATTCATACCAACAGTAAAAAAAGATTTCAGTAATGTGACAAATTAAGCATGTAATTGAGTTCCACCTGCACATCAAATTGCTATGCTTGAAAATTTGCTTCAAATAAATTATTCTACAATCAGGTTTGACTTCATATCAATAAAAGTATCTGTCGAATTTATGACAATGAGACAACAACTCAAGTGTACATTAAACAAAACAAAGGCATATTCCTACAATGGTAGTTAAATAACTGACCATTCATTTTTCATGGGATACCAGTTTTTGTGACTTTCGTGGGTTTAGATTAACCACAAATTTAAATGTTAAAATGTTTAACAAAGTACCCATTTGCTATAGGCTTTTATGAAGACTGGCAAAATAACAAAATCAAATATACGCAAAAATGCAATGTCCTTATTCGACAAAAATTAGCTCCTATGAAATTAAATGAATCCACAGTAAACAAATATGACTAAAATCAGATGACAGTAAGACAGCAAACCAACAGTATTGTCATCTATACTGATCAGAATCTGTTATATTTACCTAGCAAAAATGTTTGTCTTACTGTAGGGAAAACTAGCATTGGTACAGCTGGGTTCAAGGACAATAGTGGCTGACATTCAATACCTTCAGTCTGTATTAGATAAGTTAGAAAGGATGTCTGCCATGCAGAAATGTGGTAAACTGTCTACAGCAATCAATGAGTCATCACATGTCTGGACAAGTGAAACAGTCAAATCTCATTTCACAGCGGAAGAAGGAAAGGTATGATAACTTGTTTAAATTTAAAAACTTAAGAAATGGTAGCGTAATTTCTTACAAGTTTTCTAAGAGACTAAACAATTTGCCTTTTTATGATTTGACATTATGCACGTCTTTCAACACAGTATATATCAACAGATGAATGATGTCAATGATTACTGGAAAAATTAAAATCTACGAAAACGTCGCCATGCGATGTCCATAAAAATGTACAAATAAAACATGTTACAGGCATCCATTTTTTATAAATGAAAAGTGAGCATGGACCAATGTCAAATTGTTTTATTTATTTGGAGAAATAACACAGCACATTAATTATTTATTTTTTACGGATGTGAATGTAAGCATTGGTGCAATTTGAGTACTCCTCATTATATCATCATTGATCGTTTGGAGGTCGGTTCAAACTAATTTTTCTATGATTCAATATGGATTCAAAATTAAATTGGTCAAACTACATAATACATAAAGAATGGAAACTTTTGCCTGGATCATAAAAAAAACCTGTCAAAATAGGTGCAATTTGGGTACCCTCACATTATATGTTTTATTTTTTAGTCAATTTTTTAAATGTAATTGAAATAATTGACAACATAAAATAATTGAAATATTTATTGAAAAAGTTTTTAAATTGAAAAAAAAAATGGATGCTTGTCTGTTTTTTCAGATTTCTCTTTTGATGGAGATTTTACAAGACTACTTTGGTTTGGTTGAGGTCCCAGTGTGGAGACAGGTTCCAGAGGATACACAGTTCTTATATACAACACTAGATTCCTTATCTACAGCACCTATACCTCTGGTAAGATTTTATATGGAAATTATCCAGAAAAACCAATAAACACAAAATTATTGAAAAATGAAACTCATATCAGAATGTGTTCTTATAGATTTATATGCAAGATTAATTAAGTTATATTTCCAGGGAAATATAAAATAGCAATATAGGATAGTTAGTAAAAAAAAACAAATTTATCAATTGTATATAGTTTTTAATACTAATAAATAAAGTTTTGAGATTAAATGACAGAAAAACAATTTATCAGTTTGTGAATTAGGAAAAGTGGTTGCTGTCTACATTGCAAGAAATCCATTATGCTATATGCAATATAAAACCTTATTCTAAACTATAATACAATTCTCTGGAAATTATATTTAGGAAGAAATCTATTTCTCTCAACCAATATCTTAAAAGATAGTATGGCTATATTTAACTACCATGGGAGGATGTGTGAGGAATAAGGATGCTTGGAAATATATGTAGTTTGATTGTGCAATTTAAATCCTTATATTTATATTTTAGCATACCAATACCATAATTTTCTGTCTGTAATCTGAATTTTATATTTTACATGAAGATTTTGACTTGGATGTTGTAGTTTATTGGTAAGAAAACATTTTCCTTGAAAGCTAGATCAAAGCATGGCTTAATTGTTATCAATGTAAACTGCTTGAGCCTAGGTGTCTACTAACTAAATATTAGGGGAAGCCTTCTCATATTTGTTCAGTCTTTGGAAATTTTCCATATAGGTGAAAATGACAATATTTTCTTCCACGTCACTATATTTGATGTCTAAATTCCAAAATTCCAAATTGTGAACAAAAATATTATTCCCTGCCTAACAAAGTAAGGGAGACACTATGTTTTCCATTGTGCGTTTCTGTCCATTTGTTAGTTTGTTCATCATTCATTTATTCCATCCTTTATTAGATTGAAGTGTACATTTAATGTAGTTTACAACCAAGATCTAATGAATGTTATTTATATGGCATGAACCTACAAAAACATATGCCAGATAAGGGTTTTGACCTAGATTTCTGGGTTCAATGAACATGATAGAACTGCAAAATTAAAACAATGGAAAATTTCTTCTATGTCAATTCTACCTCTATAAAATGTTCCTGTTTTGAAAGATGATACTAATAGAGGGCTGAAAAGTAGACATCTATGCAAGCTAATACATATTAAGATTGTTAGTATAGCAGTGAAAGCATGGTCTTTAGTGGACATATAAAGTGCTTTAATATATACTGGTTATAGATATCATAACTGTGTGGTAAATGTTTTAAAATAATATAGCATCTACTCAACTGTTTTTATATGTAAGGTCAAACCGGCATGTGAAATAGAACAGTCTTAGTAACTTAGAAATAAGTTTTCTTTGCATAAACAATTGTGCTATGTTTTTAAATGTTGAAGAATGAATATTAGAAAAGGTAAAAATTCAATTTAAATTATAAAACCAAAGGTAGGACAATTTTACTTAAAATATTAAAGTGAGTGACGACCCTTTAAAATATAAAAATGTTGAATACACCTAAAATTCTTATCAGATGTTTTACAAAACATTTTTTAAAGGTTTATTTTGGCTAATAAACTCTTACAGAATATATAAAAGAAGATGTGCAGTGTTCTCCCATGGCCTTTTAGCATCATGCTAATGACTGATGCTATATTTCTTGAATGTAATGCTATCAGAATTGATTTTCTTTTAGGTTGTTTTATGGATGTGATGCTATAATTTTAGAAACAAGATGGTATTTCAAATTTCCCTGTTTATCAGGATGCTATATGAAATATCTGGGGAGAACACTGATGTGGTATAATTGCCAATGAGACAACTCTCCACCAGAGACCAAATGACACAGAAATAAACAACTATAGGTCACCGTACAGCCTTCAACAATGAATGTTCATTGCTTAACTCGGTGAGTAGAAAACATCTGTATATTTCCGAGAGTAGAGAGAATCAACAGCTAGATATTTCTAGAGAGAATCAACAGCTAGATATTTCTAGAGAGAATCAACACCTAGATATTTCTAGAGAGAATCAACACCTAGATATTTCTAGAGAGAATCAATGGCTAGATATTTCAAAGAGAATCAACACTTATATTTCAGGGGAAAAAATCAACACCTGGATATTTCAGAGTGAATCAACACCTGTTTATTTCGTGAGAGAATCAACACCTAGATATTTCAAAGAGAATCAACACCTGGATATTTCAGATAGAATCAACTACTTGATATTTCAAAGTGAATCAACACCTGGATATTTCAAAGTGAATCAACACCTGGATATTTCAGATAAAATCATCACTTGTATTTCAGAGAGAATCGACATCTGAATATTTCAGAGAGAATCAACCTCTGGATATACCGTATAGCGGGTTATTTTCGCTTATTTTGGCGGGTCAGGAGAAATCGCGAAAATAAATTCCACGAAAATTTATGCATACGTTCGATACTTTCTAGGTTAAAGCGTTTTGTAAACTATCTACTTTTTTCCCGTTTGACGGATCAATCACGGTTCTTGTTAATTTGAACAACATAAATGCCAAAGGCCATTGTTCACTGGCTATCAGGTATTGATTACATAAAATAAATAATGATATAAGAGTGTGAGGTACGCTTGTCAGGTATTTTATCCTTATTAATTAGTGTCAAATTATATAAGAGTTGCAAGTCACTCATGATAATTTTATAATCTAATTAGTACATCAAAGGTCCGGTCAACCGTAATATTTACAAGAAGTTTGTACACCTGTGAAAAATAACTATGTACTTGTATTCTATTGATTAACTGTATCAAAATATAATCAATAAATAAGACGTCATGCAGGAAAAACAATCATTTAACCATAACAATAGGCCCTTGTTTGTCAATTTTTACAACTTTTTAGGTAGAACCATTTCAGTATCCGCCAAAATATTCAATTGGGATTAAAGAATCCGCCAAAATAAAAACCGCCAAAATTTTTCGTATACTTTGTTGCCCTTAAATCGCGAAATTTTACACCCGCGAAAATAACCCGCTATACGGTATTCATAAAGAATCAACACATGGATATTTCAGAGAGAAACAAAACCTGGATATTTTAGAGAGAATCTGCACCTGGATATTTCAGATAGAATCAACACCCAACACATGGATATTTCTAGAGAGAATCAACACATGAATATTTCAGAGAGAAACAAAACATGGATATTTCTAGAGAGAATCAGCACCTGGATATTTCAGATAGAAATAACACCTTGATATTTCTAGAGAGAATCAGCCTCTGGATATTTTAGAGAGAATCAGCACCTGGATATTTCAGAGATAAACAACACCTGGATATTTCACTACCATGTAAACCCTTTTGGTTTTTTTATCAGAAAGAGTTTTAGGGTGAAATATATGAAACAATAGATTTCATTGATATGAAAATGTATTCTTATTTCAGAGAGAAGGAGAAAGATTGAGGATTTCAGTGCTATGAAAATGTTTTTTAATTTCAGAGAGATTTCTAAGGTGATAAAGAGAGAACCAAGGATTTCAATGCTAAGAATATGTTTTCTAATTTCAGAGAGAATTTTGGGGTGAAGGAGAAAGAACAAAGAATTTCATTGCTATGCAGAAAACATTTAGCTTCATCCATTCAATATCTGATCATACATTAGCTGCAGTCCTGTCGTCTGCTACCAAATATGGTCGAACATTGCTGATAACACCAGAAGGTGCTGTTTTCCAGATAGGATGTGTGCAGACTGTTATTGCTAGCCACAAAGGACTGATGGGTAGGTTTTATGCTTTCATTTAAAAGATTTGCTCTGTCTGTTGGTCTGCTAATGTTTTCCAGATGATTGCACAATTTTAGACTTTGGAATTATTTTTAGTTTTAGTTCACTTGCCATTCATTATCTTTATTGATTGTTAAGCTTGAAGAGATCAGTCTCGTGAATCAGAATATTTGAAATCCCTCAATACTCTTGAATTTAGCTAACATTAATAAGGAGTTACTGATAAGATAAGAGTTTTAAAGTAATATGCAATGTTCTTGGGCAATAAGGGACATGATATGGCTTCTGTTACTTAAAATAAAAAATCAATCTATGAAAGTCTGTAAAAGAACCAGTAGATTGTAAATTTAAGATTCCTTGAAAAGAAGTATGGTTCAATTGCTATGAAAAAGAATGTTCAACTAAGATTTCAATGCAAGAAAATCAAAAAAAATATTTTTAAGGACCTATTAAAACCCAGCAGGTGAAAATGTTACACATAAGAAATTATAGTTAATTAACCCCATCAGCCCCTCTCCATAATATCTGGTAACCCAAAAATCATGTTTTTATTGAGTCCAATTTAATAGTAGAAGCAATATTAGTACATGTATCATACTTAGCATGTCCAGAGTAAAGTTGAAAGTATACATGCTTGTTTAATATTCATCAATCCTTATTTTTCAACAATATTGTTTATCCTGTGAATGTATATGAATGTATGTATATGATACTGATTTCAGACCTGATTTTTCATGAATTACAACCTTCATTTGGTAAGATACAACCTTTTCAAAATTGAAATTTTATAATATGTATTTATGCTTCAGTTATAGAGAAATTTTGAAGAATTATTACTGTAACACTAATTTAATTTGTCTTTTTTAGACCTGCTTGTCACAGGCACTTGTCTTTGAAAAAGATTTACCTATCTACATTGATATAACACAGGGGTAACCCAACTCAAATTATTGAGAAGTGACACTTGGTTGTGAACTTTTGTTATATTTTGATTATGCAGTTGTCTATCAAACTGAAACTTGTAATGTCATAAGTCTACATTAAATTATCTACAAAATGATGATTTCGCTTTGACAAGGCAAATAATTTACAGTTCACCCACTTTTAAGGACTTGCTATCAATGATTCCCACAACAGAAATAAGCATGGCATACATCATTTTGTAGATAATATAATGCAGATTTATGACATAATAACCTTAACAAGTTTCAGTTGGAGAGACAACCATGGAATGGAAATATATCGAAAGTTCATGATCAAGTGTCAGTTTTCAAAAATGTGAGTTGGGTCTGGGTACCTTGTGTTATTTTGAGGTTATGGGTAAAAAAATCAGACAAGTGCCTGTGTTGCTCTGCTTTGGCAATTTTAACTGCTTTTCTATGAAATTACTCAAGTTACAAAAACTGAAAAGGATGATGTAGATATAGCATGCCCCTGATATGTTTTATGAAGAATTAGAGAATTAAAATTTATGCCATCCTTTGCCCTTAATGTTTTTGTGAATATCACAAATTTTTCAAGACCCAACAGTTTAAACTGCACAACTTATGAGTTATACAAAGTGTTAATGATTTATCATTTTGTTGTACAATATGGTTAAATGCTCATACCAAATAAGACCATCTTATAATTTTAGAGTAACAAAATTGCCTGGAGAAAAACAGCTTCTTTTAGAATGACAAGCTAACAATAGGAAATTTATAACTAACTTGTTTTGTGTGCGATTTCCTTCTTGAATACTTATGGCTCATAAGAAATTTCAGATTTGATGATGCATGTATTTTCAATGTCCTACAAAAATGGTGCAGGAAATTTTATATACTAACTATTTGATTAAATATTTAACTGGTTGTTATATCTTTATGAAAAGGAAGAAAATGTTATTAATTTTTTTATAACCCGTCCAAATCTCTTCCTGAGTTCTTTGTTAATTGTAAGATTTGATTGCCAACTGAGCAAGACCCTCATGTGAAGTCAAGGTCGTGCTTCTCAATCAAGTTTACATGTGTTTGCAGAGGTGAGAGCATGTCTAGTAAACGATCTGTCAAGCAGTCTGTCTCTCTCAAATACAAAAAGAGTATCCAGTACATAGCTATTTTCTTGTTTGCCATGGCAAGACATTTTCAATGCAACTAACGGTTAACCCTTGGAGTCATTCCTAACCCCCTCCCCCTGGGCCTCATATAATAAATTGTTAAATATCTCAAAAATGTTTTAGATCCCAACACCTGAAGCTTGATAAGACCTTTCAAGTTCACCATAGGTTTTGTCCCTGGGTCCCTTAACTCAAGGTGACTACCATATTCATTCATTTGGGTTGGTTGCAGTTGACAAGTTTATTACCCTGGAAGCCAGTCAATCCAACATTATTGGTCTTGTTTGTAAACTCACTTAAGTAAAAGAACATTAAGAAATAGAGAAAAAATACAGAGGGGACAAACAAAAATCATAAGTCTCAAACTAACAGAATACACAACACATTATGGCCAAAAAGAAAAACAAACAAAGGCCAAACAACAATAACAAAACACTACAAGGAAATTAAAAGAGTTAGCAACATGAAGCTAAAAAAAAAGGCGGGGTCGAACTCTGGTAGGGTCAACAGTTTCTGATCCACTAGTAACACCTGCCATATTTTCTGGTGAGATTACATTGATGAGTCATGTTTAAGTTTATTACAGTATGACTTACTGTAAATTCAGAAATTATTGCATTTATTATTGCGATTTTTGAAGAATAGACAAAAATGGGAGACTATTTATTGCGATTTCAGGAAAATCTGCATACTTATGTAGGTATCAGATATCTGAATGTGAGTTCTGATTATTGTGATACTCGTCTTGTCGCATTATTCGCAATAATAAAAACCATGCAATAATTTCTGAATTTACAGTAACTACATTTTACATTTAACCTAAGCACAGTTTTAACTTCATACATTTCCCACAAAATAAGAAAACTGGATATATTTGCTATTCCAATGAATTTTAAGATCTGTAATGATATATGGATATTTGTCAGTGAAGCCATTTTGTTTTCCAGAAAATTGTGTGATAACAATAGAATCAAAGTGTTACTTACCAGACATGAAGGTTGGACCGGTCGATGAACTTACAGAGACATATGTCAGGGAATATACTTGGAACATTTTTTGTTTGTACACAGACTTGTTGGAAAAAGTTCTGAAACAAAAAAATATAATATACCTTCAAACTGGAGAGGCACCTACAGATCTAGGTAAGAAATGATAGTTTTACTATTCACCACGGTTGTATATTAATATATATTATCCCGATTACTATAGACACATATTTTTGGGGTTGTGCCTTCATTTTAAATCGGTATAGATAAAATGAGATGTGTTATGATTGCAAATAAGACGACTATCTACTAGAAACAGAAGGTTGTGGATGTTAGGTGTTAGATACTTTTCAAATGTGGATGAAGATTTACACTCATTAAAACCACAGATGAGTTAGCTAAACCCAAAAAATCTAAAGTGGAAACCATTTTTGGGGAGTAGGACTTGTAAAAATTTTCCATATTAATTCTTGTTGCATGGATAGCTTCTTCATTTCTTATCAAATTGTCTTTAAATTTGTTTGATGGTTTCCACACAGTAAAAACTTGAACTTGATGATAAATAAAATCTGGAATAAGGATGAATTTTTCTACACAGAGACTTTTACAAATATCCTTTATTAATTATTAGGGACTTGGGTAGCTTGCTCACTAAAGTTCTTTAATTATACTACCCAAAATCAACCTTATAATATAAGCAATTTTGTCCATTCAATCTGCCATAGAAGTGATGGATTGAAAATGATAGTTTTTAATGGTGCTACGGTAGTAATGAAGTATAAACAAACAATTGTAGAATTTGTTTTGTACTTTGTCAATTTAAAGTTTTCTTCGAGGATTTTTCAAAAATATAAGTAAAGGTATATTTTAGCATATCTTCTGTGCAAAATTCTTATATTTTATATTTTATCATGAACAAATCTTTCTTATATATAAATGTCACTTGGAAATTGCATGTGAGATATGTATGCTTTCAGAAAATGTATAATATTTTGTAAAACACAGCAAAAGAATGACGACATTTGCCTATATATGATTTTAAAATGATTATGGAAAAACATTCTTAATTGTTTTATGTGCCTTATAATTTATGGGCCTTTTTTAGTTTCTAGTTTTTGAGATGTACTGCGCCAGGCTTCCTAGTTTATAAATTTGTAGAAATGTTAGAAATGTATTTCTCTGGTTGCAATTGTAGAACACAAATAATCTTGATTTCTTGTTTTGCAGCAAACTTATCAGTGGGTTGTAAACACACATGGAAGCATATTCCTGGTAAAGCTAACCAATCTATCTGTACTATGTGTAACAAGTGTTGTGACCAGGGCAGGAAGTGTAAATACAACAGAATTATGGGAAATAATTTAAGAGAATGTCTGTGCAAGACTTCATCTCCAGGATGTGTAGATTGCGGAATATGTATTGAATGTGCTGCTGATTTATGGGTACATAACTCAAATATATAAAAAAACAATAAGTCAGTATTATAAACAAATTCTACAAAGACACCCCCCCCCCCCCCTTTTCCTAAAAAAAACACAAACAAAAAACACAAGAACAAAACACAAACAAACAAAACAAAAAAACAAACACAGAACCTTCCCAAAAAAAAAAAAACAAAAAAAAAAAATTACAAAAACAAAACAAAAACCAACCTCATAACCAAAATATTTAACCTGTTATGCTTGCAGACAGGCTGATTATTTTTTAAATGGTATTTTAAATTCATTAATGGCAACAAGTGACAAAGTTTTCAACCAATGCTTTTCATATTTTAAATGTTGTTGCTGATAGCAAATTTGAGTTTAAACTCCATATTGAACATTTTTGTTTTGTCACTCAGGAGTTATGGCTCTGATAAATTGAAAAAAACTTGGTTTGCTGTCATTTTGACAGCCATTCAATAATTTTTTCGAAGAGGAAGAATATTTCCAATATTTGTTTTGGGTCTGGGTAACACACATAGCTGTTGTTTCCCATATCAAGTCTGGTAGCTTGAAATTGAAGTCTGATAAAAGTCCAAGGTTGTCAATGAACTGCCATAGCAGAAACATGTTATGAATGAACTGCCAAGGTAAGCACCTGTTGTGAATTAACTGCCAAAGGTAGACAACTGTTGCAAATGAACTGCCAAAGGTAGACAACTGTTGTGAATGAACTGCCAAAGGTAGACGACTGTTGTGAATGAACTGTCAAAGATAGACAACTGTTGTGATTGAACTGTCAATTGTAAACAAATTTCGTGAATGAACTGCCAAAGATAAACACCTGTTTTGAAAGAGTTGCTAAGGAAAACAAATGTTGTGAATGAACTGCCAAAGATACACACCTGTTTTGAAAGAGTTGCTGAGGAAAATAAATGCTGTGAATAAACTGCCAAGTTAAAGATCTGTTGCAAATTTGTGTCCGATTTGGTTTAATTTAAGGTTTTTTGTTGCATAACACTGAAATGTTTGTTTTGTTCTAATATACCAGAAAATATTTTTATTTCATACTTAGAATGAAAATTTTTTAAAATTGCTCAACATTTTGTTTGATATTGCAGAGTATTAGAAGTTATTTGAGACCCATGCCTATAACAGAAAAGAATTCCAAAGTAGTGAAAACAGAGAAAGTTGAAGGGAAACTATCAGATACAACAGAGGATAAAAATGTTCAGAAGAAAGTTACACCAGAGGAAACAAACAATGTCTTCTTACAGATCCCACTGGATCCTGTAGCTTTTAATGAGCTTGAATACCAGCACATCTCTGGTGGCAGCCTTGGTGTTGTTCTGAAAGAGTAGGTCGTCTGTAAAAGATTAAGATTCTGTAATACACAATCATATGATACTGATTTTTAGAAGTTACAAAACTAATATCTGGTATAGCTCTATTAGTCTTGATTAGTCTTTGTTGAATTACACATATATGATACCGATTCTAATACTCACAAAACTTGTATCTTGTACAACTTGATTAATGTAAAAGCAAATTACTGTTAAACAATGGTTGCATGTTTGCAAAGATCTGATGTGATTATTTTTGTGAGATTTTAGTTTTGCTTTTTTTTAAAATTGTATTTGCTTTAAAGAGTTAACTATTTTATGCCAAGATAAGTTTTGTGGATGATTAATAGAGACTTATGACTGAGAATTGAGAAAAGACCTGGAATTTAAAACTTAAATGAAATTTTAAATGTTCACAAGAGTGATCAACTTGTATTCTTAGATGATTCTTGGTTGTTACTCTGACAGAACAAACTTAGATTGAAACTAACTTTTTCAACTGTGAATTTTCATCTTTTAACAGATCCTTCCTTACCCATAAACCATATAAATTCCTAAATTGTCATAAGACCTTTCCACTGCACCATAGGTTTAGTCTCAGGAGGCTATGCTCAACCAGTGATATTGTTAATTGTAAAATATCTAAATAAAATGTTGTTTCCATTTGTCAACTTAATATATTCTTAAATGTCTTAAAAGACTTATCTAGTGCACTCTTTGATTCATGATGCCCTGTCGCCCTCTCATGTTATAAATTGTTTAGTAATCTCTACAACTGGTCATCTTTCCTCCCCCTAAAGCAGGTATGTTCTTAATTGTCATGACAATACTTATTAGTGCAAAAAAAGATTAGTCCTTTCCTTTGTATGAATAGCATCTATATAGAAACAAGTTAGGGATATGTTTAGAATCTATATAGATCCAAGTTAGGGATATGTTTTAGCATCTATATAGATCCAAGTTAGGGATATGTTTTATCATCTATATAGATACAAGTTAGGGATATGTTTTAGCATCTATATAGATACAAGTTAGGGATATGTTTTAGCATCTATATAGAAACAAGTTAGGGATATGTTTAGCATCTATATAGATCCAAGTTAGGTATATGTTTTAGCATCTATATAGATCCAAGTTAGGGATATGTTTTAGCATCTATATAGATCCAAGTTAGGGATATGTTTTAGCATCTATATAGATCCAAGTTAGGGATATGTTTTAGCATCTATATAGAAACAAGTTAGGGATATGTTTTAGCATCTATATAGATCCAAGTTAGGGATATGTTTTATCATCTATATAGATCCAAGTTAGGGATATGTTTTAGCATCTATATAGATCCAAGTTAGGGATATGTTTTATCATCTATATAGATCCAAGTTAGGGATATGTTTTAGCATCTATATAGATCCAAGTTAGGGATATGTTTTAGCATCTATATAGATCCAAGTTAGGGATATGTTTTATCATCTATAAAGATCCAAGTTAGGGATATGTTTTAGCATCTATATAGATCCAAGTTAGGGATATGTTTAATCATCTATATAGATCCAAGTTAGGGATATGTTTTATCATCTGTATAGATCCAAGTTAGGGATATGTTTTAGCATCTATATAGATACAAGTGAGGGATATGTTTTAGCATCCATATAGATCCAAGTGAGGGATATGTTTAGAATCTATATAGATCCAAGTTAGGGATATGTTTTAGCATCTATATAGATACAAGTAAGGGATATGTTTTAGCATCTATATAGATCCAAGTTAGGGATATGTTTTAGCATCTATATAGATACAAGTAAGGGATATGTTTTAGCATCTATATAGATCCAAGTTAGGGATATGTTTAGAATCTATATAGATCCAATTTAGGGATATGTTTTAGCATCTATATAGATCCAAGTTAGGGATATGTTTAGAATCTATATAGATCCAAGTTAGGGATATGTTTTATCATCTATATAGATCCAAGTTAGGGATATGTTTTAGCATCTATATAGAAACAAGTTAGGGATATGTTTTAGCATCTATATAGATCCAAGTTAGGGATATGTTATAGCATCTATTTAGATCCAAGTTAGGGATATGTTTTAGCATCTATATAGATCCAAGTTAGGGATATGTTTTATCATCTATATAGATCCAAGTTAGGGATATGTTTTAGCATCTATATAGATCCAAGTTAGGGATATGTTTTAGCATCTATATAGATCCAAGTTAGGGATATGTTTTATCATCTATATAGATTCAAAGTTAGGGATATGTTTTAGCATCTATATAGATCCAAGTTAGGGATATGTTTTAGCATCTATATAGATACAAGTTAGGGATATGTTTTAGCATCTATATAGATACAAGTTAGGGATATGTTTTAGCATCTATATAGATACAAGTTAGGGATATGTTTTAGCATCTATATAGATACAAGTTAGGGATATGTTTTAGCATCAATATAGATACAAGTTAGGGATATGTTTTAGCATCTATATAGATACAAGTTAGGGATATGTTTTAGCATCTATATAGATACAAGTTAGGGATATGTTTTAGCATCTATATAGATACAAGTTAGGGATATGTTTTAGCATCAATATAGATACAAGTTAGGGATATGTTTTAGCATCTATATAGATACAAGTTAGGTATATGTTTTAGCATCTATATATACTACAAGTTAGGGATATGTTTTAGCATCTATATAGATACAAGTTAGGGATATGTTATAACATCTATATAGATACAAGTTAGGGATATGTTTTCATTCTTCTAGAACAGTCCTCCAGCTTTCATTTGTTTTTGGTAAGATTAATTTTTAGGGGCTCACGTAACAAATCATTTAGTTTGTCATACATCTATATATTTGAAAGTGTATCAACAAGGTATTTCAAACAGTTAACATAGAGCTTGAAGGAAACATGATAGAATAGCTTAATTAATTGTTTTTATGCACATTTTAAACTTTTGTATGGAACTGATTTTTTTTAATTTTCTGAGGCAGTGGAAAAGAGACACTAGTCTTCTTTTTGTAATTCCTTAATGAATTTATTTTAGGATAGATGATGGTTCTTGTGTCAGCATTTTTCCAGGGAAAGCTACAACTTTATCAACTGATACAGATGAGCAAAAGATATCAGATAGAATTAAAGTTCTAATGAAACAAGCTACAGATATTAAGTACAAAAGTCAAGTTGGAGAAAGTCTGAAACTGCGCATCACTGATCCCTTTGTAAGTATGATCATGTTATTTAGATCAATTTGAAACAAACATTCAAATCAGGGCTTCCAAAATTATTTTTTGCCGTCCGGACATTTATATATTATCCCGATTTTAATCCCTTAAGACTAAATAAACAAAATGCAATTATGGTAATCAGTTGTTGAGTTGGCCATCCCAATGATTGACATTAAAAAAAAACGATATTAAACTTTCTTTGATTCAAATTCGAAGTTCTGACGTAAACTGTTAAATTGGCAGTGCATCATTCGAAGTGTGCAACATCAGCGTACTTATATCTGACTTAGACTCTTTATTTGTGCAAAATAACGTTGTCAAAAACTTTACTTTCGTTTTAATCTAATACTGGATGTTATCCATTTGTCACAACTCGGCCGATTCCGTACCTTCATCTAACCGAATGAAGGAGAGTAGCAGATTCACCCGAGGATTGCCGATTGGGATGTTATCTTGACAATGGTAAAACATGGACTAGAGACGGATATGTTCAAAAACATGTTTATGACGATTTTTCATTTTCACCTTTTCAATTTTTATCATCAAATCCTATTTGTAAACGTATTTCTGATAATTTAAATCTTTTTGACCAAATTAATTAGATGCAAACCGCTGAAATGTAAGAAAATAACTTTGAATAGACCGATCAATGTCCGGTTCAAAATAGTTTACCTGTCACCTGAACAGGTAAATTTCAGCTGTTCGACAACTAATTAGCCTTGATTAAAATGAGAAGGTATTAAAGTAGGGGTTGTTTTGATAGTACTTAATGATCATGTCACTTTTATGACCGGAAATGTGTGGCTGTTAAGGGCAAAAGGTTGGGTAAAAAAGATCGTGAATTATGTTAAAATGACCGTCTCTTAAGAAAGCCTTGAAAACTAAAAAGTAGATGACCGTTTCATGCTTTGCCCAGCCGGAATTTTACCGGACATTATACAAATGTCGGGAATATATGACCGTTTTGGAACCCTTGATTCAAATGTCAAATTCAATACCTCATTGATGAAGGCTGTACGTTGACATATAGTTGTAAATGTCTGTGTCATTTGGTTTCTTGTGGAGAGTTGTCTCATTGGCAATCATACCACATCTTGTTATCTTTAGATATTTATAGATTATAACATGCCCTTTTCCATATTGGCCCTCGTATCATCCTGATATGGGATGATACCAGGGCCAATATGGAAAAGACATGTTTTAATCTATTTATCACATATTTAAGTTCTGCAGAAAAGAGAAAAACATTCAATTATAACTATTTAATTAACCACAACAGGTAAGTTCTAAAAAGATTTATCACATTTTCCATTATTTTTTTTTCATTTGCTGCTAACTTTATTGTTAAATTTCCCCTTATTTTTTTAATATGGTCATACACAAAAGCGATAATTTGGCATTACTGAGGCTAAAAATCGAAAATAGTTGGTTGGACATTGTTACTAGTGGCCATTGTAGCAGAATTCTCATAATTTTCAATACAAAAACCATCATTTTTTCTCCATTGTGGTTAAGGACGCAATGACATCACGTCATTTGGAATCAGGGCACAATAACCAACAACTACTTTTTTGCCCAGGGCAGCAATATGAGGAGGACAATTTTGTGGTTATTACATATGCAAAATCCAATGATTTCGTTAACAAGTATGTGATAAATCATTTTATACCATTTGGATTTCCCTTTTATAGGCATATAAACTGCTTGTGATAGACCTGAATTAATTCCCAAGTTCTCATTTGAACCAATCTCAATGGATCTCCATGTTAGACCTAATGGATTAATTTGTTTGGTCTTAATAATTATTTCCACATTAAATGAGGGTGGAATTAAAGTAGTTGAGCTAATCAGGATCCATTCTGTCATTCACGTTATGTACTTTATCATTCCACCAAGATCCATTCTGTCATTCACGTTATGTACTTTATCATTCCACCGAGATCCATTCTGTCATTCACGTTATGTACTTTATCATTCCACCGAGATCCATTCTGTCATTCACGTTATGTACTTTATCATTCCACCGAGATCCATTCTGTCATTCACGTTATGTACTTTATCATTCCACCGAGATCCATTCTGTCATTCACATTATGTACTTTATCATTCCACCGAGATCCATTCTGTCATTCACGTTATGTACTTTATCATTCCACCGAGATCCATTCTGTCATTCACGTTATGTACTTTATCATTCCACCGAGATCCATTCTGTCATTCACGTTATGTACTATATCATTCCACCGAGATCCATTCTGTCATTCACGTTATGTACTTTATCATTCCACCAAGATCCATTCTGTCATTCACGTATCCATTCTGTCATTCACGTTATGTACTTTATCATTCCACCAAGATCCATTCTGTCATTCACGTTATGTACTTTATCATTCCACCAAGATCCATTCTGTCATTCACGTTATGTACTTTATCATTCCACCAAGATCAGTGTGTGATTTATTGTACCCCACACTATGAAGAAGAATGGTGATGAGGATATTATTTTTTACACATCTGTCGGTCAGTCGTTAAGTCATTTTGGTTGCCTGATGCTAAATCAAATACTTTTATATGGATAGCAACCTTTCTTGGATTTTAAACTCTGTCTGGTGAACAAACACCTGTGTGAATCCTTTCGGTAGAGTCCATGACTTGGATATATGTTGACATATAATGAGATCCCTATTGAATATTAGGTCAGAAATATAATGACAGGGAGATCCCTATTGAATATTAGGTGAGAAATATAATGAGAGGGAAATCCCTATTGAATATCAGGTCAGAAATATAAGGAGAGGGAGATCCCTATTGAATATTAGGTCAGAAATATAGTGAGGGAGATCCCTATTGAATATTAGGTCAGAAATATAATGAGAGGGAGATCCCTATTGAATATTTGATCAGAAATATAATGAGAGGGAGATCCCTATTTAATATTAGGTCAGAAATATAGTGAGACTGGTGCATGGTGTCCAATGGACCTATGTGCTTGTGTATTATAAAGTATTAGCAGAATAAATTGAATACATTGACTTAACCAAAATATATCTGACTTTCAGAGTTCAAAGCCTAAAATAAAAATGTCTATGATTGAAAGAGATATGGCCCAAAGCAACAGGTTGACATACCACACTTATGTAAAGTTAAACTTTATGTGCAGATAACATGGATCTTCATGCATAGATACATGAAGATCCGCACAATGCAGCCTTTTAACTGCGTTTATCTCCTCTTTCCCTCAATCATTATGGGGATGAGTTAATTTGTACATAACCTTTGTTTGTATTTGGTGCATAGTTGAATAATGGTTATATATTTAACTTCTTTCATGTTTTATTCCTATTTACGTACTTTTAATTAAATTAAAGCCCTCAGAATAAAAAAAAAAAAAGAAATTTGTACAAATGTACATGATTACACTTTTTGTCTTGCCTTTATATCTTTCCTGCTGATTCTAAGTATTTATTTATATTGTGATAAGATAAAATGACTGAATTTTGTATGGCAAACCAATCCATCGAACTTAACTTTATTGGAATTTAGTTATTGTTGAGCCTGCAACATTTATCTAGCGGAAACAATACATAGCGATCCTAGATTCTGTTATCAGCAACGTCAAAATTTTAGTTATAGGGAATTTGGAAAGAAGCTTGTTTGTCACCAAAAAAAAGTATCCAGAGTGAAATTTTGAAAATAGTTTTTATTTTTATTTTTCTGTATTTTACTGATAAATGGACTAAGTTTTTTTTTACTGTTAACATTTAGATACAGTCTAAGGTTAAAGTTTTTCAGTCATCAAGAACATGTCAAACCTTCTTGGAATTGTAGGGAAGTTGGACAGAAGCTTTTTTAATGATAAAAAGCCATTCTCATGATCAAATTGATGAAAAGAATTTTTCAAATTGTTTCTGTAATTTATTGATAAAAGGACTTAATTTAGCAGTAAACAGGTAGATACAGTCTGGAGTTAAAGTTTGTTACAAATCAACTACTTTGTCTAACCTTCATAAAATTTTATGATTCCTTTTGCAGATGCATTTTTATACCCCTGCTTTAAAAAAAGTGGGGTATACTGTTTTACCTCTGTCTGTCCGTCCATCCATCCCATCCGTCTGCCCATCCATCCATCCGTCCATCCGTCAGTCTGTCAGTCCGTCAGTCCGTCCATCCGTCCCATGAATATATTTCGTCGCATCTTTCTCAGGAACTACATTACAAGGATTTTTGGATTTTTTTCTTTATTCAATGACTTTGTGTCAGGAAATTTTGACTATGAATGCTGCAAGAACTGTGGCACCTATTGGTACAAAAATATGATTTGGAATAAAGAAATTGACATGAGCAGGAACTCGTGCGATTTATAAAATTGAGAATGGAAATGGGGAATGTGTCAAAGAGAAAACAACCCGACCATAGAGTAGACAACAGCCGAAGGCCACCAATGGGTCTTCAATGCAGCGAGAAACTCCCGCACCCTGAGGCGTCCTTCAGCTGGCCCCTTAACAAACATGTATACTAGTTCAGTGATAATGGACGTCATACTAAACTCCAAATTATACACAAGAAACTAAAATTAAAAATGATACAAGACTAACAAAGGCCAGAGGCTCCTGACTTATGACTGTATGTTGAGTACAAAAAGTCAACCAATGTACAAAATGTACTATAGCAAGCCCTTAGATTTACCCAAAGCTGTCCTTTTTGTTGACAAACAGCCTCTGTCCCCAGCCCTTCAATAGATTCATTAAACAACTTCTTCTTTTTGGTTAAATTCATGTTTTACATATTAACAGGCCATTTCACGACTATTGTGGTCATATTGAATATTGAAGGGTATATTTTTTGGATGGAGGTGGAAACAGTCAGAAAGTATGGGTGAATCTTTGCATGTTTCCAAGTAACAGTTCTCTTTCAATGATCTTTTTCCGTGTTTTTTAGATCAGTTTTATCTTCATTATGAAAATCTACCTCTATTCAATATGGCTGCAATAACAGTGAAAGCGCCTATTATATTTGCACCTTGCATAAGGATCTTAAAAGCATCAACCCTAGTATTTTCAACTACCATTGAATTTGAATTTTTGTTTTTATAAATTTTGTATTTTGCTGAAAAATGGACTCACATTTACAGTCAACACTACACTTTTACACTGACAGCAGCAGTTGCAGGGAAGACACAGGATTCAGTGGAAACACTTTATGAATTTTTGAACCTTGAAATTTTTTTTTTTTGCACTTAGAAAATATTTTGTTTATTTGACTTTGAAGATTTACTATGAACAATTTATCTTGTAGAAAGTGATCACCACAGGAGAAGACAAACTGGAAGTGTCAGGGATACAAGAGTCAAGAGTTGTCTACCATGCCAGTATTTGTAGGGAGATGAGTGTCAGTCATGAGTCAGGATTACTATGGTAATGTTTTGTTTATTATACAAATAATTACTTTAAATCAGGTAGATACAATGCTTCTGACCCAAAGTATTATATTTACTGTACTCTAGAAGAGACAAGATTCAGCTTGATTTTCCTACATGCCTATGAAAGAAGTGGGGTATTAGAATGTTAGCATGAGTTACAGGAGTGCAGAGTATATGTCAATGATACAGCAACAAAAAATTAGACACCTATAGGGCAAAAGTTTGAGGTAAATATAAATAATTGTATTCTCTATGCATATTTTTTTTATAATTGTAAAAATATACTAATAAATAATTAGAACCATTATATTTTACAGTTACAACTCTGCATCACATTCTATACCAGTGGCTCAATTTATTGGTCCAAAGCCTTTCTCTGAAAATTTGAAGAAAATCAGTCTGAGTAAGTATAGAAGCCAGTCTAAATAAGCACAGTTTGAAAATTTAAACTGTCTTTTTTTTTATAATTATTATGCAACACAATTTGTATGAAAAAAAGTATTTATAATAGAGTTTGAAAAATATAGGTCACCATATTTACTCACCAATTTCATATATACGGGGGGAAGTCACACTTTTGTGAATACAACAGAAATTCATCTCTAGAAATTAACTTTTTTGGGATACATCTTTTAGAGGATTTTTTTCTGGAATTGAAAAGAAAAATGAGGATATATATAATTCTTGTTTTCTTTCTATTTTATATAATTTTGTGTAAAAGATACTTGAAATGCATTAGTAAAATTATACAACCCTAGTTTGAACTTGTTAAGGTGAAGTTAAGTCTCTTGTGAACAATCACAGATATTTTTTATTTCTTGATTATTCAATATTTGGAGATTTCAATGAAAGCTTGACACAAATTAGGAAAATACAGAAGGAGAAGGTCAAATGTAATTTAAGCTCTCTCACATTTTCAATGTAAGATTTGAATCTACATACTTTAATAAAACATTACAGTTTTAGTGTTAAGAATCCCTTTATTTGGTGGTATATAGTATGGTGATGTCAGGCTGTTGGGAAGGCAGGTGTGGAAAATGGGTTCTTATTTTGTGTAATCAACTCCTGCAGTTTTCAACCAAGATTCCATGAAACTTCACAGAATGATTGCACATATATTGAAATTGTGCACCTATTATTATTGAAGTGTTTAAGGATTTTTTTCCCATTTTTCCACAGTTTGGAACTTTTTCATTTTTAACACAATTAACTTACATAACATGGTACTAGTTTTGTGTAATTAACTCCTCCTAGTTTTCAGATGATATACCTGAAACTTCACAGCTAGATTGTACATATGTTGAAGTTGTGGACCTGATATTATAGGATTGTCCGAGGAATTTTTTCTTAATTTTCTGTAACTTTAATAGTCATTTTCAGCAAATTTTTCAAAGCACAGTACCAATTTTGTTGTATTGAACTCATTCCGGTTTTATATCCAGATCATCATGGTCATAGTAACAATTAAGTATGAGGTCCATTGAATTTCTAGAACAGCAATCGTCATTAAACTGCAATATGATAAAGAGGTCCATTATTTAACATAACTGAGATAACATAACTGTGGATTCATCAATACTTAAATCAACTTAGCCAGATTTCATAGGTTTCAGGTTAAAAACATGTTTTGACCAATTGCAATATTGGTTATTTTGATTAGGTAAAAAAATGACAAATTCAGTTTACAACAATAGAAATATAATTCACAGTATATGCTTGTTGTTTAGTCTAATGATGCTTGAGTTTTATTAGTGCTGACAATTTTGTTTGTCTTTATCTTAAATGTGTGTTTTTATGTACCCATTATTTATAGAAATAATAGACTGTGGTGACAAGACTAATATAGGAATCGGTATCTGTCCAGGAAAGACTTACCCAGTCAACAGAATGCCTGGGTGGAATAGATGGTCAATAGCTTATCATGCTGATGATGGAGGGTGAGAATTAAAGTCACAATCTCTTTAAAGTGACAATTAAAGTTGTAGTTTAGTTTATGTATGGGGTCGCTCCCTATTCAGAGTTTTAAATTTTAATTGACTTTGATTCTTTAGCCTGAAAGTGAAATATTGGCCTAAATTTTTACCACATTATTTTACCATACATTACAAAGATATGTTATATGTTTATGAGACTTGTCTTTAGTTATGAGGTGTGGAAGGACATTTTAGTAACTTAATGTTGAATGGTCAGGAGAAATTGTTAAATTATGGAAAATATAATCCATTGTTATGTACAGCATGGTGCAAAAAATTGAAGAAAATGGTCCTTACATGTTTAAGCAATAAAAACAATATCAGGATCTGTTATTTTCAGTCTATAAAAACATATCCTATGATCTGATACATAACCCAAGATGAGCACTGTCTTCAGATGTCAGTATTCTATTACCTGTACTTCACTGAACTGACACTTATATATGATATTTCAGAGTGTTTATAGAAGCCGGTGCTGCTAATTCCCATGTTGTTAAATGTACCAAAGGAGATGTTATGAGTATGTTCTGTGATGTTGTTTCTAGACAACTTGTCTTCTACAAGAATGATCAAGAGGTAAGCTAGTCTTCTACAAAAATGATCAAGAGATTTGCATAACCTCAAAGTTGCATATATCTATGTCAAACTCCAAGGGGTATAAAAATATGATCATCCCTTTCTCTCAAACTGGCAGTAAAACCCTTACAAAATTGAGTTGTTTGTTTGGGCTTGCAGGATGAATAAATTCACAGCCACGTCTTGTCAGAATGGGGATGTTAAATCAGAAGTCTCCTGTAGAGTGGCAAGCTATCTGCACATTAAAGAACCCTGGAAAAAACTCTTTGGGTGGTCCTTAGGTAGCCTGGTGCAATGCAAAATTTCTGTCCCTATCCATCATACCCTAATTTTCCAGTGGTAGTCCATATCCCGCCCTTCATCCCTATGGACCCATACCTTGCAGGACCTACCTATTGTATAAAGTATTGTTTCTCTTTCTGAACATGCATGAAATATTTTGCCACTGGCCATAAAGCTATTCACACCATGGCATATTATATTAAAACACTTATAATGTAACATCACCAAATTAGACTTATCACCAAGTTTGTACTAAGATGAGTAAACACAATGGATGCCACATGTGTTGCAGGTTCTGCTTACCCTTTCGAAGCACCTAATATCACCTCCAGTTTTTGACGGGGTTTGTGTTGCTCAATCTTTAGTTTGCTATGTTGCGTTTTGTATACTGTTCTTTGTCTTTTGTTCATATTTTGTGTTTTGCCATGGCATTGTCAGTTTGTCCTTGAGTTTTGAGTTTTGATATCCCTTTTATATCTCACCTATTTTTTATAACATGACAAAGAAATGTATTTGGTCCCCTTATGCTTAAAATCGCCTATGAAATTTTGATAAGTTGGCAGGTATGGGATAAGGTTTACACACTAAAAGGGTATGGTCAACTAGTCATAAGTATCAACAGACCACCATACCACACTGTTCTGTTCCAGCTTTAAGTGATCTACAAATGCATAGAATTAACCAGCACTGTAAAAATACAAACAACTTAAAAGTGACTCTAGTAGTTCAATGCACTAATGTAGTATGATTTAAATCTAGGTAAACATTCTGCTCAAACAAGTGCAATGAGCAATGTTAAACTTCTAGTGAGGTGTAAGAAGGTGGTATTTATCATAGTAGTCCTGTAATCAATATACACTAGATTAAAGTGTATAGTTCTCATTTAAAGCAATATCAGGTCAATGCTTAATTATTATTATCAAACAAATTTGAAATATAATTGAAGCATCTGATTTGTTGTATTTTAAGGTGAAACAAATAAAGATCAATGTACCAAGAGGAGGATACTGGCCAATGATTGGTTTGCATTCTGTAGGAGAATGTGTAAAACTGCTAGAGAAAGATCCATGGACCCCTGATCCTGATGATGTAAGTAAAATTTATTGTTGAGGCAGACATGTACAGGGGTAGGCTGGAGAAAGATCCATGGACCCCTGATCCAGATGATGTAAGTAAAATTTATTGTTGAGGCAGACATGTACAGGGGTAGGCTGGAGAAAGATCCATGGACCCCTGATCCTGATGATGTAAGTAGAATTTACAATTGTTTGGGCAGACATGGACAGGGGTAGGCTGGAGAAAGATCCATGGACCCCTGATCCTGATGATGTAAGTAGAATTTACAATTGTTTGGGCAGACATGGACAGGGGTAGGCTGGAGAAAGATCTATGGATCCCTGATCCAGATGATGTAAGTAGAATTTACAATTGTTTGGGCAGACATGGACAGGGGTAGGCTGGAGAAAGATCCATGGACCCCTGATCCTGATGATGTAAGTAGAATTTACTATTGTTTGGGCAGACGTGGAGAGGGGTAGGATGGAGAAAGATCCATGGACCCCTGATCCAGATGATGTAAGTAGAATTTACTATTGTTTGGGCAGACATGGACAGGGGTAGGCTGGAGAAAGATCCATGGACCCCTGATCCAGATGATGTAAGTAGAATTTACTATTGTTTGGGCAGACATGGAGAGGGGTAGGCTGGAGAAAGATCCATGGACCCCTGATCCAGATGATGTAAGTAGAATTTACTATTGTTTGGGCAGACATGGACAGGGGTAGGCTGGAGAAAGATCCATGGATCCCTGATCCAGATGATGTAAATAGAATTTACTATTGTTTGAGCAGACATGGACAGGGGTAGGCTGGAGAAAGATCCATGGACCCCTGATCCTGATGATGTAAGTAGAATTTACTATTGTTTGGGCAGACGTGGAGAGGGGTAGGATGGAGAAAGATCCATGGACCCCTGATCCAGATGATGTAAGTAGAATTTACTATTGTTTGGGCAGACATGGACAGGGGTAGGCTGGAGAAAGATCCATGGACCCCTGATCCAGATGATGTAAGTAGAATTTACTATTTTTTGGGCAGACATGGAGAGGGGTAGGCTGGAGAAAGATCCATGGACCCCTGATCCAGATGATGTAAGTAGAATTTACTATTGTTTGGGCAGACATGGACAGGGGTAGGCTGGAGAAAGATCCATGGATCCCTGATCCAGATGATGTAAATAGAATTTACTATTGTTTGGGCAGACATGGACAGGGGTAGGCTGGAGAAAGATCCATGGACCCCTGATCCAGATGATGTAAGTAGAATTTATTGTTGGGGCAGACATGTACAGGGGTAGGCTGGAGAAAGATCCATGGACCCCTGATCCAGATGATGTAAGTAGAATTTATTGTTGGGGCAGACATGTACAGCAGATAAATCTTTGCTATGTTTATTGTTTGTGTTTTACCGACTTGTCCAATGCTATTGATTGGACAGTGAAATGTTTGTGTAAAGTAAATTTTGTGATAACATTGCCTAAGAAAACAAGGCAAAAATAAGATAAACACAAATTATGAAATATTTACATATAAAGTAGATTTCTTTACAAGGAGTGGTTACTGACTAATTTGTATTCTTATCCCTACATGGCATTGTGTTGAAATCCTTTGAATAGGATCCATGGACTTCTGATCCTGATATTGTAGAACGCATTTTGTAAGAGCAGATCGAAGTACAAAATTATGAATTCAAAAAGCAATCAACCAATGTATGTCATGTATTCCCATATACAAACCATAGAATAGAAATCTTAGATACAAAAGCTTTAAAGATTAAGAAAGTGAGTTATAAGCCATTGATAAATAAACTCCCTCTCAACAAAATTCATAAACAGCCATTGCCAATTTACTGTTCAATTCCTATCAGTGGACATATTATGCTTTTTATAAAAAAAAAATGTTAGTAACTAACACCTTGCCAATGTTTGTTATAGATAGTCTCTAAGTGTTTTTGTTCATTTTGGGTATTAATGTGTCTTTTAAATTCCTGCAAACATATATAGATTTCAAATGCTTTAACAGGTGTGACACAAGTATGTTTTTAATAAGTATGTTGTTAATACAAGTATGTTGTTAATACAAGTATGTTGTTAAAACAAGTATGTGTTGTTAATACAAGTATGTTGTAAGAGAGGCTTCTGTAGCAGATTTGTCTAAGTAGTCACTACTGTATCACTAGCCTGTCAACACTGAGGTTGTGAGTTCGAATCTGGCACATGGCAGGTGTGCTGGACTCCAATCTTAATTGACTAGGATTGTCAGTTTTCCAACTGAAGGTTGGTGGTTCTCTCTGGGCACTCTGGCTTCCTCGGCTAATAAAAACTGACAACCATGAAATAACACAATAGTGTTGAAAGTGGCATTAAACACCAATCAATCAATCAATGTTGTAAGAAGCCTTTGGAGGATCTCCATATCTCATATTCTGCAATATATTATTTGAAGTACTGCCGCCGGTAGTGGTTGCTAATTTTGTATTCACATTTTACAGATACCACCTAAACCTGCAGCTTTCAACACTTATAAATATGGAAACTTATGGATAAGGTAATATTTGTTTATATTATACTGTCAAATCAATTCAATTGATACAATGTTATTGATAATTTATTTTTTTATTGCACCTACTTCATAAAATACTGATTAATTGACAACAACACTTAAGTAAACTGCAACTTTATTGGTTGGCATATTTTGCCAGTGTCTTCACGTCAAGGTATACAGTAGACCGAATTATCTGTCGTTCAAAAGCTTTTTTTTTTTTTGGATGGTGCTTTTGTGTCACAATCACAAAAGCACCATCCAAAAAAAAAAAAAGCTTTTGAACGACAGATAATTCGGTCTAGGTATACAGAAATTAGAATCCCTGAAGTACAGGGTGATGGCTTCAGGAAATGTGACATTGTATTTATGTATTATTGTACAGAAAATAATTTAAAAAAAAATATAATGAGGTTATTTTTATTGAAAGATATTTAAGGTTTATCTATTTGATTTTTAAAATAAAATCTAATTCAATTTAAAGAAAACTGAATGAAAAGAAAAAAAATATGCTGTGTTCTAATTTTATTGACTACCTTAATATTATGTCATAAAAAAAAATCATCTGAAGCTTCAACATACAAAAAAATCTTTTAGCAGTTGAAAGAGAGAACATTATGATGATGGTATTATTGCTTGTATGATTATTCAAAATAATTTCAAATTTAAGATTTATATAATTAAAATATCTACTTAAATCTGTCATCAATTGGCCATTTGATGGTTGTAAATTGAGTTTACTTGCTTAACATGACAGTAGGGCCAGAGAACAGGTATTTGGGGATATCAAAAAAGAAATGAAGCCCCTAAATCTTCAAATATAATACATGTACTGTCATTTCAATTCTAATGAAACTGAACTCTAGCCATGTTAAATCACACACTTTCACATGACGACTGCACTTGTGTATACTGTATTTAAAACCATCAGTAGTGGAATCAATGTCCTAAAATTTATATCCTATCAAAATGTAAGTCACAGTGTTGCAAGAATTATAGTTGTCATTTTGTATTATTGTATAGTATGAAATAGATTTGAATGAAATTTAATGTTCTGAAATGTTTACAGCCCAGCGAGAAATGTTAGTCTGACAAAGAAAGGTTATACAAACAATCACTGTGGCTGGATGCTTCTTCACAATCCTACTAAAGTACTCATTGGATATAAGGTATATATGTCCCTGCTAGAGGTCTCATCTGAATATATAATAAAAAGTTATAAAATCCTAGGCTTCTAAATGTCTCATACTATTATACAATCTTACTAAATTTCCATCTAGCTTAGGCTCTCATTGGATACAAAGTATAGAATTACAAACTTTTACAAAAGGTATTATCTATTTCTTTATTTCTGTAACAAATATGAAAAATTAATAGCTGCAAGGGGTTCAATGCTGAAACAGTAGTTTACAATACTTTTTTCTCATTTCAGATTACTCCAGAATCAGTGGTCAAGAACCCAGTAGGATCTATCTCACCAAATGATGCTAATACATTGTTTTTAACTAAGACATGTAAGTTTTTTCAAAATACTAAAGGGGCCTTGGTGGCCGAGTGGTCTCTATGTAGTTCATCTACTGTATCTATAGCCATTGTCAGTTTTCTTGCCAAAGGTTGGTGGTTGTCTCTTGGCAATCCAGCTTCCTCTACCAATAAAAACTGATCACCAGTATTGCCTTAAACACTATCAATCAATCAATCAAAATTCTAAACATTAAGATGATGTCTCTGAGTCCTTTATATATTTATACCTCTGTCTTAAATCATGAAGATGTAAAGGAATTACCAATACTGTTTACAAACCTTTTGTGTGAAACTCATCATACACATCTTTAACAAAAATTTATGAATATTACACAGTGGTGATACAAAAAGCTGTCAACCATATGATTATATACAAGAAGGAATATGTCTGAAGTATGAAAAATGTTTTTGATTACAAATTAATATGTCTTGTACATGTAAATACTATGAGAAATTTTTGTGACTTCCAATTAATGAATCTGTGCACAGTAGAAGTATAATATTGATGAAAGAATATAATTCTTGTTTGAAAACTACAAAAAAAAATCAGAAATAGTTTTATAACATTTTTCAGCTATCATAAAGGAGGATGCTGTAACTATTCAGTGGATAGCTATAGAGCAGGTTAAAGAATACACAACAGACCAAATACTACAGCTGTTTGATGCTGCTAGTTCTAGTAGTACTTATACACACAGGTAATTGTCTAGATTATAGAGCAAAGGTTATTGTCTAGATTATAGAGCACAGGTAATTGTCCAGATTATAGAGCACAGGTTATTGTCTAGATTATAGAGCACAGGTAATTGTCTAGATTATAGAGCACAGGTAATTGTCTAGATTATAGAGCACAGGTTATTGTCTAGATTATAGAGCACAGGTAATTGTCTAGATTATAGAGCACAGGTAATTGTCTAGATTATAGAGATGTTAACATTGATGTGTAATAGATAACAGACAAACACTAGGGCTGCTACCTGATACTGCTAGTTTCAGTAGTACTTACAATCACAGGTAATTGTATAGATTATAGAGATGTAAACATTGATGTGTCATAGATGACAGACACTACACCCGCTACCTGAAGCTGCTAGTGTCAGTATGAGTTATACACACAGGTTATTGTAAAGATTATAGAGATGTTAACGTTAACATTGATGTGTCATAGATAACAGACACTACACCTGCAGCTGCTAGTGTCAGTAGTACTTATACACACATGTCATTGTATATTTTATAGAGATGTAAACATTGGTGTGTAAACGATAACAGACAACACACTACACCTGGTACCTGATGCTGCTAGTGTCAGTAGTACTTATACACATAGGTAATTGTATAGATTATAGAGATGTAAACATTGATGTGTAATAGATAACACACAACACACTACACCTTCTACCTGATGCTGCTAGTGTCAGTAGTACTTATACACATAGGTAATTGTATAGATTATATAGATGTAAACATTGATGTGTAATAGATAACACACAACACACTACACCTGCTACCTGATGCTGCTAGTGTCAGTAGAAGTTATACACACAGGTAATTGTATAGATTATAGAGATTTTAACATTGATGTGTAATAGATAACACACAACACACTACACCTGCTACTTGATGCTGCTAGTGTCAGTAGTACTTATACACATAGGTATTTGTAAAGATTATAGAGATGTTAACATTGATGTGTCATAGATGACAGACACTACACCTTCTACCTTATGCTGCTAGTGTCAGTAGAAGTTATACACACAGGTAATTTTATAGATTATAGAGATGTTAACGTTAACATTGATGTGTCATAGATAACAGACACTACACCTGCTACATGATGCTGCTAGTGTCAGTAGTACTTATACACACAGGTTATTGTATAATGTATAAAGATGTAAACATTGATGTGTAATAATAGATAACAGACAACACACTATGACAGTGCTACCTGGTGCTGTATGTAAACTATTATGTTCTTTATTATTAGTTTTCATGTGAAAAATTCTTCTTTGATTGTATTACATTTTGAGATAATTTTACAGAATTAGTCAAACTTTTAAGAAATTCTGTTTACAGTAATATATAGTCATTTGAAAGTTCAAAACAATTACAATTGGCCAAAAAGCATGATCTTTCAGTTGTTTGTGTCATTAAATTGCAGTCTCATTGACAAATAACAATCATCTCCTTTTGTATTAACCATGGAAACATTTCTTCATTTTAGGTTAGGATTACTGATAAAAGACACTGCTTTAGGGGATGTAGAAACTTTGCCAAAATTTCAAGATTTAGGATCAACATCAGGGGATGTTACTGTAAGTTTTATTCTATGAACCTAAGTTAAACAATAGAAAATATGCAATATACACAAAACTGAATTTAAATTAAAAATCTTTTATTGGAAATATAACGTATCTTCATTTTTAGCTCACCGGGACCCAAAGGGCCCCATGTGAGCTTATGCCATCACTTGGCGTCCGTCATCGTCCTTCGTCTGTCGTTGTCGTCATCGTAAACTATTTCAAAAATCTTCTCCTCTGAAACTACTGGGCCAAATACCTTCAAACTTTAACTAAATGTTCCTTAGGGTATCTAGTTTATAAATTGTATCCGAAGTTTTGATCCATAGACAAACATGGCCGCCATGGCTAAAAATAGAACATAGGGGTCAAATGCAGTTTTTGGCTTATATCTCAAAAACTAAAACTTTTAGAGCAAATCTGACATTGGGTAAAATTGTTCAATTGGTGAAGATCTATCAGCTCTGAAATTTTCAGATGAATCGAACAACCCATTGTTGGATTGCTGCCACCGAATTGGTAGTTTTAACAAAATTTTGCAGTTTTTTGTTATTATTTTGAATATTATTATAGATATATATAAACTGTAAGCAGCAATAATGTTCAGTAAAGTAAGATCTACAAAAAAGTTAATATGACCATAATTGTCAATTGACCCCTTAAGGAGTTATTGCCCTTTAAAGACAATTTTACACAATTTGTTCATCAAGTTTGCTAACATTTAAAAATCTTCTCCTCTGAAACTACTGGGCCAATTACCTTCAAACTTTATCTAAATGTTCCTTAGGGTATCTTGTTTATAAACTGTATCCGAAGTTTGTATTCATCGACAAACATGGCCACCTTGGCTAAAAATAGAACATAAGGGTCAAATGCAGTTTTTGGCTAATATCTCAAAAACTAAATCTTTTAGAGCAAATGTGACATGGGGTAAAATTGTTTAATTGGTCAAGATCTATCGGCTCTGAAATTATCAGACGAATCGAACAACCCATTGTTGGGTTGCTACCACCGAATTGGTAGTTTTAACAAAATTTTGCAGTTTTTTGTTATTATTTTGAATATTATTATAGATATATATAAACTGTAAGCAGCAATAATGTTCAGCAAAGTAAGATCTACAAAAAAGTTAATATGACCAAAATTGTCAATTGACCCCTTAAGGAGTTATTGCCCTTTAAAGACAATTTTACACAATTTGTTCATCAAGTTTGCTAACATTTAAAAATCTTCTCTGAAATACAGGTGAGCGATTCTCTTGTTTGTTTACCCTACCTTAACCTTCTTTCCCCTCTGAGTTCACCCCTGATCTTTGGTGAAGTTTGTGTTGCTTTAATTTTCAGTTTTACTTGACTGCTGCTACTCTTTGATAGATTGCCATGATGTTCTCTGATTTTATTTGACTAATTACTGTTTTGATTGCTCATTTTCAGCTCCACTTTTTTAATACACATCAGTATAAATCATTGATGCCAGCTAGGTGATGCATGTATTCAGACCTATACGTTTTATAATCACGGTGGCTTGTCCCGTTATCCAGTCGGTGTAATTGGCTGCTGTCTGCAATATTTCTTTATCTTTCATTGATGTTGTATAAATTATACTGTTGGTTTTCACATTTTATTATACATTTATAGCTTACTATATGGTGTATGGGGTTTGCTCATTGTTGAAAGCAGTGTAACCTGTAATATTTCTTTAATTTTTTTCTTTGAATAGTTGTCTGATTGTCAATCATTCCTTATATTAAGCTATAAAAATAACCTAAACAAAAGAATAAAAAGGGACATAATAGACACCATTGTTGAAATAATCTAATCAGACCTAACCCAAGTATATCTCATTTTGAAACAACAGTAATCATTGTGGATTTGTCACTTATTTTAAGGCACGTCCAGTCTTTGTTACAGAACAAACCTTTTGCAATAATTGTTAATGGTTTCTCATCCTGTAAAATTGAGAATGGAATGTATGTGCATGAAATAATTGCCACTTGATGTATAGTAAGCAAACATCAATCAATCAATATTTTTTAGGTTTTTAGTATTTATTATTGGAAAATGATAACAATGCAGTAGTACAATTTTGCATAGAATTCAAATATCACTAGGGATTTGGAAACAAGTATGGAAAAACTTTTATAAATCTGTCTCAAGAAAAAAAATACAACTATTTAACAAACAATATAAAGTGCCAACAGTATATTCAATTTAGTATAACATATAATAAATTTTAATAAATACAAAAAAAAAAAACAAAAAAAAAAATACGAAGCAGTTTACTTTTTTTTAGGTTTATATGGGAAGTCAAAGGTGAAAATGGAAAACCTGTTTACAAATATAGTTTGTTTTTATCTTGAAAGAAGCAAATTACAAAGCAAAAAATTATATTCTATGTTTAAAAGATATATTCTATTTTGTATGGGTCACACGGAATAACTATCTATAAAATTATTTTATTGATCCCCAAAATGTATGTGAGATGTTCTAGTTTTTTTTCAGAATCCAGTAAAACAAGATGGTTATAAGCTTGAAGTATTTAAGAACTGTATTTTGGTTGACTCCTACCTACTGAAGAGAGGAAGGTATATCCTAGATTTGGTTGATCTCGACAAAACAAAACCTGATTACATCATTAAAAGACCAAAATGTCCAGTAAGTTTAAACAGTAATTTTTAGTTCTGTTTCATAAAAAAAAACAGTTGTATAGAGATTTCTTCACATTTTGCAATAAACTGGTTGACTTTTGGGAAAAATAATATTATGGTAATACGGTTCAATATGTATAGTCAATTTGGTTAACCATTGGTTGTTAATTTTTTCTCAGAGACATGATTGTTGGCATTCTTATCCAGTATCTTCAATCCTTTTGTGATATGGATGAGCGACTGAGACATACGGTACCATACCTTTTAAATAGAATTATTTTGAATATCAAATATACATATAAATATAGCGTAAAAGAAATATACTTGAAACTATTATGATTATGCTATTTCATGGACAAATAGATAGATTTGACATATATCTGATATGTTTACGACTGCATTAAATAGCATCTGTTAACAATATCTGAACCTGATCAGTTTCAGATACTTATGACTAAATCAGCACACTTACAATATATTTCATCTTAATTTCTTGACCTTATCATATATGATCAAGCTTGAAAAAGTTACCTATTTCAACGGCTAATCCCTTCCACTCTTTACATAGTAAATGACCCCTGAGATATTATACATTTATTTCCCGTGCCTGAGGGAGATATGAAGATTTGTTCACCCAAGAAAAAATCATATTTCATGAGGACATCGCCCCAGGGAAATATGACTTTTAGAGGGTGAACAAATCTTCATATCTCCCTAAGTCCAGGGAAATTAATATTTTATTCCACTGCCTATACTTTTTTTTTACTTCTGAACATAAGATATTAATTTACATAATTGTTTTCTTATCCGTTTGTTTTTTTATAACTAAAGACAACATACACAATGATAATCAGTTTGATTAAAAGTTAATTATTTATTCTTTTCTGTTTGTTTTTAGATCTGAAATAATTTTTAAAAACGAAATTACTATACTATCTTTAAAAAAACGATCAAAACGTTTTAAAACATTAACCACAGGTAACGTCGCACAAGGCAATCCCGACGTTCAGAGGGGAATATGAAGTTTTGTTCGACGTCACGTGGGATAGTTTCAACCAGTCAAATATTGATTTTCGCTCTCAAAATCAACATGCAGTGGAATAACAATAATTGTTAACTGGGGTGTAAAAATATGGTCTTATGGGCTTCTATTGGGCAATAAAACCTAAATTAAAGGACTTGTCCATATCGTTGGGATGAATTTTAAATATCAGCCTCATCATAATGTGCCTTCATTTATCTATTTCTAAAAATATATTTGCTGTATACATAGTTATATTGATTATTTATTTTATAGTCTTTCCTATATCCACCAAAATTGCAAAAAGGAATGAAAGTTGTTGTCAAGCTGGATATTGACAGGTAAGGTAGTAGATGTATAAAGCTGTAAACAATTTGTCTTATTGCGCATTCTCAAATTACATCCAACATTTGTCCAGCACAAAATACTATTATTAACTGGCGAAATTTTAGTTCAAACATTCTTGGCATAGTAGTTAGCATGTCTAGGACAGGAATTCATTCGTCTGTCGTAAATATGATTTATGATGTGCAGTTATAGGAAGTTATGTATGAAATATGCATTTCAATCTGTTCAACATTTTTTGGTATAATTGTTGATTTTTGCTGGGTTGGACAAAAAGGGGGGATGTTCAGAAGGGCTGGGAAAAGTGGGCACCTAATATTTTCAGCATAATTTATGAAAGAGGGTACCAGTTTTGTGTAATCAAATCCTTTTATAGTTTTCAACTCAGAACCCTAAAACTTCACAGGAGGATTGCACATGTGTTGAAATTGTGCACTTGCTTGTTTGGAATTGTTTGAAGACTTTTTTCACATTTTACCCCGACTTGGAACTTTTATGTAATTGTAACTCCGTTGTAAACATTCTACATTCATAAGTCACAAATATTGCAACCCAGCCTTTTTAGACTTAACAATTTTTTGAAACTATTACCGGGTACATTTAAGAGGATGGTATTTATCTTTTAAATGATTGTTGATATTGAAGTGGATTTTGTAAAGGGTTCTAAACTGGGTAATATAGTTGCTAACATTTACATCATTAGGAAACTGGTGGATAGTTGTCTCCAATCATACCACATCATATTATATCATACCACATCATATTCTATCATACCACATCATATTCTATATAACTGCAATTTGAGGTCTCAAATGGTTATAAATGAAAAAAAAACTAAACATAAATTTCATGCTTCATATTTATTTTAAATAACTCCTTTAACAAGGCCAAGCTAGGTACAAGTCCCTGCCCATTTTTAAGCTCAACTGGTTCAAAATGGTCACACACACTATTTACATCACTTGGTATCCATTGTCCATTGTAGTCAGTCATCTTCGTCCCTTGGCTTTTACAAAAAACTTCTCCTTTGAAACTATTGGGCCAATTTGAACCAAACTTGGCCACGCACATCATTGGGTATTTATTTTATAAATTTGTCCAACAATCCCACCTGCCAACAAACATGGCTAAATATACAAAATATAGAACATAGGGGTAAAATATAAGTTTTGTCTATTATCTTGAAAACTGCTATAGATCAAGAAAATCTGACAGGACAGAAACGTTTAGAATGCTGAAATCTACCAACAGTCCATTCACTTAAAAAACTATCAGACAAATTCTTATATGAGTTATTGCCCTTAAATGCTGATTTTTAACCAATTTATTTTCATTTTTATATGACTGCAAAAATGGTTGTATAATGTAATGACATCAGAGTGTTGGTCATTGGCAGACATTTGGTTTCCAGACAATAACTTGAGAATAACTGTATGGATCTCTATGAAATTGAGGTTCTTTGATATGCTGAATCTAAAAATGTATTCAGAAATTTGATTTTGGGCCCTGTTTTCAAGTTGGTCAAATCAGGGTCCAAAATGAAACTTTGTTTGATTTCAACAAAAAATGAATATATGGGGTTCTTTGATATGGTGAATTTAACTGTGTATCTAGATTTAGGATTTTGGCCTCTTTATCAAATTGGTCCACATTGAGGTCCAAAGGGTCAATATTAAAACTTTTTTTGTTTGTTTCATGCAAAAATTAAATTTTTGGGGTTCTTTGATATGCTGTTTCTATCCATGTATTTAGATTTTTGATATTAGACTACAATAGGTTAATGTTCAATTTCAAATTTTAAGTTTTTAGACCACATTCATTCTGTGTCAGAAACTATGCTATGTCAAATATTTAATCACAATCCAAATTCAGATCTGTATCAAGCTTAAATGTAGTGTCTATACTTGCCCCAACTGTTAGGGTTTAACCTCTGCAGTTGTGTCAAGCTGGGCCCCGGAGCATTTTATTGTCTATTATCTTGAAAACTTTAATAGATATAGGTACTTTTTAACAAGAGGCTGTCGGAGTGACAGCAAACTGGATTTTACTGCATAAGTCGAACCCTGAACAGTTGAACAAGTATGGACACAACATCTAAGCTTAAAACAGCTCTGAATTTGGATTGTGATTGAATATTTGACACAGCATAGGTTTATGACACAAAATGAATGTGGTCAAATAACTGAAAAAATTGAAATTGGACATTTTACCTATTATGGTCCAATATCCAAAATCTAAGTACATTGTTAGAATCAGCATATCAAAGAACCCCAAGAATTCAATTTTTGATGAAATCAAACAAAAGTTTAATTTAGGACCCTTTGGACCTCAATGTGGAGCAATTTGATAAAGGAGCCAACAATCCAAAATCTCTAAATACATGGTTAGATTCAGCATTTCAAAGAACCCCATCAATTCAATTTTTGTTGAAATCAAACAAAGTTTAATTTTGGACCCTGATTTGGATCAACTTGAAAACTGGGACCAAAAATCCAAAATCTTAAGTACAGGTTTAAATTCAGCATTTGAAAGAATCCTATATATATTCAATTTATGTTGAAATGAAACACAGTGTAATTTTGGACCTTGATTTGGACCAACTTGAAAACTCGGCCCAAAATCAAAAATAAATCTGTCACTCCAATTTTAATTTTGTTAGGGCCCGCCTAGTGATCAGTCTGTCAGTCCGTACTTCCGTAACAAATGGTGTCCGCTCTATATCTAGAGAACCGTTATAATTTCATACTTTAAACTTAACATTTATATTAACCAACACCAACACCAGAGGGTGTGTCATAATGTTTGTACATTATCCTAGGTCAAAGTTCAAGGTCAAAAACTTTGGTTTCAGTTGACAACCCCATGTCCTATGGTAAAGATCGTGTTTGCTCTATATTTTGAGGCCCGTTCTGATTTCAAAGTTTATACTTGACATGTATATTAACCAACACCAAAGGGTGTGTCATAATGTATGTACAACTTCCTAGGTTGAAGGTCGAGGTCAAAAACTTTGGTTTCAATTGACAACCCCATGTCCTATGGTAAAGATCATGTCCGCTCTATATCTTGAGAACGTTATGATTTCAAAGTTTATACTTGACATGTATATTAACCCGGCTCCCCCCTTTTGTGGGAAAAAAATGGTTGATTATATAGGTAATCACCGAAGCATAACTGGAGCTGGCCCCCTCTTAGGCAGTCAGTGGGCCCCCACTAATGAAAATTTCTGTATCTGCTACTGGTGGGGCCCACAGAGATGGCTCCCATCTCAATGATGTCTAGTTAGTTGATAATTACCACATGTTTGTTATCTTGATAAAAGGTGGAAATTATTGCATGAATGAAGTAATAGTAAAAACATTGTCCTTATTCAAAGACAATTTTGTCAGTATTCACCTCAAAAGCTAACAAAACCTTTAAACAGACTTATTAAGAAGGGATATAGTTACGATACTGTCGTCAGGTCATTAAAGATTGCATATTTTGGCTTTAATATTGATTCTCTTATAGGGTCTTTGCATCGGAATTAAACATATTTATTCTAAAACTAGTTGTTGGCATGACATGGGTTATGTTCTTCTCATATATTTTATGACGGTATAATACTAAACCCCTAACAGGAGGGATTGTGCCTGATATTCATATGATGAAGACATAATCTTTCAATCAGTTTAATTGAGGTCTGGAGCTGGCATGTCAGTAACTGCTAGTAGTCTGTTGTTATTTATGTATTATTGTCATTTTGTTTATTTTCTTTTGTTTCCTATTCTGACATCGGACTCAGACTTCTCTTGAACTGAGTTTTACTGTGCGTACTGTTGTACGTTTGTTTTTTCTACATTGGCTAGAGGTATATGGGAAGGGTTGAGATCTCAAAAAACATGTTTAACCCCGCCGCATTTTTGCGCCTGTCCCAAGTCAGGAGCCTCTGGCCTTTGTTAGTCTTGTATCATTTTTAATTTTAGTTTCTTGTGTATAATTTGGAGTTAAGTATGACGTCCATTATCACTGAACTAGTATACATATTTGTTTAGGGGCCAGCTGAAGGATGCCTCTGGGTGCGGGAGTTTCCAGCTGCATTGAAGACCCATTGGTGGCCTTCGGCTGTTGTCTGCTCTATGGTCGGGTTGTTGTCTCTTTGACACATTCCCCATTTCCATTCTCAATTTTATTTACATGTACAAATGTGTATATTTAGTTAAATTGTGTGTAGTTTTATAGGAAGAATAAAAATAGATTATTACCTAATGAAAATGATATTTACAAATCTGGACCCCCAAATAGGATCAAGTAAAAAAATTAGCAAATCTGGACCCCCAAACAGGATCAAGTAAAAATTAAACATTAACACACACAACAAAAAGAAAATACCACATAACAACTGTGACATATACCTTCAAAACACACAACTTTAAAAAAAATAGCTATAAAGAAATTTTTGACAACTGACTAAAATCAATTGAACAGATACAATCATTGATAGACTATCTATCCATATACTTACTAATTACACCATTTCTGTTCAAAGGGAAATAACTTTAAAAAAATAAATCATAAATAAGAATCACTTTTGCCACTGAAAGGTCTACAACTCAACAACGAAAACAGCTGAAATCGTGAAATTGAACTTGACCTTCATTTAGTCACAAGAAACAACATATCTAAATTTGAAAAGATTTTGTCAAAGGGTTTTCATGTTAATGACACTTGTTGGCAGCTGCCCACCCGCCCCCTGCCCTCCCACCGTACATCCTAAATCAATAACTGGATCTTACGAAAATCCGGTTAAAAATAGAAAAAATTATCAGCTAGGCAAGATCTGCAAACAAGTCAATGGCCAAAATTGTTGATCCACTCCTTATAGGAGTTATTGTCCCTAAATGATGATTATTACCATTCTTTGAATTTTCAACCAAAACTATAGCAGATAAAGAAATAATGTTTACAGCAATAATGATCATCAAAACAAGATCTGCAAATATATTAACATGGCCGAAATTGTCAGTTGACTCCTCACAGAATTTATTGCTCTCTGTTGATTTGTTAACCCATTTGTTTGCAAATTATGCAAAAATTGTAAAAGATAATGAAAATGTAAACAGCAAATTTATCAAAAAGACAAGATCAACAAAAATGGGATCCAAGTAATGAATTATATTTAAGTCTTCAATGGTGAAAATGCACATACTGGTAGGTGAGCTACATTGGCTCTCTAGTTCTAATTGTACAAAGACTTGTATAAAAAGAGGGGCGAAAGATACCATAGAACCATTTAAACTTATATGGGGAAAAAATAAACAGACAACGCCATGGCTAAAAAAGAAAAAGACCAATAGACAAATAATAGTACACAAAACAAAACATAGAAGGAATGAGCAACACGAACCCTACCAAAAACTAGGGGTCATCTTTTCTTAGTTTGTGTTGTGTGCTTACATGCTAAATTTGCATATAGTGGCAGAAATTAATTGGAACAAATAAATTTGTAATTTTTTTTTATTGATGTAATAAATATTATGAAATATATATGCAAATAAACAAAGTTTTGTGTCCAAATAAAGAAGAAAAAAGAAAAATATTTGGTTTAAAAAACAAATTGATCTGTTATTATGAAATCGTGATAATCCAATTTATACATCAAGGGTTCCAAAAACAGACATATTTGCCAGACATGACCTAAACTGATACATGTGATAGGCCAATGACTGAAATGGCAGATTGGGATTTAGGTCCAAAAATTATTTTTTACAGAAATAATTTCGGTTATTTCATAATGCTTTTCCAGTAATGAAACTGACACTTGAGTATAGCATGATAGTCTAGAGGGCTCTCCCAATTATCATATTAATGCCTACATGAATTATTGGCTAATGATCACAAATCATTTTCATACGCCAGTTAAAAAGACACTATAAGTACAGATCTGAGAGTAGTAACAGTAGTGTGTTATGCTTATTATAAAATGTACACATAAAATATACAAACACTAAAATAGTTGTGTAATGTTGAGTTATATATGTTACACATCACAAGTCAGCTTTTAATAAATATGTACAAAAACACAAAGATTTCTAAGTTGAACTGCTTCCTATAGATATTATCCTCAACCACAATGTATAACATGATGGACTTAAATTGCACCTATTTTTACCGTTTTTTCTTTTAATTTAATTTTTGATGCAGACAAGACTTTCTATTTTGTGTTTATTTGTAGATGTATCCTTATTTACTAAATAGTTCCACCGATTTGATTTTGAATCCATATTGAATCATAGAAAAATGGGTTTGAACTAACCTCCAAACGATCAATGACTCCGTAATTAGGAGTACCCAAATTGCATCCATGCTTCAATTGGCATCCCTACGTATGGAATAACTGAGGGTTTGTCTTATTTCTCAATATACTTTGAACAATTTGACATTAGTCTATGCTTACTATTCATATTATTAAGAAATGGATGCCTGTAACATATTTTAATTGCTCTTTAGAAGTTGACATTTTGTGGATGTCACATGGCGACGTTTCCGTAGTTTTTACTTTTCCATTGAATTCTTCATTTGTTGATATTTACTGTGAACGTTTTGTGTATAATTTAGATATATTAAGCTGTGTTGATAGGTGTGCATATTGTCACATCATAAAATTTAAATTGTTTGGTCTTTAAGAAAACATGAAGATTTCTGCTGCTATTTTTACCAAATGGATGATTACTCTGTGCAATTTTGGAACTGTGATGTTATCATGGTAAACAGTTTACAGTCAAAGACAAAGATGTTTTCCAATTACATTCTTTTACTTCATACAATTATCTAAGCAGAACATTTGTATATTTATTCATAGTTCTGGAGATCAGTTCGCAGATTCTGTGATATCAGAAATCTATGAAGGAGGTGGATATTGTTTTGAGTATACGTCACCTGGTAAAGTTTACACAGGAAATGAGAAGATTTGTGTTGGAACAATGGATTGTGGGATAGAAGATGCAGATTGGGAAGAGATAGAGAGGAAAGGGAACAAGGAGGAAATGAAAATACAACTTCTTACATGTAAGATTTTGTGTAGTTCCAGACACTACGTTTAGGAAAAAATTTATTGATAATTTAAAGAACACATTCTTTCCATTCTTTGAATTCAATAGAAATAAATTTAGATTATTTAGGCATTGTTTAAGCCAGGGACTTTCTATACTAACCAGACTCGTCTCTATTGATTTTAATTAATAATAAAACCGCCCGTGTAAATCTTCCACCCAACAAAAAACTTAGTTTTGTATCTCTGATATAAGAAGCTATTAGTTACATCATATTTCTCAGTACATTGTAATTTAATATTTGTTAATATAAAATCTGATTAATAGCCATTTTCCATGACAAAAAATATAAGATTTTGAAAGAATGTTAAATTATTAAACTGAGACGTATCGTTTGGAAGAACACTCCAGTCGTGCAAAAGGGTTTACATATCGAACAAGATGACGGCCACGCGTAATTCACTAACAAATTACCTCAAAATTCAAAGATCTATATTTAAATAAACTGCTTCGCTGAGTGCAGCCGGATACGCCCGCAGAGGTCCATTCCTGAACAGTTGGGGCAAAAATGGACACAATATTCAAGCTTGATACAGGTCTGAATTTGGATTGTAATTAAATATTTGACATATTATAGGTTTCTGAATAAATGTAGTCAAAGAACTTGAAATTGGTTATATGAATTGAATTTATATTCAATTAAAGATCTCTTGCTGTTGTGCAATACACTGTGCTGTTGCGCAATACTTAGTAAATCTGTTGTCAGACTATAAACAAACAATAACTTCTCAATGTTATATCAGAAATTTATAAAAAACTAAAGGGAGGTTATCTTAATAGATATAAATCAGTCATCAAAGTTTAATGAAAACTGCTCTAAGCACTTTAAGGATATTGTCCAAAAACTTGAAAATCAACCCTTTTTTTATGAATAAAATCTTATAACTCGGAAACGTAAAATCTTAAATTTATAAAAATCAAAAAGGAGCTTACAACAATAGATATAAACAATTAACCAAAGTTTCATAAAAAATGCTGAAAGCATTTTTGAGTTATTGTCCGAAAACTGGAAAATCCCCCTTTTTGTAATGAATAAAACCCCATAAATCAGAAACATATAGTCTAAAATTTAAAAAAATCAAAAGGGAGCTCATGTCGATAGAAATAAACAATTCACCAAAGTTTCTTGCAAATTGGTGAGATTGTTTTTGAGTTATTGTCCAAAAACTGAAAAATCCCCCCTATTTTAATGAATAAAACCCCATAACTTGGAAAACGGTAAATCTGAAATTTATAAAAAAACGGGCATATAAAAACTATCAGAGGAATCTTTTCAAAAACAGCATTTTGCAATGACAAAATGTATAAAATTTCATAAAAATGTTTTTGCGTTAACTTGAACATATAGTTATGAGGAACACTTCGTAAATGGGAAAAGATTTGCTATGAAGTCACGCGACATCAGCGACGGCACAGTTCTGTCTGCAAATTTGTATACACATTGTTATAAGTGACCAGTCCCGTTAGTATAGACTGTCCCTGTTTAAGCTAAATTATCAGATGTTTGAAAAATAACTTCCAGTTCAAATTGAAATAAAAGAATATTCTCAAATTAGGAAATTCACAGAGTTCTGTTAAAACATTTAAAAAAAATAATGCAGAAATTATAATTTTTATTAAAAGAAATTCTTTGCATTTAAAAAAAAAATGGCTTTCAGTTTTAAATCATTTAAAAAACTAGAATTGGTTTTTGTCATTACTTAATCATTACCTGTTCTGTTTTCAGCCCCCAGTAATATGTCCCTGCTACATAGAACCTATGTCCCAGCACCACCACACCTAGTTACAAAGGTAAGGTATACTATGTGTTACATTGGTGTAATCAGGGCTGAGGGGTGTACAGAATTTTATAGTATGGAAAATTCATACACCCTGAGGCGCAGCAGAAGCATTTTCAACAGGTGTAAAATTTTGTACACCCCTGATTACACCAAGATAACAAATTTATTTCTTATGAAGCATTCTTTACTCATTTTTAAACTGGGATGTTAACACAAGCACTTGTTTCAGAATTTTTTTCCCCTATATACCTTAATATAACACAAGGTACTTAACTTGCATTTTTGAAAAATGTTAGCCGGTCGAGAAATTCTGTTATATGCCGATTTTTCGGTTGTCAACCCCACTAAAACTTGTTATGCCGTAAATCTAAATTGATTTTTCTACACAATGGTGTATAACACTCCTACTTTTGTTGTCGGAATCATCCGTAGCAGGCCTACCCAAGTATGTCAATCGTAATTATTTCGTCTACCTACACCAGATTGGAAACATAAAACTTGCAGATATGATTAATTATAAAAATTATTTTAAAAAAACTGTTAGTTTTTGTCTGAATAGAACTTATCACCCAGTTAGTAAAATTGTATAAGATATCATGAGAAAAAATCTAATGAGTGTTATTTGTAGAATGTCCTAATAAGTTACGAGTTTGTTTTTTTAGACTCAAATTTTCCCATTACATCAATGTCATTCAGACTCTCTCTGGACTTCACGTATGAAATGAAATAAGATTAGATAACTCAGAGAAACATTTAGACCTTCCCATAAAATTTGACCAATTGTAAACCGAGATATATAAAGAGAGTGGGAAGATACCTTATACTGCTAGTTTTATGTTTCCAAACTGGTGTCGGCAGACGAAATAATTACGATTGACATACTTTGGTAGGCCTGCTAAGGATGATTCTGACAACAAAAGCAGGTGTGTTATACACCATTGTGGGTTGACAACCGAGAAATTGGCATATAACGGAATTTTGTGACCAGCTGACATTTTTCAAAAATGCGAGTTAAGTACCTTGTGTTATATCAATGGTATAAAGGGAGAAAAAATTCTGAGACAAGTGCCTGTGGATGTTAAATAGGACAAGCATTCTGAGAGTATTGCATGGCAATACATAGTCCCCTACCGGGTAAAAATTCATTATACTGGAACAAAATGCTAACTTGTTCTATAACTTGTCATGGTGTGTAAACAAAAAGTAAATATCATGTCAATATCTTCAAGCATGACTAAAAACAGTGTGGAAAACTGAACATATGAGTGAATTTTTTCAAGTCTAAGGACCATAACTCTGCACTAAATTATCAGACCAAAACAAAAATTTGAACTTAATCTGTAACTTGTCATGATAAAATTATATACCAATTGTCAATCAATATCTTCAATAATGATGAAAAAAAGTGAGGAAAACCTATAACACTCTTAACATTAGATATGATTAATAGTTCTCTAAAATTAGATATGATGTAATACAATGTATATCTATTTTCAAATTACAATCAAATATAATTAATAGTTCCAAATATTTTTTCTTTCATTTGTCACAAACTAATAAAGATTTGTAACTTATCTATAAAATGTTAACAACTTTTATCTACACAATGTAATGTAATGAAATATATACCTTAAAAAAAATAGATTATTATCTAATTAAAGGATTTCAAAAAAATATATATATATACATGTAGCATTCAGAAAATTAGTTTATACAAAATAACATATAAACCTGCCACAAAATTCCTCAAACAATTTACCAAAGGATGTCTTTTAAAAAATGAGTTATCTCCCTTTGTACAGATATATGGTTTAACATAGTACTCTAACAATAGTTATGGAGTTTTTTTATGGACCATAACTCTAGACTAAATCATCCGACCAGAATAAAATTCGAACTTGATCTATAACTTGTCATGATAAAACTATATACCAAATATCAAATCAATATCTTCAAGAACGAAGAAAAAAAATGTGGAAAACTGAGTTGCCGGACTGACAGATGGACAGACAGACAGACAGACGGACAGAGTGCAAACCTAAAGTCCCCTTCGACTTCGTTGGTAGGGGACTAAAAATGCTAATGAATAATTTCCAGTGGAACATTTTTTGAACACAGTTGCTGCACATTGTCAAATACTTTTTTTTCTTTATTTTAGGGAAATTTGGAATTATTTTGTATTTTTTGTTTATTTTGAGGGGAAAAAAATTCTATTTCTTTTTTGTCCTGAAATTTATATACTTTTTATTTTGTAATTTTGTAAATTTTGTTTTTCATTTTAACTTTTTTTTCAACATTTTGGCAACATTTTTTTTTGGGGGAATTGTTGGCTATATTTTTTTTATCCCCAGGTGAACAAGGGTTGGGTGTTTTTTACTACCAGGTAATTAACCAATCAGATTGCAGGATTTTTTTTTCTGCATAAGAAATAAAATGTGTATCACAGGCAACCTCCTGCTGTTCATTAATTATTTAGTCAAAATTAACTTACTGAAATATCACCTGTTTTTAAGACTATTTATTTCCTATACATCCATAATGTAACTTAGTCAAGAAGACACACCTCAAACATGTTAAACATATTACTAGAAATATCAGATATAAAGGGTACACTGCATGGTTTATATCTCATTATATAATTGAACAAATGAACCATAAATTGTAGTAAGTTTTCTTTGTTTTTTATTATTACTGATCTCTGTTATACTGTAACTTTGTTCTAGACCTGTCACTGGTTTATACTGTTTACCATCAGATGACACATGTTGTAATGATCCATCATTACACATCACATACAGACTGCCATCTTGTAGTGTAGTCATCCTCCTGGGTCGTGATGGTAATGTTAGGGAGTGATGTCTGTCATCACTATAACTGTACCAGTACAGCTTCTTGTTGTTGCCGAAGAAGTGGTGACAGTAGAATATTCTGTCACCAGAACCATGTATCTTGTCAGGAGGACAGTCAGTTGGTATTGTCTGTACCACCTCTCCTGTCTGATGATCTATGATCTGTAGTATGTCATTACCACCTACAACTAACTTGTTGTTTATAGTTGTAATGCAAATCAAATACCTCATTCCAGGTACTGATATTGATTTAAGTTTGAGTTTATTGTTTATGTCATACATCTCTATACACTCACTAAACAACAGTGTAACAGCTACTGTAGAGTTGTTGACTGCTGCAACATAACATGGTAAACCCTGTACATGTATACGGTCTATCGGTGATCCATCTGTATTACAGATCAGTAGTTTGTTCTTGTGAGGTAAACACATCACCAGTCTACCATCATCCATCATTACTATACCTCTTATATCATATCTCAAGTCATTACTAACTACTGATGTCAGGTCTGTCTGATGATGTAGTTTGAAGATTGACTGTCCTAGTTTGTATTTCCTTCTGAAAGGAAGTCTTTTTTCTGAAAAAAAATAACAGACTGTTAATGTTGTAAAATTAATTAGTGGTATTAAATATTTAATGACTTTTAAAAGTAAGGGAAAATGAAATGTTATACTTAAAGAGAATAGATTATAAATTGAAGGAAATAGATTACAATTCCATAGGATATCCTATGTTGTACTATATTCAGCTTTAGGTCAACATTAGACAACAGTAGGTAACATAATGGCTATAATTTGTCCATTTAGATCAGGGTAAAAGAGAAGGTTTGAGTTTTGTTGAAATAGGCTTAAATCTTAAATGCAATTCAATATTATATGCAATTACAAAACTAAATGTTCAATAAATGAATTTGATAAACAATGCTTATAAGTTATTATTATCAACTGTAACATATTGACAGGTTATGAAGGTGTAATACCACCAAATCATAGTACGTCACATCCAGTTGCATATGAAAATAGGTCGAAAAAAAATATTCCCTTGAATTTGACAGTTGTAGGTAATTGATCCTAAATGTCATTGCAGTAAAACATTTCTGGGTCATAAACATATATCTTGGGTATTTCAAAGCACCATTATTTTTTTATTTGGGGTTATATAGAATATTTTGGAAACTTGAGGTTACGTGGTTAATAAAGCTTGTACACAGGTTAAAAAAGGGGGAAAATTTGATTGGTTAACTTCCAGTGATGGTTATTTTCTTATATGCAATGAAATGTTATGTGAAATTTTTTCTATAGTACTGGACAGGATAAAACTTTACTCATGCCAAGTATTTCTTTATTTGAAACAAAGATAAATTCTGCACAATGTTTTGAAAAGTGCAAATTTTACAAAGACTAATAGGGGAAAATCAATGGTGGTATTACACCTGAAGCCATGAAACGACAGTAAATTTATATATAAATTTTGATTTAAATAAAAAATTTGGACTGTTTGTCTTGCAAATATTAAGCAATAATATTCAGTAGTATCCTGATCAGAGAAGAATTCCCAACATTCAGTTTACCCTGTAATCATTTACCCTCTTTTATAAGGCAATGCTGGTGGCCTATTTTGATTTAGTCAAAATATCCCTAAGATTTAAGCTCTTCAACTGTTACATTCTTGGCTTTCAAATATTCAGCTTTGAGTGTTCCAGGTGTAATACCACCATTGATTTTACCCTATTAGTCTTTGTTAAATTTGCACTTTTCAAAAAATTGTGCAGAATTTATCTTTGTTTCAAATAAAGAAATACTTGGCATGAGTAAAGTTTTATCCTGTCCAGTACTATAGAAAAAATATCACATAACATTTCATTGCATATAAGAAAATAACCATCACTGGAAGTTAACCAATCAAATTTTCCCCCTTTTTTAACCTGTGTACAAGCTTTAGTAACCATGTAGCCTCAAGTTTCCAAAATATTCTATAGAAACCCCAAATAAAAAAATAATGTTGCTTTGAAATACCCTAAGATATATGTTTATGACCCAGAAATGTTTTACTGCAATGAAATGTAGGATCAATTACCTACAACTGTCAAATTCAAGGGAATATTTTTTTTTCGACTTATTTTCATATGCAACCGGATGTGACGTACTATGATTTGGTGGTATTACACCTTCCAGGTGAAAGTAAATCCAGAAAAGCGCTTTGGACACATGATGTTTTCATTTTTCTATTAAAGAAACTCAAATTATGGCATCCAGCCACATTAGAAAGTGTAAAAGTAGCCATAGTAGCAGGTACTAATTTTGACAGTTGACAGCAAAATAGAAATAGAATGGTATTTGAATGATACTTAACAATCTGATATCTTCTGGTCATCCAATATTTTTTCTGATTAAGGGGTCAACACCTATCTTTTAAGTAACTAACCTTGATTGTCACTCCTCTCCGCATAACATTGACATGCCATACCTCTTCTGGCATAAAACAATAACTCCTGTAAAAATAAAACATGGTTTGATATAACTTTTTACACCACAAGCAAAACTATCAAATCTTATCTGACAGTAGTTTAAGTAAATAATTATTTCTCAATGTTCAGCGACAAATATTTCCCTTAGTGCTCATAAGCATTTTAATAATTTTATTTTGTTTCTCATGACAAAGTTAAAGCCAAGTATTATTTTAACCATTTCTACTTTTGACATTTATGTGATGTATTTTGGTTAGGTTTTTATAACTGTACTTCAAATTAGATAAGGGGAAAAATGATAAATATAACTCTGCTTACCTGTAGGGATGTATCAATATTCCTCAGTGTACCCTGCATGGATGTTCCCATGTTCTGTAATGAACCTTGTACCGAGTTACCAATCACCTGCATCGATGAACCCATGTTTTGTAGTGAACTTTGAACTGTTGTATCCATGTTTTGGAGAGAACCCTGTACTGAGTTGTTCATGGTCTGGATAGTAGAGTTAATCTGTAAAGATTTTGAGAAAAAAATATACATACTTCAGTAGTTGTCATTTGATGATGTGGTTCATAAGTTTTTTTTCTCGTTTCTCGTATTTTATATAGATTAGACCGTTGGTTTTCCCGTTTGAATGGTTTTACACTAGTTATTTTTGGGGCCCTTTATAGCTTGCTGTTCGGTGTGAGCCAAGGCTCCGTGTTGAAGACCGTACTTTGACCTATAATGGTTTACTTTTATAAATTTTGACTTGGATGGAGAGTTGTCTCATTAGCACTCATACCACATCTTCTTATATCTATTGTATGTAAACAGGGAAAGGAACAAAACTTTATATAATCACCTAATACCACTTATAGTTGTGTAAGTCTTATTTATACCATCCCCATCCCTACCCCAACCCCTTTCTTGGAATCACTCCTATTTGTCTGTCTGTGACTGGTACAGAACTTTTGAATTCCTTAGAGTTACTTACATATTAATGGTACTTAGTATTAATTGTTGCACATGACATGAAGGTGTGTCTAACCTAAAGGTTGGAATGTTCAGATGGGATGTCTGTCTGCAGGGTCAAGGTCGTCACAAACTTTGTACTTAGTCATATTTTACTCAGAAATTTTGAATGCCTTTATTGAAGGATATAAATAATGTTTTATATATAAAGTTGACCACCATCAGTGGATGTGTTGCAAATAATATTGGAATGTCTGCTTGCCAGGTCAAGCTCACTTTTTTGTATATTAAGATTAATACAAGAGGTGGGGTATTATTTTGTGAGATTTGCTAGCAGATTACCTCTAGTTTTTATTTAGACAAGAATTTTTTTTTGTGTTTTTTCATTGGCAAAGCATGACCTTGCCATTTTTAAATACCTGTATAAGTTTGAAAATGAAAGAAATGCCAAGTATCAGTCCTGGTTTACGTTGCTCAAGAACAATTTATAAGGAACTTCTATAGAGAAGTACTGCCTGAATGACAATGAAGAAGAAGAACTCAAATTTTAGCATCAATCTGTGTTTGTCAATGATCATAATTGTTTAATACACCTTCTTTACAGAAATCATCGTAATAAACTAACTTTGCGTTGAATGTTTCCCTAACTGGTACTAACCATAATTTTTTATTCATGATTACAATGGTCTGATGAAAAATTCAGACCTTCTTACTACACTATCCCCAGTAGTGGGCTTTGAAGAATGAATTTCAACATTTCTTTAAATTCTTATAGATGGAATTGTCTGATTCCAAAACAATGTTCCTCAGAGAAATATATTTACAGCTCATTTAAGATGACTTTAATTAGAGAATCTGTTTTAACAGAATGTGACAAATAAGTAAATTAACCTCATCAAGTCTTTCGTGGAGATCAAGAAGACTAATACAATATCTGCTACATAAAGCTTCATCTAGTGGTCTGGCCTCTATCCTAGTCAGATTATCTTGTATACTGGGGTCCAGTTGTAAGATAAAGTTTGTCAGGTCTGCCCATAGTGTTCTGTACTCTCTTTTGGTTATTGCCCCTTTTATATTGTGACTGAGGTAGTCATTCTTGTATTGTCGTAACTCTTTGATAGCAGCTTTTTCATCAGGTGTAAGGGTGCAGCAGTTAAGTAGGATCAGGCTTGCTAAGGTGATGTCTAGATCATCTAGTTGTACAGGATTGGCGGAGAACTTACAATGGCAGTCATGTGGATTCACACCAGGATTAGTTTCGGTATACAGTAGATCCCATTGGCAATATTGGAGTGGAAGTGAACGATTATTGGAACATTTTGTCTTGTCCTTGCAGCACCATGTGTTTCTGTGTCGAAGGTGGAAGAGGACGTGAATTGTGGATTGTTTATTTAAGAAATCCTGTAGTGATGCTAAGCCACAGCTTGTATAATCATTTTCTATCCTCTTCCAGAACAATGGAGTGACTACCTCTAGTATTACAGATCCTACTATAAAGTAACGACGACGATCTTCTCTGTCCATACTATAAAATGAAAAAGCAAAATCATAATCTAAATACAATTAAAAATTGAATGAGGCTACTGTGTCTCTACATTAAACCACAAAATCTGCATGTTATCATGAAACAAGAGGCTGTCAGAGAGACAGCAAACCGGATTTTCCTGCAGAGGTCGAACCCTGAACAGTTGAGCAAGTATGGACACTACATTTAAACTTAAAACAGCTCTGAATTTGGATTGTGATTGAATATTTGACACATCATAGGTTTGTGACACAAAATGAATGTAGTCAAAGAAATGATATATTTGAAATTGGACATTTAAATACCTATTATGGTCCAAATTAGAATCAGCATATCAAAGAACCCAAAGAATTCAATTTTTGATGAAATCAGACAAAAGTTTAATCTAGGACCCTTTGGACCTCAATGTGGACCAATTTGATTAAGGAGCCCACAATCCAAAATCTCTCAATACATGGTTAGATTCAGCATTTCAAAGAACCCCATAAATTCAATTTTTGTTGAATCAAACAAAGTTTAATTTTGGACCCTGATTTGGACCAACTTGAAAACTGGGCCTAAGAATCTAATATTTAAATAGAGTTTAGATTCAGCATTTGAAAAAAACCTATATATATATTTAATTTATGTTGAAATGAAACACAGGTTAATTTTATCCATAATATTTTCTGTGCAAATGGAAATAACTCAAACTGGATAAATAGTTCTCTAAAATAAGATATGATGCAATTTTTCAGATCATAATCAATAATATAATAACAACAACCAGTGATGACTAAGTTCTCTTAAATTAGATATGATTAAACACTCAAACATTGTTAGAATCAGCATATCAAAGAACCAAAGAATTCAATTTTTGATGAAATTAAACAAAAGTTTAATTTAGGACCCTTTGGACCTCAATGTGGTATTATTTTATTAATAATGAAAAGCTCGACCGTTTACAAGTTCTTAAACAGGAGGGGGGTGGGGGTGACCCAAGGGGACTCACCTTATATTTCATTTGATTTGTTTTATTGGCCCATACAAGAATATATATGGTTTCGGGGTGGGGATCTTGACCATTTACAAGTTTTCAAAAAGAAGGGGGGTGGGGGTAATACCCCAGGGGACTTTCCCTCAATTTCATTTGACTTGTTTTATTGTCCCATTCAAGAATATATATGGTAAAGGGGTGGGGATCTGGACCGTTTACAAGTTATCAAAAAGAAGGGGGGTGGGGGTTACCCCATGGACTTTCCCTATATTTCATTTGATTTGTTTTATTGTCCCATACAAGAATATATATGGATTAGGGGTGGGGATCTCGACTGTTTACAAGTTCTCAAACAGGAGGGGTTGGGGTGACCCCAGGGACTGGCCTTTTATTTCATTTGATTTGTTTTATTGTCCAATACAAGAAAATATATGGTTTAGGGGTGGGGATCTTGACTGTTTACAAGTTTTAAAAAAAAGGGGGGTGGGGGTGACCCCCTTGACTTCCCCTATATTTCATTTGATTTGTTTTATTGTCCCATACAAGAATATATATGGTTTAGGGGTAAGGATCTCGACCGTTTACAAGTTCTCAAACAGGAGGGGGGTGGGGGTGACAAAAGGGGACTCGCCTTATATTTCATTTGATTTGTTTTATTGTCCCATACAAGAAAATATATGTTTCAGGGTGGGGATCTTGACTGTTAACAAGTTTTCAAAAAAAAAGGGGGTGGGGGGGTTTCCCCAGGGGACTTCCCCTCAATTTCATTTGATTTGTTTTATTGTCCCATTCAACAATATATATGGTTTAGGGGTGGGGATCTCGACGGTTTACAAGTTATCAAAAAGAAGAGGGGGTGGGGGTTACCCCCATGGACTTCTTCTACATTTCATTTGATTTGATTTATTGTCCAATACAAGAATATATATGGTTTCGGGGTGGGAATCTTGACAGTTTACAAGTTATCAAAAAGAAAGGGGTGGGGGTGACCCCGTTGGACTTCCCCTATATTTTCATTTGATTTGTGTTATTGTCTCATACAAGAATATATATGGTTTAGGGGTGGGGATCTCGACTGTTTACATGTTCTCAACAGGAGGGGGTTGGGGTGACCCCAGGGGACCGGCTTTTTACTTTATTTGATTAGTTTTATTGTCCCATACAAGAATATATATGGTTTCAGGGTGGGGATCTTCACCATTTACAAGTTTTCAAAAAGAAGGGGGGTGGGGGTTACCCCAGGGGACTTCCCCTCAATTTCATTTGATTTGTTTTATTGCCCCATTCAAGAATATATATGGTTTAGGGGTGGGGATCTCGACCATTTATAAGTTATCAAAAAGAAGGGGGTGGGGGTGACCCCCCTGGACTTCCCCTATATTTCATTTGATTAGTGTTATTGTCCCATACAAGAATATATATGGTTTAGGGGTGGGGATCTCGACAGTTTACAAGTTCTCAAACAGGATGGGGTGGGGGTGACCCCAGGGGACTCGCCTTATATTTCATTTGATTTGTTTTATTGTCCCATACAAGAATATATATGGTTTCAGGGTGGGGATCTTGACCGTTTACAAGTTTTCAAAAAGAAGGGGCAGGGGGTGGTACCAGGGACTCGCCTTATATTTCGTTTGATTTGTTTTATTGTCCCATACAAGAATATATATGGTTTAGGGGTGGGGATCTCGACTGTTTACAAGATAAAAGCACATTCTCAAATTGAAGGGGGGTGGGAGTAAGAATATATATGGTTTAGGGAGACTTAATTATCTACAAAATGTCTTATAATGAACAGTAAATTTCAAATTTCATTTATACAGTCCTACTAGTAAATTTCAAACTTTATATATACAGTCCTACAGATCTTATCAGGAAACAGAAATTTTTCAAATAAATCTGTCACTCCAATGATTATCATATGCTAAGATATAACCCAGATCTAATTAATAATGTAATAATCTTCAAAATGTCTTATAATATAGCTTATAATCATCACCACTTAGGAAATAGATAATTTTCAAATAAATTTGTCACTCCAATTTTTATTGTGACAAGTCATAAAATAATAACAAGAGATAAATATTTTAAAATTCCACTGTTGGATATTAAAAATGGATTTGATTTGTTTTATTGTAACATACAAGAACATAGGTATATGGTTTCAGGGTGGGGATCTTGACCGTTTACAAGTTATCAAGAAGAAGGGGGGTGGTAGTTACCCCAATGGACTTCCCCTATATTTCATTTGATTTGTTTTATTGTCCCGTGGAGAACGAAAACCAATTTTGGGACATACAGCATATGTACTTACAGACAGACAAGGGTAAAACTTAATGCCCCCTCAACACCTGGCATAAAAGTGTGGCAAACTGATTTGCCAAACTGAAGGACAAACAGACAGAGAGACAGACAGACAGACACACAGCCTACCAAAAAAGTTTCAAACAATTTACCAATGATATTTCGCCAATAACTCAAATTTATTGACATGAACCAGTAACAAAACACCAAAATAATTCTCTAAAATTAGATATGACTTAACCACTCATAAATCTCTAAAATTAGATCAGTTTATATATGTCAATTAAACACATCACTTTTCAAAGCAAATAACTCAAACTTATTTCCATAAACCAGTAAAAAACCAGCAAAATACTTCTCTAAAATCAGATATGATGTTATATCTATTTCCATATTATAATCAAATTTAATTAATAGTTGCTAATATTGTTTCTTTCATGTGTCAAAAAATAATACAGATCTGCAACTTATCTATCAATGTCAAAAACTTTATCTCATAATAAAAATAGATTATTATCTAATTAAAAACAAGTTCAGATTCAGCACTTGAAAGAACCCTATATATATTTAATTTATGTTCAAATATAACACACACAAACTGATTAATTTTCCCAGGGGACCACCCTTTATTTCATATGATTTGTTTTTTTGTCCCATACAAGGATATATATGGTTTAGGGGCGGGGATCTCGACCATTTACAAGTTCTTAAACAGGAAGAAGGTGGGAATGACCCCAAGGAACTCACCTTTTATTTCATTTCATTTGTTTTATTGTAACATACAAGAATATATATGGTTTCGCGGTGGGGATCTTGACCGTTTACAAGTTTTCAAAAAAAAGGAGAGTAGGGGTTACCCCAGGGGACTTCCCCTAAATTTAATTTGCTTTATTTTATTGTCCCATACAAGTACATATATGGTTTAGGGGTGGGGATCTCAACCGTTTACAAGTTTTCAAAAAGAAGGGGGTAGGGTTTACCCCCGTGGACTTCCCCTATATTTCATTTGATTTGATATATTGTCCCTTACAAGAATATATATGGTTTCTGGGTGGGAATCTTGACCGTTTACAAGTTATCAAAAAAAAAGGGGGGTAGGGGTTACCCCAATGGACTTCCCTTATATTTCATTTGATTAGTTTTATTGTCCCATACAAGAATATATATGGTTTAGGGGTGGGGATCCCGACCGTTTACAAGTTCTTAAACAGAAAGAAGGTGGGGATGAGCCCCCAGGGGACTTGACTTTATTTCATTTGATTTGTTTTATTGTAACATACAAGAATATATATGGTTTCGGGGTGGGGATCTTGACTGTTTACAAGTTTTCAAAAAAAAAAGGGGTGGGGGTTACCCAAGGGGACCTCCCCTAAATTTCAATTGATTTGTTTTATTGTCCCATACAAGAATATATATGGTTTAGGGGTGGAAATCTCAACCGTTTACAAGTTTTCAAAAAGAAGGGGGTGGGGTTTACCACCGTTGACTTCCCCTATATTTCATTTGATTTGTTTTATTGTCCCATACAAGAATATATATGGTTAAGGGGTGGGGATCTCAACCGTTTACAAGTTTTCAAAAAGAAGGGGTTGGGATTTACCCCCTATGGACTTCATCTATATTTCATTTGATTTGATATATTGTCCCATACAAGAATATATATGGTTTCTGGGTGGGAATCTTGACCGTTTACAAGCTATCAAAAAGAAGGGGGTGGGGGTTACCCAATGGACTTCCCCTATATTACATTTGATTTGTTTTATTGTCCCATACAAGAATATATATGGTTTAGGGGTGAGGGATCTTAACTGTTTACAAGTTTTTAAACAGGAAAAAGGTGGGGGTGACCCCAGGGGACTCGACTTTTATTTCATTTGATTTGTTTTATTGTAATATACAAGAAGAAAAATGGTTTCAGGGTGGAGATCTTGACTGTTTACAAATTTTCAAAAAAAAGGGGATGGGGGTTACCCCAGGGGACATCCCCTAAATTTCATTTTATTTGTTTTATTTTCCCAAAAAAGATTATATATGGTTTAGGGGTGGGGATCTCAACCGTTTACAAGTTTTCAAAAAGAAGGGGGTGGGGTTTACCCTCGTGGACTTCCCCTAAATTTGATTTGATTTGTTTTATTGTCAAATACAAGAATATATATGGTTAAGGGGTGGGGATCTCAACCGTTTACAATTTCTCAAACAGAAGGGGGTGGGGGTTACCACAATGGACTTCCCCTATATTTCATTTAATTTGTTTTATTGTCCCATACAAAAATATATATGGTTTAGGGGTGGGGATCTCAACCGTTTACAAGTTCTCAAACAGACACGCTGAGGGTGACCCCAGGGGACTCACCTTTTATTTCATTTGATTTGTAACATACAAGAATATATATGGTTTCAGGGTGGGGAGCTTGCACATTTACAAGTTTTCTAAAAAAAGGAGGGTAGCTGTGAACCCGAGGACTATCCCAATATTTCATTTGATTTGTTTTATTGTCCCATACAAGAATATATATGGTTTAGGAGTAGGGATCTCAACTGTATACAAGATAAAAGCACATTATCAAATTGAAGGGGGGTAGGGGTAAGAATATATATGATTAACGGACACTTAATTATCTACAAAATGTCTAATAATGAACAGTAAATTCCAAACTTCATTTATACAGTAATACTAGTAAGTTTCAAACTTTATATATACAGTCCTACAGATCTTATCAGAAAACAGAAAATTTTCAAATAAATCTGTCACTCCAATGATTATCATATGCTAAAATATTTCCAAGATCTAATTAATAATGAAAATAAATCATTATCATATGCTATTATATTTATAATATCTAATTGAACAGAACTATGGTTGTTTAACATAGTACTCTAACATAATTAATAATGTAATAATCTTCAAAATTTCTAATGATATAGCTTATAATCATTACCACTTAGGAAATAGATAATTTTCAAATTAATCTGTCATTCCAATTTTTATTCTGAGATAAGACAAATCATAACATGATAACAACAGTAAAATATTTTAAAATTCTACTTTTGGATATTAAAAATGGTGATAACTCACAAAGGAGATATACTAAAATCTTGAAAATTAATAGAGACTTTCATTAAGTCCCAGGAAACAACATATTTAAATTTGAAAAAAAATTGTTTAAGCGTTTTCATGTTATTGTGCTGACACTGTTTGGCAGCCGCCCGCCGTATATCACCATTTTAATAACCGATATTTCCTTCGAAAATCCGGTTAAAAACTGTACAGAAAAAAACTTTCAAAAGAAAAGTTACAAGCCTTAAGGATGTGTAAAAATTATTTCAGCCAGTAAGCAAAAAGTTTTTCACGAAGACTGGGTTTAAGGCATCAGTGTAATTAGTTTTTAATGGTCATACACGTTTATAAATGTTGTTTTTCTTTGACATTCACTCTTTATCTTAACTAGGGGCCTCGGTGGCCAAGTGGTCTAAGTAGTTCTACTATTGTAATCACTAGCCAGTCAACACAGAGGTTGTGAGTTTGAACCCCGCTAGTGCAGGTGCACTCTACTCCAATCTTAATCGACTAGGATTGTCAGTTTTCCTATCGAAGGTCAGTGGTTTTCTTCAGGCACTCTGGCTTCCTCCACCAATAAAAACTGGCTGCCATGAAATAGCCCAAAATAGGCGCTAAAAAGTGGCGTTAAAATACCAATCAATCAACCATTATCTTAACTTTTTATAAAACAAGTCAAATTTAGTAATGCCATTGATGAATTTTCCATTTGGTATTATAAAATACTTCACCCACTACTATTCCTTCAAAGGGGGGTTTAAATGTAAAGCTTTATATATAAGTTATGAACATCTATCTATTGGGGTATTTTTGTGTGGTTGTGTTGCTGTCTTATTGACAGATTCCCTACATTTCAATTTTTTTTTGAAAATTAAGTGTAGCACAAAATAATGAAATGGAGAGGGGGTCTACCCCATGAGGCTGTATGTCCAAAATTGTTTTTGTTTTATTAATTCTATTGAAACAGAATTTGATTTGCTACCTTATGATAATATGAAGAAATGTTAAGGAAAAGGTTTCAAAAATTTAGTAAGATTTTTTTATTTCCTTGTCTGTGACTTTTATTTCCATTTAATCGCTAAGTATCTATTTTAGCAATTTATAATACTAATTATTTATCATTATAAATATTACCTTTCTGTTATATTTTCAGGGGATTCCAGATAATATTTTTTTTAGAAAGATTTAAACAAAGTATTTTCCTTTTTAGATTCATCATAATTTTCAATGAGTCTTGTCAATGGAGAACATAATCAACAAACTGGAAATACCCTGTGCTATATAAAGTAACAAAAATGGGAGAAAATTTAGACACTGTTAGAGGGTCTGGATGGGGTTTACAGAATAGAGAATAATGGGCAAATGTGCATAATAATGGACTTTCAAAAGAAATGAAGAATAGAATAAAAATAGGCTAACTTATAATAAAGAATAGAGAATAATTGGATGCAAATATATAAAGAATAGAGAATAAAGGGATGCCAAAATATCAAGAATAGAAAATATTAAAGGGGCGCAAAAATATAAAGAATAGAGAATAAAGGGATGCCAAAATATAAAGAATAGAAAATATTAAAGGGGCGCAAAAATATAAAGAATAGAGAATAATGGGGTGCAAAAATATAAAGAATAGAAAATATTAAAGGGGCGCAAAAATATAAAGAATAGAGAATAATGGGGTGCAAAAATATAAAGAATAGAAAATATTAAAGGGGCGCAAAAATATAAAGAATAGAGAATAATGGGATGCCAAAATATAAAGGATATACTATAGAAAATGGTCTAAAAAATTAAAGAATAAAGGACACTTTGATCTAACTCACTACCTTATACAATCTAGATATGACTCTTGAACTTATAAGGCAAACAGTTATTCCCTCCCAAAATTTTATAAAATGAATCAAAGGTGATAAGAACTGTTGACAGAATAAAAACTTTTCAGGAAGGCCCATCACAGTGGCAGATCCAGAAATTTTCATAAGGGGGGCCACTGACTGCCTAAGAGGGGGCCTGCTCCAGTCATACTTTAGTGCTTTCCTGTATAATCAACCAAATTTTTTCTACAAAAGGGGGGACCCGGGCACCCTAGGCCACCCCCCTAAATCTGCCTCTGCATCAAATTAGGTCTCAATATTTTAAGAAAGTGAATATATATACTTAAATCACCCTGATTCAAACAAAAAATTCTCTGAAACTGACATTATCAAGATGCTTGATTTCTTGATTGACAACATATTTGTTACATTTGGAGGACATGTTTTTCAACAGACTATCGGCATTCCCATGGGAACCAATTGTGACCCTCTTCTTGCCGACTTGTTCCTTTATTCTTATGAAGATGACTTCATACAGGAACTTCTTAGGAAGAAACAAAAGAAGTTATCCTTTAACTTTACTTTCCGCTATATAGATGATGTTCTCTCACTAATTAATTCAAAATTTGGTGACTATGTTGAACGCATCTATCCCATCGAACTTGAGATAAAGGATACAACAGATACAGTTAAGTCTGCCTCATATCTAGACTTAAATCTAGAAACTGACAATAAGGGTCGGTTGAAAACAAAACTTTACGACAAAAGAGATGATCTCAGCTTCCCAATTGTGAACTTTCCATTTTTATGTAGCTACATTCCAGCAGTGCCTGCATACGGAGTATATATCTCCGAATTGATACTATATTCCCGGGCTTGTTTTACCTATCATGATTTTCTTGATAGAGGGTTGCTGCTCACAAGGAAGCTATTAAACCAAGAGTTTCAAATGGTGAAGTTGAAATCATTCCTTCGTAAATTTTACGGACGCCATCACGAGTTGGTTGACCGTTATGGAATATCTGTTTCACAGATGATATCGGATATGTTCCTTAATATTATGTCGTAACTACAATCCTGTTCACTTTTCACGAATGTGACCTACCAAATTAGACTATTTACTGGGTTTGTAATAACATGAGCAACACGACGGGTGCCACATGTGGAGTAGGATCTGCTTACCCTTCCGGAGCACCTGAGATCACCCCCAGTTTTTGGTGGGGCTAGTGTTGCTTAGTCTTTAGTTTTCTATGTTGTGTCGTTTGTACTATTATTTGTCTTTTTGTCTTTTTCTTTTTTGGCCATAGCGTTGTCAGTTTATTTTCGATCTATGAGTTTGAATGTCCCTCTGGTATCTTTCCCTCCTCTTTTAAAGAGACACATGCTACATATATGGATCACCTTATCGTGCATTAACAAAACAATTATTGAATAAACCTGTGATTGGAGGCAAACATATTAATGCATATAACTTATACATAGTGAGACTTGAAAAGTATTTAAAGGACAAGAAATAAAATCTCCTATAGACCAGTATATTAGTAAGTTTTGTTGGGATTGGTTCGTGGACAAGACTATTTATAAAAAGCACTTTCTTGAAGCTTTTTATACAACCGCAAAATTTTTTTTAGGGTTCTTGGTTTCCGTACAAAAGGGGGGGGGGGGGGGGGGATTGGGTTCCAATTTTTTAAAAAATATTTTCAAATTTCAAATTTTTGAAAAGTTTCAAGAAGAAATGTTCAATTGCACAGTATTGTGCAATAGATTTTTAAAATCTTTGACCACATTTATTTTGTGTCAGAAACCTATATTATGTCAAAAGTTTTATCACAATCCAAATTCAGACAGTATCAAGCTTGAAAATTGTGTCCTAATTTGCCCCAACTGTTCAGGGTTCGACCTGCCTTTCCTACCCCTTTTCTCCTTTCTCCTGCCCCTTCTCTCCTTTCTTCCACCCCCTCTCTCCTTTCTCCTGCCCCCTCTCTACCTGTCTCCTTAATTAACCTGTCCAGCCTCTCTTTTATTAACACATTCCCTTCATTTCAGTATTTTGAAAATTTAATGTAGCAGAAAATAATGAAAGGGAGAGGGGGTCTCCCCCTCGAGGCTATAGGTCCAAAATTGTTTTTGCTTTATTAATTCTATTGAACACAGAATTGATTTAAACCTTATGATTATATTGAGAAATGTCAATGAAAAGGTTTCAAAAATTTAGTATGATTTTTCATTTCTTTGTCTTAGTCCTATAACATATGACTTCACATTCTTATTCAATTTTTAACGTTTTTATACTGATATTTTCATATTTTTTTATTTTTTTTTAGGAGCACATTGATAGTAAAAAAAAAAATCAGAAATATAAAATAGAAATAGTAAATAATGCCCCCGAGGTCATATGTTATAGGACTATTCTTTGTCTGTGACTTTCATTTTCATTTAATGGCTAAGTATCTATTTTAGCAATTCATAATACTAATTATTTATCATTATAAGTATTACCTTTCTGTTATATTTTCAGGGGGTTCCTGGTAATATTCTTTTTAGAAAGATTTAATCAAATTACTTTCCTTTTAAGACTCATCATAATCGTCAATGGAGAACATATCAACAAACTGGAAATACCCTGTGCTATATAAAGTATCTGTAATGTCTATGTCATGTTATGCTCTGAATGGGCCCTTTAATTTGGAAAAATAAAAATATTGTATTGTATTGTATTGTATTGTATTGTAAAGTAACAAAAATGGGAGATAATTTTGACACACCTGTTTAAGAAGGTCTGGATGGGGTTTAGGAATAAGAATAATGGGCAAAATGTGCAGAATAATGGACTTTTAAAAGAAATAAAGAAAAGAAATAAGAAAGGCAAACATAATAAAGAATAGAGAATAATGGGGTGCAAATTAATAAAATATAAAGAATAGAGATTAAAGGGGTGTAACATTATATAAAGAATAGAGATTAAAGGGGTGTAACATTATATAAAGAATAGAGATTAATGGGATGTAACATTATATAAAGAATATAGACTAATGACATTGTATAAAGAATATAGACTAATGACATTGTATAAAGAATATAGACTAATGACATTGTATAAAGAATATAGACTAATATATAGACTAATGACATTGTATAAAGAATATAGACTAATGACATTGTATAAAGAATATAGACTAATGACATTGTATAAAGAATATAGACTAATGACATTGTATAAAGAATATAGACTAATGACATTGTATAAAGAATATAGACTAATGACATTGTATAAAGAATATAGACTAATGACATTGTATAAAGAATATAGACTAATATATAGACTAATGACATTGTATAAAGAATATAGACTAATGACATTATATAAAGAATATAGACTAATGACATTGTATAAAGAATATAGACTAATGACATTGTATAAAGAATATAGACTAATGACATTGTATAAAGAATATAGACTAATGACATTGTATAAAGAATATAGACTAATGACATTGTATAAAGAATATAGACTAATGACATTGTATAAAGAATATAGACTAATGACATTGTATAAAGAATATAGACTAATGACATTGTATAAAGAATATAGACTAATGACATTGTATAAAGAATATAGACTAATGACATTATATAAAGAATATAGACTAATGACATTATATAAAGAATATAGACTAATGACATTGTATAAAGAATATAGACTAATGACATTGTATAAAGAATATAGACTAATGACATTGTATAAAGAATATAGACTAATGACATTGTATAAAGAATATAGACTAATGACATTGTATAAAGAATATAGACTAATGACATTGTATAAAGAATATAGACTAATGACATTGTATAAAGAATATAGACTAATGACATTGTATAAAGAATATAGACTAATATATAGACTAATGACATTGTATAAAGAATATAGACTAATGACATTATATAAAGAATATAGACTAATGACATTATATAAAGAATATAGACTAATGACATTGTATAAAGAATATAGACTAATGACATTGTATAAAGAATATAGACTAATATATAGACTAATGACATTGTATAAAGAATATAGACTAATGACATTATATAAAGAATATAGACTAATGACATTGTATAAAGAATATAGATTAATGACAGTGTATAAAGAATATAGACTAATGACATTGTATAAAGAATATAGACTAATGACATTGTATAAAGAATATAGACTAATGACATTGTATAAAGAATATAGACTAATGACATTGTATAAAGAAGATAGACTAATGACATTGTATAAAGAATATAGACTAATGACATTGTATAAAGAAGATAGACTTATGACATTGTATAAAGAATATAGACTAATGACATTGTATAAAGAATAAAGACTAATGACATTGTATAAAGAATATAGACTAATGACATTGTATAAAGAATATAGACTAATGACATTGTATAAAGAATATAGACTAATGACATTGTATAAAGAATATAGACTAATGACATTATATAAAGAATATAGACTAATGACATTATATAAATAATATAGACTAATGACATTGTATAAAGAATATAGACTAATGACATTGTATAAAGAATATAGACTAATATATAGACTAATGACATTGTATAAAGAATATAGACTAATGACATTATATAAAGAATATAGACTAATGACATTGTATAAAGAATATAGATTAATGACAGTGTATAAAGAATATAGACTAATGACATTATATAAAGAATATAGACTAATGACATTGTATAAAGAATATAGACTAATGTATAAAGAATATAGACTAATGAAATAATATATTGTACTTACTGTAAATTCACTTATTTTCGTGGGTACCAATTTTCGTGGACTAAAGAAAACTTGCATGTTCGTGGATATTTGATTTTGTGGTTTTGCCGAAGTTTGCATACAAGCCTATAGGAAATTTGTCATTCGTTGAACATTTAATTTCGTGGTTCACTTATACCCACGAAATCCACAAAAATTGGTATCCACTGAATAATAATGAATCCACAGTAAAAAACAAAATGTGCAATTACCCAATTGAACCAATGATAAAATCTTTTTTATGTCCTTTGTTGGATAAATGTAAATATATCCTGCCCTAGCATTCTAATATTATTAATGTATAAATCATACTTTACATAATGAACATTTTTAATTTCAAATATATTGAATTACAGATTGTTTAATACTATAAATAAAAAGCATCTTCTTACAGGCTCATATTAGCTCTAGGCTTTAAACTCTGTGTTGATTCTATATTTGGCTGACATTAATTGGATTTTGATTGTGTATTGATGAAATAAGCATCTCTAAAAGGCTCCAAGCAACCCCAAAGCATAGTCCTTGGGGAAAGCTTACAAAAATAATAACATTTTACCTAATTTCTCCAGAAAAAATGTTCAAAAGATTATTATGTAACAATTTTTGTTTTTAGCGCAGTTCTGTGTACTTTACAGAAAGTGTGCTAAGTGAGATGTTTAGGTTGTGTGCCTTCCATTATGAGTTGTTTAAAGATTTTTTCTAATTTTCCTAATTTTTATTTCCATATATTTAAACTTTCAGTATGAATTATTCTTCAATGTTTCAGAAACATTATGCATGACCGGGCCATTTGAGTGAATGATCCAATTTTAATTCATTTTAGGTCAAAGGTTTAATTAAGGGACAATAATTATAGACTTAAATTTTGTTAAATTTTTTTCAGACAATAATTTTTGAACCATAAATCAGATCTTTATTGATCTAAAATTGGTGGCGAAACCCACCTTTGAATGGAAAGTCCTCCCTATTTATTTTTAAACATATAGGTCAAATATCGTAGTCAAAACGGCAGTTGATTTGCTGAAATTAGATAAACAAATTTCCATATGTTATCATTTGTCCAACCTCTGACAAACTTTGCATGAAAATCCCCTTTGGAAAAGGTTAAAGTTCCAGTTTCTCATTATCAAAACAAAAATAATACCACCTGACCATTGCTGTCAGAAAAATCTGTTTCTTCATCTAATGATTAGAACACAACTCCTCCGAGACTTATGACTGATACTTGCTAGGATTGTTTGTCATTATGGTTAGTGGACCTTCCGAGTCTTAAGACTGATACTTGCTAGGATTGTTTGTCATTATGGTTAGTTGACCCTCCGAGACTTAAGACTGATACTTGCTAGGATTGTTTGTCATCAGGATTGGTTGACCCTTTGAGTATTACTAGGATTGTTTGTCATTATGGTTAGTTGACCTTCCGAGACTTAAGACTGATACTTGCTAGGATTGTTTGTCATTATGGTTAGTTGACCCTCCGAGTCTTAAGACTGATACTTGCTAGGATTGTTTGTCATCACTAAAAAACTGTAATTAAGGTTAAATCACAGCCAATGTTTTGTGTCAAAATAAGGTCCTCTAATTCCAAATTCTCATGAGCCCCCTCCCCATCCCCTAAACATCAAATTCCCTGGCAAGTTCTTACGAGCCCCCTCCCCTTCCCCCTAAACATCAAATTCCCTGGTTTACACACCTGGTTAGCATAACGAATGTGATTTGTGAATTTTATATAGGCATTTGATTAATTTCATTAGATATTAAAATTTGATTTTTTGTCTTTTTCAGGGTAGTAGTGGAGCTTTGGAGATGATCGACCCTGAATGGAAGAAAACTGCTTTATTTAGTTTCAGTTTTTGTTATCAATCCTTAACTCGTCCTACTGTTCAGGAACAAACCATCACAAAACATTCCAGAAAACTACTGAAATGGCTGACATATCGTGATTCAAACTTACCGTTGTCTGTAATCCTACTGCCATCTCACCTAGATGGCACCACTCTCAAATATCCTAATGCCAAGACAATGTTCAGTGACATCAGTGTACATAGACTCTGCTTTTTCCAAGGTATTTTATAGTAAAGAAAATTAACAGCTATGTTCTTATTTTGAATACAATGGAAAGATTGATTCCTGTATTATTTAATTGATAATTATGACTAATTATATATGTACATGTATGAGGGTCGTAATGGGGGTACCTTCATGACGAATAACGGTAAAAAATCTTGCCAAATGATGTTAACAGTAATTTTTGGTGCATGACAATAAAATGTACACTTTCTTTAAGACGATCAAAAAATCGACTGATTTTGACGAATCCTTGTTAATTTTTTTCCAAAAATAATGGTAACTTTAATTATTTGAGACCTCTGACAAATCACGATAAGTATATTTTGACAAATGACAGTAAAAATTTTACCAATTTGACACTAACGGTTGCCGAAAATGACTGTTTGACGCCTGACGGTAAATGGCATTCATACCCTCATGTGTTTTCATGGATATCAGGTTTTTTTGCCATTTGAAAGAATTCAAAAATTATTTCTTTTAAATTAAATGTTTTCATGAATAAGAAGTTGTGAATTTGAGTCAATTCTATGGCAGATTTTTGTTTTAAACAAGTCAGACGAGAAATATAAGGACAGTTTGTATCAATATAAGTACAAAATATTGTATTGAAAATTATTTTTGATAACTTTCCATTAATTCTTTGTTATTAGTAATGAATCTAATATTCCACTTAAAATCAAATATAATCCAATACAGTTATATTATCTTTTATACAGATGGATATATAGATATGAAGAAGATGCCAATGGTCTTCCCATCAAAGATTAAGAAATATCCAGAGGTCAGGTCAACCTACGATGATATCAACATACACGCCATCACTATAAACGGTAATTTTAAAATATATCATAAGGCAGCATTTTAGTGAAATACATTTTTCATAAAACATTCTAATGTCAAAATGTCTTATCCAGTTGTTTATTTTAAACTAGTCAATTTATTGAACACTAACATGGTAAAATGAATACTAGTAGTAGCATCAAGACTCACAATGATGTACAAACTTTCCAATGGGATGGTTAATTTTGATACAGAAAACTTGACCAGACAGACTATCCCATAACATAAACATCAATAGAATCCAAGTACCATCTTATAGAACAGAAGTGAGGAAAGAATCGTTCTATCCAAGAACAATAAGGGCCTTGAACACACTATCTTTTACCACCACCAGTGTAGGTAGTATTCAATGTTTCAAGACTCACCTAAATGAGACCATACAGACCACCGTTGGCGTTCTGGATGGTTTTAACTTCACTGTATATGGAATGTATAGCACAAATCTCCCTATAAAAATATTTACATGTCCCTCCAAAAGTGGCAAATTAATCAGTTTATTGATGGTGGCCCAATACTGGTTGAAGTAAAAGAATACTGTGAATTCATAATGATTTGTGGGGCAACAATTTCCATTGATTTCTTGGGTATAGGTATAATCTACAAATCTAAATGATCATCAAAGTATGACTTGTATTCAGACTAGGGGGAAAACCACAAAATTAAAATATCCCCCAAAATACAATTTTTTCTTCGAATTCATGAAAAATTGACACTGATGGAAAAAAAAACTAAATGAATCAACAGTATCAGTATGAACCACCGTCTTGGGATTTTTTGTTAGTTTTATAAGTCAATGTTATATCTTTTTATAATTTGCAAACATAGACATTTTCAACTTATAGTTCATAGATATTACAAATTGTTCTTAGTAAATCATAGCCTATGCTTAAGCCTTTAAAACTTCAATAATTATAACAGGTGCAGATGCAGTCATTTTTAAAAGGAGGGGGTTCAACATGCAAGTCATATAAAAAGGGGATGAGGGTTTCAACCATATGTCGTCATAAAAAAGCATTAGTTGTCAAACAAAAAGAAAGGGGGCTCACCCCCTCCCCCTTTGGATCCGCCACTGCATAAAAAATTATAGCAGTAATTACGACAAATATTTCACTGTTTAAACAACCCCACTGACAACCAACACTAAGTACATGTACACTAGCAGTGGTATTCATGGAATGGGAGAAATTCTAACTACATTCAACAATGTGTACAATTTTGGATTATCAGGAACAACTATAACATTTTGTGTCATAAGACTGGTGTACAAACACACACACAAACATCCAGCATACATAATCTCTTGTTAACCAATGAAGTCTTAGAAAAGGCAAATGAAATGTAAAATAACAGAAAATAAACACGAAAATTTTGAGAAATTGAGAATGATCAAGATTTTGCATTTTTTTATTTGTTATTTTTTAAAGACAATCCTCATGGTTTACGTATGTATTTCCAGATTTTAATTTTTACTGTGTTACCTAATCATTGTGGAGATTATATAACAATACACTGTGATGTAAGGCCCTGTAAACTGTATACACTGTAAACTACTTTTTTTCCTTAACAGAGTTATTCACCATAAGTCTTTATTAGCTAAGTGTTCATTATCTAATAATATTTTCATTCAACTAGAGTTTAATGCATATCTGTCTTTCCTTCCCTACATTCTTTTATCCTTCCAAAACCCACCAGTTGTGAACGATGAGTTACAGATTGGAGATGTAGATTGTTTCAAATGACATTCTTTACAAAGAATTACAGCCCCTGGACAAAATTTTGTAAAAATTGTACTTGTCCAGATTTTTTCTGTATTAAGCCTGTACATATTGAGCTGATTTTTGGTTCATAAGTATATAATTATGATTTACAAGTCCATTTTTATATGGGTACTTTTAACAATTTAAAATACAGGTGTGTGTTTTTGTATCAAGTTGTTTATCCAATTTGTAAGTAGTTGTCATTTTCAAAAGACATGTATGAAATTTGTTTCAGTGTATGTCGGTCAAAGTATGTATGTCAGTCATTTAATAGCTGTATATCAGTGTCTTCCATTCAAAGGCTGTTTGTCAGTGCATGTCAGTCAAAGTCTGTATGAGAGTCATTTGAAAGCTGTATGTCAGTGTCTTCCAGTCAAAAAACTATGTCAATGTATTTCAGTCAAATTCTGTATGTCAGTGTCTTCCAGTCAAAGTCTGTATGTGAGTCAATTAAAAGCTGTATGTCAGTGTCTTCCAGTCAAAAACTATGTCAGTGTATTTCAGTCAAATTCTGTATGTCAGTGTCTTCCAGTCAAAATCTGTATGTTCGTCATTTAAAAGCTGTATGTCAGTGTCTTCCAGTAAAAAACTATGTCAGTGTATTTCAGTCAAATTCTGTATGTCAGTGTCTTCCAGTCAAAGTCTGTATGTGAGTCATTTAAAAGCTGTATGTCAGTGTCTTCCAGTCAAAGACTGTATGTCAGAAAATGTCAGTCAAAGTCTGTATGTCAGTCATTCAAAAGCTGTATGTCAGTGTATTTCTGCATATTAGTGCATGTTCTTAAAAATCATTATGTCATTGAATGTGAGTCAAAGTGTGTGTGTCACTGTATGTCAATCAAAATCTGTTTGTCAGTATATGTCAATCAAAATCTATATGTGAGTCAAAGTCTCGATGTCAGTCCTTCAAAAGATGTATGTCCATGTATGTCAACATGTCAGCATATGTTCTCAAAAATCATTATGTCATTGTATGACCGTCAAAGTCTATGTGTCAGTGTATGTCAATCAAAATCTGTTTGTCAGTGTTTGTCATTGAAAATTTTATGTCAGTGTATGTTAGTCAATGTCTGTATGCCAGTGTATGTCAGTCAAAATCTGAATGCCAGTGTATGTCAGTCAAGGTCTTAATTGATGTATGTCAGTCAATATCTATTGTCACACAAAGTCTCTGTGGCATCATATGTCATTCAAAGTCTGTATGTCATTGTATAAAAATCAAAATCTGTATGTCAGTGTGTGTCAGTCAACATCTGTATGTCCATGTATGTCAGTCAAGATATGTAGATCAATGTATGTCAGTCAAATCTGTATGCCAGTCAAAATCTGTAATGTCAGTCAAATCTGTATGTCAGTCACCATCTGTATGTCAGTCAAAGCCTCTATGTCAGTCAAAGTGTGTATGTCAGAGTATGTCATTCAAAGTCTGTATATCAGCGTATGTTAGTTGAAACCTTTAGTTCAGTGTATGTCAGTCAAAATCTGTAGTTCAGTCAAAGTCTCTAGTTAAGTGTATGTCAGTGAAATATGTATGTCAGTCAAAGTGTCAGTTTATGTCAATCAAAGCCTTTATGTTAGTGTTAACCAGTTAAAATCTGTATGTCAGTCAGTGTATGTCAGTCAAAGTCTGTATAATGTAGCAATTTAGATTTGGAAGATGCATAGACTTGCAATATTTGACTGAGGGTAAACGCATTATCCATATTTATGATAATTGGCAGTCATGATATGTTGATATTTTGTGAAGAGATTTTTATTTTACATATATACTGTTAAATGTAATTTTTGTGTCTTTGTGTTGTATTTACATCATCATATTTACATACTTGTATTTAGGAAAACATGCACAAACTGAATTATTTCTTCTTTTTTTTTTTGATAATGTGGAACTCAAGTATTAAAAAAAATAGGAATGTATTCATCCTAGCATAAAGGATAGTAGTGGGTGGATGTATTAAAACATTAATGTGACAGCATCCCAACAATACCAAAAAGAGTTATAAAAATCGACATCTTGAGGTAAACATATGGACTTTAAATACAATTATTTTCAGTAACATATTTAAAGCTCTAAATTGTCTTAAATCCAAATAGCTGTTAGTTAATTCAACAGTGTCTACCAAATATCTGTCATTTAATTCAATTCTTAAATGGATTAAGACATAAGTTTAGTAGACAAGGAACACTTTGACTCAGTTTCTAGTTTTGGGCAGTTACATTGGCATTTGGCTAGATTGAAACCTGTTGTGTAAGGACTTTAACCTCTCCTATTTCATCAATTGGTGAACTAACACAAGTTGCAGAAAAAAAAACATCAATCAGTATTGAGAAGACAAGGCAATATTATTGGTTCATATATTGATGAATATATTGATATATGTTATTACAGATGGTAAAGAAGAGAAGACTTATCCATTAAAACAACCACGAGAAGTTTGTTTACACATGATGGATTTACCTGGCTTTACTGTAAACAGGCCTGTACCTGAAGACCTGAGTTATGCATGTCTTTATCAAGCTTGGACCTACGTAGCTTTATTGACTCACAAGGTAGGTAAAGGGGTGTGTCCCTGTAGACCCAAGTTATGCTTGTCTTTATCAAGCCTGGACCTACGTAGCTTTATTGACTCACAAGGTAGGTAAAGGGGTGTGTCCTAGTAGACCTGAGTTATGCTTGTCTTTATCAAGTCTGGACCTAAGTAGCTTTATTGACTCACAAGGTAGGTAAAGGGGTGTGTCTGAGTAGACCTGAGTTATTCTTATCTTTATTAAGCCTGGACCTAAGTAGATTTATTGACTCACAAGGTAGGTAAAGGGGTGTGTCCTTGTGGACCCAAGTTATGCTTGTCTTTATCAAGCCTGGACCTATGTAGCTTTATTGATGCACAAGATAGGTAAAGGGGTGTGTCCCTGTAGACCTGAGTTATACTTGTCTTTATCAAGCCTGGACCTACGTTGCTTCATTGGTGCACAAGGTAGATAAAGGGGTGTGTCAGAGTAGACCTGAGTTACACATGTCTTTATCAAGGCTAGCTTTATTGACTCACTAGGTAGGTAAAGGGGTGTGCCCCTGTGGACCTGAGTTATACTTGTCTTTATCAAGCCTGGACCTACGTTGCTTCATTGGTGCACAAGGTAGGTAAAGGGGTGTGTCCCTGTAGACCCGAGTTACACTTGTCTTTATCAAGCCTGGACCTATGTAGCTTTATTGACTCACTAGGTAGGTAAAGGGGGTGTCCAAGTAGACCCAAGTTATGCTTTTCTTTATCAAGCCTGGACCTACTTAGCTTTATTTACTCACAAGGTAGGTAAAGGGGTGTGTCCAAGTAAACCTGAGTAATACCTGTCTTTGTCCAGCCTGGACCTACGTCGCTTCATTGATGCACAAGATATGTAAAGGGAAATGTCTAGTTATATATGATTGAGCGTTATCAAGTCTGTTGATAACAAGATAAAAAATATGCTGGCTAGAATACACATTCAACTGTTTCTTATACAATTCACCATTGAATAAAAAAAACTCTATGTGGTATGGGCTTCACTCATTGTTGAAGGCTGTAAGGTGACCTATAGTTGTTAATTTCTGTGTCATTTGGTCTCTTGTGAAGAGTCGTCTCATTGACAATCATACCACATCCTCTTTTTAGCTCACCTGACCCAAAGGATCAAGTAAGCTTTTCTTATCACTTGGCGTCAGTTTCGACGTTGTCTGTTAACTCTTACAAAAATCTTCTCTTCTGAAACTACTGAGCTAAATAACACCAAACTTGGCCTAAATCATCCTTAGGGTATCTAGATTAAAAATGTATCTGATGACCCTGCCCATCAACCAAGATGGTCACCATGGCTAAAAATAGACCATGGGGGGTAAAATGCAGTTTTTGGCTTATATCTCTGAAACTAAAGCATTTAGAGCAAATCTGACATGGGGTAAAAATGCCCTTAAATTTTCAGACGCACCAGACAACTTGTTCTTGGGTTACTGCCCAATAATTGGTAATTTTAAGGACATTTTGCAGTTTTTGGTTATTTTGAGTATTGTTTTAGATAGAGATAAACTGTAAACGGCAATAATGTTAAGCAAAGATCTACAAATAAGTCAACATGACCAAAATCATCAATTCACATCAAATTGGAGTTAATGTCCTTTCAAAGTCATTTTCTGCAATTTTTGGGAAATTTTAATAAAGTTTTTTCAAAAATCTTCTGCTTTTAATTTAACTACTGGGCAAAATTAAACCAAACTTAAACTCAATCATTATTAGAGTATCTAGCCATATTTATTGTGATTTTAACCTTATCAAACATAATTTCCAAAACCACAGTAGATACAGGTGAGTGACACAGGCTCTTGAGAGCTTCTAGTTAATTCTTACCACAATGTTATTTTGACAACTATTTATATATTCTCTTCTGTATTTCAGCTGCTGTTACCATCTTATACAAAAATATTTACTGGAGAACTGGGTAGTCTAGGGAGAAAACAGGTAAAGTCAAGCTGTTTATAATAAAATTGTTAAATTGTGTTGAATCTGCAAGTGAATGATTGAAATATTTAATCATGTGATTGTATTAGAACTAAACATACAACTCTGTAATAATTATTAGAGAAAATTTTGTATAATATTTTTGTAGTTCTAGACTAACTTTCACTACAGATTTTGAAGTGTTAATATGGATAAATTGTAAACATTAGATTTGAGAGGTTACTATTCAAGTACTGCTTTATGACTATTGATTTGGAGGCTACATGTAACTTAATATATACGTTATTTCAGATTGAGAGCTTGCTCTTCCAGTTGATACAGCCCTATGCCTCCCTCTGTAGTATCTATTCTGCTCAGTATGGTGGACTCTCAAACCAAGAGAATCCCACTTACCTGTCAGAGAAAATACAGGACCTCTGTGATGACAAGGGACAACCTATTCCCATAGAGCTGTTAGGAAAAGGAATGATTGCCAACAACCATACATTTGTCAGATTTCCACCATTTTTGGCTTGTAAGGCCCACAGTCACAGTCGAGTGGATAGAAACATTGTTAGAATACCAGACATGTCATTAGAAAGCAAATTTTATGAACCTTACTCAGAGAAGATGGATATTCTAATTGTCAACGGATCACCAATGAAATCTTTACCATCAAATTTGTTCAACATTTTTGAAAATTTACAAGTACTAACAATTCTAAATGTTGATTTGAAACAGACTCCAGAATTTCCCTCTGGTATATCTCGGTGCAATGATCTGGAAATAGTGTGTCTAAGTGGTTTGCCTGGAGTAAAGAAAATGCCAAAGGATATACTGAGAGCTCCAGCTTTATCTACATTTTATCTACACAATTGTCCAATCAGAAAGCTGGATATTGAATGGCCAGCAAGTATGACCTTGACATCACTAAGTTTAAAAGGGCTGCTGATTCAGGAAGTTCCTAAAGAGATATCAAAGTTGTCTGAACTGAATGAACTCAACTTAGATTGCAATCCAATTTTGACGTTACCCGACGAACTTGAACATTTAAAGAAGTTGAAGCATTTAAGTGCAAAAGGTAAGCTTTCAAAAATTGTTTTTGTATTGAGGAGCAACCATTGCTTACAACATTTTATAGAAAGAAAACGATCTTTTTGCAATTAATAAAAAAGAAAGATGAATTTGGCCAACATATCTTAAAATCTTTATATATAGATACCTATATTTCACCACTGAATCTCATGCCATATAATATTTATCTGCTCTTAGTAAGATTTTGAATATTTTGAATACTGGGGAAGCCTGAATGTATATAATATAAAAATTAAACTGACGTCTTGAGGAGAGAAATATCGTATGAACCTCAATATAGTTGTAGAATCTGTATGTTTCATGTGGATAATTATGTAATGATTTTACTGAAGTTATTTATTTTTATTGTTTTAGGAATCCCCTGGATAGCCTTTGAGGGAAAATTTGATCAGATGCCAAAATCTATTTACGAAACTTGGCATGCTGAAAATCCATACATTATCAACTATCTTTCAGAAAAAGTAAGTCCACTCAGTTTAATTATCTCACATTTAAACATCCAATGTGGAGAATCTGTACTTAATTCAGCTACTTTTAGAACATTTTACAAAGGAAAAGAGAAATTCAATATTCCTAAACGAGACAGCAACTTAAGTTAACAATACAAATATTAAAAATAAATCCAAATTCATTGTGACCATTCTGGTGATGGTAAATTTGTCAATGTCAGAGCTTTTAAATAAATTGTATAGGTAATAAAACATAAAACTGGTCAGATGTATCAGAATTACCTTTCTGCTAGCTCTATAGCAGGTATTTACCGCATTGTTTATTATGGTATTAATAGGGCACTAATTAGGGCAACACATCGAGGATGCGGGAGCCCTATAGTTTAAAATTTGTCAATCTGTCTGTCTGTCCACAATTCATGTAAACACAAAAACTCCAAATGAAACTGTCCACAATTCATGTAAACACAAAAACTCCAAATGAAAAGCATAGGTATGAGTAAAAAATCACAAATTTTGAGAAATGTCTTTTGTAAGCACAAAACCCCTAAAGAGTTTGTAGGAGGCCAATGAAATTTTGTGAAGTTGATGTGCATATTATATTTTTCATGAATTAGGCTCAGTAATTTCAGAAAACTGTTTTTGTTAAAAATCACAAATTTTGAGAAGCATCTTATTGTAGGATTTCGTCAACAATGGATATTTAACATAGACATAACATGCATTCCAAATTATTTCCTTAAGTCAGAATTATGTTCAAAACATAGTTCTAATACAACATCCTTATTGTAAACAAAGCAGAGTTCTAAGTAGCACAAAATATGTTTGACACATGTGCACAAACTTACTGTTTACATTCTCGTTATTTTCATTTTTATCCTAGTAAAATAATTATATTAATGACTACTTACTATAAATATTATTATATATTGTTATAAAAATACATGGATCATATATTTACCCTGGTATTAGTTTTAACACTTTCATTACCAGATTGAACTGGATTTTGCATCTCATGCCATAACTGCACATGACCATCACCCACCCGAATTGATTTCAATGAAAGTGTGTGTTTTTTGTTTAGTTTCAATGCATCGTTAGGTAACAAAGAGTTATATTAAACTTTTTAAATATGAAATAGTTATGGTTTTTTTTGTATGCTTTGAACTATAGAAAATAGTAAAAAAAAGATCAATTACTGGACTTCTTTGATTATAACCCCACGATGGAAAGTCTGGGAGCATATTATTACATCTTAAGCATATAAATAGCAATCGTTCCAAACAGAATGTTTGATTAATATTACTCTTTTGATAGGAAGTGGAAGACTTGTTTGATAAGTTTGATGAAAACAACAACAATATCTTAGATCCAACAGAGGTTGCCAAGCTTAATTTTGAGTTTCTAACTAATATACCACGCATTGGAGTCCAGAAATTAGGTAAGGTTTATTGTGTACTAACTTGCGACCACTATCCACCATAGTTTAAATAATGAAGATATAAATAAAGGCAACAGTAGTAAACCACTGTTCAATAGTCATAAATCGATGAAGCGAAAACAAATCTGGGCCACAAACCAAAACCTAGTGAAACACATCAACTATAAGAGGAAAACAACGGAACAATAAACACTGAACTGCAACAAAAACAAACGCATACATACATAGAAACAGACTATTTGATAACAACTGCTATATTACTGACTTGGTACTGGACATTTTAAGAAAAAATGTTGGGTTGAATTTTTTTTTATGGCTAGCCAAACCTCCCGCTTTTATGGCAATGTTAAAAATACCTCTAAAATAACAACATTACATGACAGGAATACAGTGCAAATAAATGCAAGAACACTCAGGACAGAGAAATACATATATAAATAAAATATAAGCAATTTCAAATTTCTGTACGACCTTCAACAATGAGAAAAACTTGTACTGTATAGTCTGCTTTAAAAGGCTCAGACATGAAAAATGTGAAACAATTGCAATGAGAAAACTAACGGCTTAATTTAACAGTACAATGTACAGAAACAAATATGACAAACATGAACCAACATATGTATAGATAGAATATCATTGAACCAGAACTGCAAAATGTTTCATATGATCTCAGAAAATACCAAGGTTTGTGCTATGTTTTTGGCTGGACAGTTTTCCCTAACACAGACATACTTGGTAATAATAGTGACATGGAGAGCCATATTTGTAAAAACAATTTCTTCACTGAGTACCCTGTCATTAAACAGGTACAAACAAGGGTTATATAATTGGCAGCTATGATTACCTACTCGCCTGACTGGTAAACAAGTACTGGACATCAAGCCATCTATTTGAAGTTGTTCTTCATGATTTTGTTATAGCTTAAGACTTGAGATATAGAATCTAACTTTTAATTCTAATGTATTATTACTTTTACCTTAGGTGACTCTCAATATGGAGGAGTTCCTCCAGTGATATTCAAACTGAAGGGATTAGAGAGTTTGGACCTGTCCTATACTGCAATCAACTGTATCCCCGACTTTGCTAGTGAATTGTTCACCTTACAAACTCTTAACTTAGAACATTGTCCTTTCTTAGAGAGTGTATCTGGAAATGTTGGACTACTGCCTAACCTTAGAAGTAAGATTAATTAATAAAAATGTTTTAGAAAATATTAATACAAGTATTTTTGTAAAAAGTATGACAATTGTACTCACCCAACAGGAAAAAATGCAAGTAGTTATTATTTAATGACAATATTTAAAGAAAAATTGAAGATAGCAAAAAGTGCATAAAATATTCTGTAAACTGCCTTGTTTAACCTTTTAGTAGTCAACCATAAAGGGACTGGGAGTCAATAGAATATCTAGCCAGAAAATATATTTCTACAATATTTTCCAACAATATAAAAACAAATCAGAAATTTATATAGATAGAAGAAGATATGGTATGATTGCCAATGAGACAACTTTCCACCAACACCAAACATGAAAGTAGTCCACTTATTTAAGAGGCATACAAATAATTTTCTTAGTCAATACAAAAATCTGGGACCTTCCTCCCATATTAGAAAATGGCTGCTCTGTTAGTTTCCAAAATAACATTTTCACAGAAAAGTCATTTATTCAATTAGCAGTCAGGGGCATTACTTAAACAAGTAATTTTTAAAATTACCTATACAAGTAATGTTGAAAACGAGGCTATTTTAAAAATAACTTATATAAGTAACTTTTATAAATATTATTTTTATAGGTGTCTAATTATACAGATTTTACTAGTTTTAACAACTTTTTACAGTCATCTGGTTATTTTTCCCATGAAATATAAAATCTAATCCTTCTGAAACACTAATTGCCTTTCTGAGGCACTTATCTTTCATATGGACGCTTCTGGGTCAAAGAATGGTCTCTTGGGACTATTAAAATATCATTTTCCTTGAAAATCTTGAAGGTAGACAGATATAAATAGATAGAAACTTGTGAATTAATTAAGACTTGAAGTTATTTATAATTTGTAACCCAAAACAAGTACATTATATGTTCCTTAAATAAGTGTTATTACTTATTCTTTCAAATATGTATAAAATAACTTATTCAAGTTACATTTTTGTCATTATTTTTAAAGTAACCCTTCATGTCTATACTCCTCTCAAATCTAATAAATTCTTAATTTTATGATATAAAATGATGTAAAAATTCATGAAAACTACATTTAATCCATGCTTCTATTGAAATTTAAAATAACTCTATTGAGTGATTTTATATATTTTAAAAACAAAAATTACCTATATATATAAGTAACTAAAAAAAGTTACTTGTTTAAGTAATGCCCCTGACTGATTAGTATGATTAATTCACAACACTTGTCCCACTCAGATCCTCCCTTAATATTGCTGTTGATATATAATGCCAGTGGTACCAATAACCAGTCTGCTATTTCTTTGGTGCCCAAACTGAATGCTGAGGAGTTACAGTGCAGAAAAAAGCACCTGATCTACACTAATCAGAGTTCATTAAAGGGACCAAATAATGCCAACTGGTTCTTGTATAAAGGTATAAACTGAACAAACACAGGTTTAGGAGAATTGCAATGCGTCTGCTTCATGCAGTTGTATTATCTAGAATGCCTAAATGAGGCGCGCAGTAATTAAAACAAAAGGATGATAATTAATTAATTATCTCTGCCGATTGGATAATTTGAAATAAGGGCCTTGTTCTGATTGGTTCCCTTCCCACATCTCACAAAGCAATTAGAGAGCGAGATGTCAAGAGTGGCCAGTAGGGAATTCCTTATATCATTGGTTGTTATTAATAGATATAAGCTGAAATAAAATACCCAATCGGCAATAAGGACAGGTAATGCATGTGCGATGATACATGTCAACATGCTGTGTATTAATAATCCATTTTTCTTGTTAATAAAAATATCACATTAATCCACATCACTTTGAAAACGGCCCCACCCATTTCCCTCCCCCCTGTGTATGTGTATAGTGTGTATGTGTATATATGCTGTTGGAATCTAGACCAGTCTCAGATCAGATGCATGTTAATGTCTAACTCTGATCGGAATCCAGTCAGGAAACCTGTGAATCCAGATGGTTACTAGTGTAAAACAAAGACATGTTTGGGAAAAGAACCACAGTTTAATGCTTAAATTTCATATTAATAAAACACAAACAACAGTACAGTTTGAAAACAATACACAAATTAATTAATTAATAATCTGTGGTATTCCAAACTTCCCAAACATGTGTGGTGTAACCAGTAGAAGGTAGGTTAAATGGTTTATTATTTCCCCAGGGCAACTGCAAATTTGTTCATGACTTCCTGTCTGTGTGCAAAAGAAGGATCCAAGTATGATTTGTATGCATTAGATTTCCAATCACCCTGTGATTGTATGAGATCAGCTGGAACCCCACATTCTAAGGCAAAGGAGGCCCCTCCTCTGCGAAAACTATGTCCCGAATATTTGCTGCTGTCATAACCCAACCTAGATAAGTTCTGTTTTAGCATTTTTACAAAGGCTGTATATGTAAGAGGGATAACCTTGCCTCGTACTAAATACAGGAAGACAGGCGAGGGGGCTGACACTGCTGGCACCTGTTTAAAATTTAAAAGAAGCGCCTTAGAGGGACATAAATGAGAATTCTTCACTCTAGGAAGGGGAATTTCTAATATACGCTCTGAAAATTGAATTGTTTTGGTTTTGCGTACTTTTAAACAGACACCATCTGAGTGAAAATGGATTTCCTCACGAGTAAAATGTCGCAAAGGATCAAAAGCTGAAATTGAAGGGGCAAACAAATTTGACTTCCTTAAAAAGGAGAAAAAAGCCACTAAGCAGGCTGCCCAAAAACACAAGTCCTTACTACTGCTGACTGACAGTAAAGTAAATATATCATTCAAAATTTTTGGTGTAATAGGCAATTTTCTATGTATGGCAGCACCTAACACACGTTTAGCACCCTTGAGTAGTGACTCCATAAAAAAGGAATCTATCGGAGATGCAACTCCTGATTCTAAATGTAGCAACCGCACAATTGACAAATAATTTGTTATGGAATTAAATTGTAACCTTGAAGATAAATAGGCTACATATCTGGCTAAATTCATAGGACTTAATGGAACAAGGGTAATATTTAATCTTCTACAAAATTCTGCGTATGACTTGAAATAGTTTAAATATGTCTTTTTGGTAGATTCAGCATAAGTATGACATCTAAAGTTAGCAACAATACTATCCAGTGATCTCACCTCCCTCGATACCAGTGAGCCTAAATAAAAGAAAACGAAGGGCATTACTAGACATGTGCCTAACAAGATCCTGTAAATACAGTGGCGGTCGAACATAATCACGCAAAAATTGTTCACAGAAAGGTAGATCATGCATCCGTGAAATACAGTCTGCTAGTATATTCGTTTTGCCTGGAACATGCTTAGCTATCAAGTGAAAATTATACGTTGCTGATAACCAAAAGAGCTCACGCAAAAAGGACATCAAAATAGCATTTTTTGATGTACCTTTATTAATGCAACTTACAGTTACCGCATTATCGCAATGAACTATAATACGCTGACCACGCCAATATGGGGCCCATCGCTTTACTGCTAACGCCACTGAGAAAGCCTCTAATTCATTTATGTGAAGTTTCAAAGCAAAGGGGTGATCTTCTGCCCAATTTACATAAAACCAATCATTTTGATAGACACCCCCTCCACCTGATTTACAAGCATCAGTAGCTACAGAGGTGATAGGAACCTTTGAAAGTAAAATTGACTTCCCATTAAAAGTTGAAATAAAGTTATGCCACCACTTTATATCTTGCAATATTTCGCCTGTCAGACGCAATTTATGCCAATCTAGCTTTAATCGCATGATGCCGTTTATAATTCTACGGAGAAAAACTCTCCCGCCTCGAACCACAGCAGACGCCCAATTAAGCTTTCCCGCTAAAGATTGCAATTGCTTTTTTGAAGCACGCTTACGCAATAAAAATTCAGCTAATTCTGATTTCAAATCATGCAATTTTGCAATAGGAAGTCTAGTTTCTAAAGTAGTAGAATCTATCTCAACCCCTAAAAATACAATCTGTTGGCAGGGGTCTGTTACTTTAGACCAGCTGATACAAAAACCTAACTTCCTGAGCAGCGCAATTAAAATTGCTAACGCCTGAGCGCAGCGCTTCTTTGTCTTCTCGCAAATAAAAAAATCATCTAAATATGCCACAATGGTGAAGCCTCTACGTGACATCATTCTGCGAATTGCCTGAGATAATCTATGAAAAATACCAGGTGCTAATTTTGATCCAAACGGAAGTTTTTTATCTATGAAAGTATAATCATGACCATCAGGAAAAGTCCATGTAAGCCCAGTGACCTCTCTACTTTGTTCACTTATTTTGACAGATCTGTAAGCGGCCTTTAGGTCCACTTTTGACATATAAAAATTTTTTGAAACTAACTTGCATGCATCATCTACTGTTTGAAATTTTTGTTTATCAAATTCTCCTGCAAAATCATTTACTGCAAAACCTATTGGTCTGCTACAATCATGAATAATTCGAACTCCGCCATCAGATTTAGGGATAACCCCAAGCGGACTGATAATTTTGGGGGGGGAATTGACAAAAATATAGTTTCCGTTATCAATTTCTGTTAAAATTTGTTTATGTGCCTGTTTGTAAAAAGGGCTACTAGGCTTTGCAGAAGGATGATTTTTGGAGCGTACATTCTCTGGTAGGGGGACATTAGTGACAATGTCAAATCCATGTTCTATGCCAAATAACAAAAATTCTTTGTCAAAATCATCACTTAACTCATTAGTCCATGAAATTAGATCAAGAGCACGAGTAGGCTTCACCATTGTATCTAGTTTTTTGTATGCTGAAATGCTGGGTGCTTTTCAGCACATGCAGGTATAGCACATGAATGCTCAAACTTACAGTGTGGCATAAAACAGCCTCTACGACTATTGAATTTCTTGCAAATCATCCTTCCCCCCGGAGAATGAGAAGCATATGTAACTGCATGTTTATTAGCCATTACTTTCGAGCTCTGAGTTTGAGGTGCAATGCGGGAATTCTGACTCTGCAAAAACTTTGGCCTCAAAAATACAGAATGGAGATGGGGAATGTCTGTACCCCATCTAAATTGGTGTTGCTTTTGCAGGCGTCGGTATTCCCGATCAAGGAAAAAAACAGACACCAACTCACAGCTCGAAAGAAAAAGATAAATGCGCATAGTATAAGATAAATAATCCATAACTTGGGATGATTGTAACTCTCCTATAGCTATCAACTTATGCATTATGGACAAATTAGCCATAGACCATTGTGTTACCGACAATGTTTCTAATTTAGGCTTGACAGGCCCCGATTTGAAAACTAATTTGCCCCCTGACGATTCCGAAACTAATTCCTCTGATTCTGAGTGCCCCCCTAAAGTATTAGGTACAAAATCAGTTATATCAAAGAAATTCACATTAGGATCAAAATTTGTAGACTTTAAAAATATTTGAGGGTCTTTCCATGAGTAAATGTCATTGACCAGCAAATTGTCTCTACCTGTGGAAGAATTATGAGAGTCATTCACAAATTGTCCTGTAATGTTCTTCTCCCTCGACATCATCTTTAGGATCTCTTGCACATAGGCATCCTCCGATCGGGGGTTTGACGTATGGGCGCCGCCATCTTTGTTGTTTACATCGTCGCCATCTTTGTTGTTTACACCGTCGCCATCTTGGTTGCTGGTGCCGCCATTTTGTATCCTAGCGGAAGTTCTCTGTGTAGCCTCGTTTTCATTTCCGTAAGGGTGCGTGTCCGCCATATTCCCAGCTTCAGCGCGACCGTCCTTGAAAGTTTTTTCAACTGCTCGTATCAACACTTTTTGCTGCCCAAGCGGAATATTAAAAGCTGGCATATCCTCTTTTTCAATCAATGAAATCGCTTCCATAGAATCGAAGCCAAGTCTAATTAATTCGGAAGCTGTGTTTGGATTCAGATTCATTGTGGATGCCCACATCTGTACCTGCTCGACATTACGTGGAAAATCTACTTCGCCTTCACTGTCGCTCGCCATATCGCCTATAGTCGCAAATATACTATTTGGTACAAATGTTAAAAAAGTTTAAAGCAGAGCATTTCTGACTCGGATAATTCCGTCGCCGGAGCGTGCAGGATAAAAACTACAAAAGTCTACAGGGAAACGCAATAAATTCCATCACCAGAACACGGTATGCAAGGATTACACACGTCAACAGCAGATCTCAATAAATTCCATCGCCGGAATGTGCACAAAAGTCTACAGTGTATCACTGTTAAATATCATTCTCGGGAATTCAGCTATTCAGACAAAAGTTCTCTATACTTTCACTGGTTTTAACAACGTTGCCGAAATATCCATTTCCAAGGATTTAAACCAATTTTTCCCGTAAAATTTTTCGATGTTTAAAGACAATATATATATATATTTTAAATTCGCTAATGCCAAATTGCAATGCGTCTGCTTCATGCAGTTGTATTATCTAGAATGCCTAAATGAGGCGCGCAGTAATTAAAACAAAAGGATGATAATTAATTAATTATCTCTGCCGATTGGATAATTTGAAATAAGGGCCTTGTTCTGATTGGTTCCCTTCCCACATCTCACAAAGCAATTAGAGAGCGAGATGTCAAGAGTGGCCAGTAGGGAATTCCTTATATCATTGGTTGTTATTAATAGATATAAGCTGAAATAAAATACCCAATCGGCAATAAGGACAGGTAATGCATGTGCGATGATACATGTCAACATGCTGTGTATTAATAATCCATTTTTCTTGTTAATAAAAATATCACCACTTGTCCCACTCAGATCCTCCCTTAATATTGCTGTTGATATATAATGCCAGTGGTACCAATAACCAGTCTGCTATTTCTTTGGTGCCCAAACTGAATGCTGAGGAGTTACAGTGCAGAAAAAAGCACCTGATCTACACTAATCAGAGTTCATTAAAGGGACCAAATAATGCCAACTGGTTCTTGTATAAAGGTATAAACTGAACAAACACAGGTTTAGGAGAAAGAATCACAGTTTAATATTTTCTTTGCATATCAATAAAGCAATTAACATATTTACAAAGAAAGCAAAATCAAGTTGAAAACTGTGGTACTCCTAACACAAAGTACATAATAACTGTGAGTCCTTTGAAACAATACTACTCTACTAAATTAAACAATGTAAAAATAATGCAGAGTTGACTCTTCTAAAGCAAACTATATATGTAATATACATGCATATACATTCTATAGCAAATAAAAATAAATGTCCTCTAGGGAGCAGAGGGTGGGAAGAAAATATTTTCCCAGAAAATTTAAAATGGCTGCTGCAAGCAAGTGTTGCTTTGAGAATAGTTAAGAATGTGTGCATAAAACAAAAGCCCTGCTAATTTAGCACTGATTGGTTAATTCAAAATTAGCTATAAATCTCATTGGTTAATTAGAATGATCTCGAAAAACAATAAGTAAACTAGAAGCACATGCGGCAGTGAGTGAGGGAAATCCCATTGCTGATTGGATAAAAACCTAGACACTTGAGGATCCCCAATTAACTTCTGCTCAGCATTCCAAAACGTATTATGTATTAATAATCTATTTAAATAAAATAGTTCCATTAATTAACAACACTGGTCCCACCCAAATCCTCCCTTAATATTGCTGTTGATATATAATAATAACCAGTCTGCTATTTCTTTGGTACCCAAACCAAATGTTGAGGAGTTACAGTGCAGATACAAGCACCTGATTTACACTTTATATAAGAGTTGCTTTGAGAATAATAATGTGTGCATAAAACAAAAGCCCTGCTTCTTAAGCGCTGATTGATTTAATTCAAAATTAGCCATGAATCTCATTGGTTAATTAGTATGATCTTAAAAAAAAATTAGTTAAGGAGAAGCACATGCGACAGTGAGTGAGGGAAATCCCATTGCTGATTGGATAAAAACCTAGACACTTGAGGATCCCCAAGTAACTTCTACTCAGTATTCCAAAACGTATTATGTATCAATAATCTATTTAAATAAAATAGTTCCCTTTTTTTTCAGGATTACATTTAGAAAACTAGCTAGATGTAACTCCCATCTTCCAATATTATTCAAACAAAATTTTTTTCTACATTACAGCTTATTTTTCAGTTTTAAATTTGATAGTTTGCCCCCCTTCCCTTAAGAATGTTACAAGAAAAAGATTTTTTTTTGGTTTTCAGGTTTACATCTGAACAGTTGTGCAATGCTTGATTCTCCACCCCCTGATATTGTTGGTAGAGGATTTGACTCAGTAAGAGCTTTCCTTAAGAAGATGGCGGGAGGATTTACAGAGTGCCATAGAACTAAGTTAATGTTTATTGGTCTTGGTCAGGCAGGGAAAACTACGTAAGACAAATGATTCTGTTGTAATGTTTTAGTTATTAGTTATTTTAAATCTGTAATCACTGATCTTATTTATTGTGTCACCTGACATTGAAGCTGTAGTGACATATAGGGATCACATATGTTGTTTTGCCTCATCGTAGAACTGTCCCAATGATTTTTGATAAACAATTTAAAATCAAAAACAATATTTCCTGTTGTTCGGTTTGATTTATCTTCTTAGTCCATATTAAAATTGAAAATAAAATGAATCTCCTTAGAAACTAATGTTTCGATATAAACCTAGGAATTTAAAAGCTTTTATGTACATATTTTTGTATATTTTGGACAAGACTTTCATAAGTCATAAAAATGAGTGTCAGATCCATTTGTCATCTTGAATAATAAAATACTTTTTTTGCAAGTGTTCATATATGTTCTTTAAGGTTGCTTCAAGCCTTGAAAAGTCCGACAAAGAAAACACAAGGAACACAGGATGCCAAACTGACAGATGGGATTGAAATAAAGCCGTGGGTGGTACCAGTTCAGGATATGTTTGAGATAACATATAGCTGTTGGGATTTTGCTGGACAAACAGTCTACTACAACACACATCAGGTAAGGTCTTCCTCCTAAAATTAAACTGTCAATGCTTAGGATAAGATAAAAAAAATGATGCAAGAGAGTGTTGGTCTTTCCTTTTATTTCACTTTTGTGAATATAAAGTTGGTTGTTAGTTCAGCTGTGAAAATCTTAATTTTATCAATACCAAAAATGACATGAAACATTTTCAGGATAACAATTATAACCAGAATAGTCATAACACTAATGGATACATTAATTTATTTAAATATAAGTACTTTTAGTTTGATTCCACAAAACAATTTGAAAAAGGGATATTTCAATAAAAATTGACCAATCAAAAGATCATAGTTTTCACATTTTAGTGAGAGATTCAATTTGAGAAGATCACTTTTTATAATACTGATATCACCTTGAGACATTTGTTAATTGTTGTTGTTTATATATTACAGTTCTTCCTGTCCAAGCAAGCTGTGTATATGTTACTATGGAACATGAGAATGGGATTTGAACATGCAGGACTAGACTTCTGGCTCAGTTCTGTTGCCTGTCATTGTCCAAATGCACCAGTTGTTGTAGTTGGAACACAGTTAGATCAGGTAAATCATTTATCTGATATGTTGGTCATGTAGAAGTAGATTTTTGGCTTAACTCTCTGGCTGGACAAAGTCAGAAATCAACCAGTACCTCTAACCAATAGAATTGACAACACTTATAAAACTGTTGGTCCATTTTTATTGATGAATGCATTTTGGTATTATTTTGTGGTACCATTTATATTTTTAAAGATCAATTGAGTCTAAAAATTTGTCATATATGGATGAATGTAATTATTCAGAGCAAATTTTTTTTAGCTTTCTTTAAATCGTGATCTGAAGTTAGAAGTTGCAAAATTGCGAGAGATTGATTATTTATATGTTCTAAAATTAATTTTCTGTTTATTTTAGATTCCAATGCCTGACATCCCAGAAAAAGAACTAATGAAGAAATATCCACAAATAAAGAAATTCTGTTATGTCAGCTCAACTGCTGGCACTGTAAGTTTATATTAAACTAAATCAACAGATAAAGAAAATCGTTTTATACTAGTGATTAAAATTCTGTTATGTTAACTCAACAGATCGAACTGTTAGTCTATATTTGAGAGTTGTCAGAAATCTATATAATAATTGACTTAAGGACTAGTCATAATAGATATGAGATAATTGAAAGGCTATTTAGAAATGTTACCAAATAATATAAGTCGATAATAAAGACAACAACACTCAAGTTTTTACCGCAAAGTATCTGTTTATTTGGTCGACATGTTTCACCTATAGATAGGCGTCATCAGGACAATGTTACATATAAAATTTACAGTGAGGTGCATTTCTTGCGGTTGAGCGGTTAACCAGAAGTGTAAGTATAATTACGGTAGTTATGGTGACGTTATATAAATAGAAAATGAAAGTGAAAGTGAAAAGACATAGAGAATATAAATAGAAAGAAAAGTAAATGTTGTATAAATAAATTAATAAAAGTTTGTGAGGGTTAGTTCTTCCTTGTAGTCTTATGGTATAGTATATAGTCTTATTGGAGGTTCCTAGTGGTATCGTTTGATGATAAAATGTTTGGTTTAGTTTCCCAAATGGAAACCACCTCACGGTAATTCTGTACCAATTAGACTGGCTTCGCTCTAGGAGGTACTGCTTCCAGTTGCGTTGGGAATATATGAGATGTATGATCGCCACTGGTATTGGGAATTATGGCAGACGATCATACATCTCTACCGCACAATCACCACTTCAGGTGTTGGTTCACTTATATTTTTACAAATAATATAAGATAAAAAAACAAGAATTTTTGTGTGACACAGTGAGTTATACTTAATCTGCTTCATTTGGACTCCCTTGGAAAATTGTCTCGACATTTTCTTATTTTAAATACAGTGCATCTTTAGAAAAGATTTGTAAACCAATTCAGTAATTGTGTTGCCTTACCAAAGTGTTATTGTATTGCTTATTATGATAGGCAAAGGCTTCATTTAAAGGGAATATGATTGTAATTAAATATTTTCTATTTTTAGAACATTGCTGAATTAGAGGAAACTTTGATAGAAGTAACTATGACCCATTGTTCCCAGATGAAACTAAAGATTCCAAAAGTCTGGCTCAACTTTGAAGAGAGTATCTTAGTGTAAGTTACTGTTCAATATATAAAATATAGTAGATATATTTGAAGAATAATGCCTGAGAATGTGCATGAAGGAAGGATAATAAGGGGAGATAATTGAACTGACATTTCAATAATGCAACATATGATAAAAATCTCTTTTGAGCAAAACTCCTCCTTAACCACTGTAGACATTTTGATGAAACTTAACAGATATTGAACATTTCTTGAGGATGTGCATTAGAGAATTTTATCGTAGTTCAACATGAGAAAGGGGAGATAATTGAATAAGTAGAGCAGGGGTATCACTTGCAGTTCTAGTTAAAATAGGCACACCTATTTACATAGTTTTGATATCATCTGAAAATTTGTCTTTATTGCAGAAGTGCTAGTTTAGTTTGTTAGTTTAGTTATATCTCCTAGTAATAACTTTCAGTACATTTTCAAATCACTCTGATTTCCAATGTGTTTGTAGAGAAAGAAAGAGAGGAAAGAACATTCTGGAGTGGGGGAAACTGAAGCAGTATGCTATTGACAATGGTATCTATGATGAAAAGGATGTAAGTAATTAAAGTTAGAAAACACTTCATTGCATGTATATCTAAGTCATATCAATGATGTAGAACATTAAGGCCTGATTTTGGCACAAGATAATGAAGTTTTTGAGAACCATATCAAATTTGCACATGATGTTTTGAGATGCATGAGATCAAGAATAACAAATAATTTTTTCAATATTTTTCATTTTATTACAGCACAATTACATCATAATATGGCAATTTTTCATTAAAATGAGAAAAATGCTGAATTAATGCATGTTTTCTATATATCCATATTTCCTTTGTGGAAACATACACAGCCAAGAAACACCAAGTTATTAGGGAACTACCATTTAACTTCAAGGATGGGTTATGGTTTTTTCCTAAAAAGATATATTCTGATCCCTAATTTGATAAGAAAAAATATTCTGATCAAGCAGATGACAAAAAAAAAATATTCTGAATCCAGATTTTCCCCATATCTTATAGTGTTAAATGTTGGAAAAAAATAATTTGAGTGATAGCGTCGAAAAACTAAATAAAAAATTTCTGACTCAGAAAAAAACCATAATCCCCCCCTTGAAGTTAAATGGGTGCTCCCTTAGAAAATCTTCACAAAAGCTATAGACATAATCTCTCCAAATAGAAAGCTGTTTATTGGATGTGCACATACTTTTCCAATCTTAAACAAACTTAAAAAGTGATGTAAAACAAGGATAATCAAGACAGTTTACAAAATGTACAAATTTCATAATAGTTTGTTGCCATAATAACAGCAATGAATAATTTTTTCCAGGAATAACATTTTCCTATTTCTATGAATTATTTGTGTTATTTTACAGATCAGACTAGCCGTACAGTTTCTGGATGACCTTGGAACAGTCCAGTACTTTGATACAGAGGTGCTTAGAGACAGAGTTGTTATTAACCCACAGTGGATTGTAGATGTCATGGCTAAGGTTGTCTCTGTAAATGAGAAATATATCAAGGTAAGGAGATCACAAACCTGAGCTGTCCGACAACTTTGATTTGAACAAAATAAACGTTTGGTATACATCTATGAGAAATTCACATAACATAGTCAACAATAGATAAGTGTTGAGTGATTATCCCACTATTAATTTTAGATGTCATGGGCAAGGTCATCTGTGTCCATACAGAAATATAAGAATGGAGTAATAAGGTTATCAAGCATGCCTACAGACGTCAGTGTTGAAAGAGGCACAATTTTTATTGCTAATTGTTCATTTTACTACTTATTCTAAGCCAATAGAATTTTTAAAAGTGATATCATGTTTCCAGATATCCAAGATTTGTAACTTGATTGAAACTATCATGGATAATATATATGTCTATTATAACAAACAATACATAGAAAAAAGAAGATGTGGTATGATTGCCAATGAGACAACTCTTCACAAGAGACCAAATGACAAAGAAATTAACAACTATAGGTCACTGTACAGCCTTCAGCAATGAGCAAAGCCCATACCACATAGTCAGCTATAAAAGGCCCAGAAATGACAAATGTAAAACAATTCAAAAGAGAAAACTAACGGCCTAATTGATGTACAAAATAATAAAAATGAAAAACAAATATGCAACAGTATTTCTGATCTCTGTAGACTATTTATAGGTCAATTCATAAATAGGTTGATGTTATGATTTGTAACTTAATGTAAATTATGATGTGATGTCTTCTGGTACTATAACAATATGTGCTATATTTTTGTATAGGAAAGTAAAGGTCGATTCTTCCATAAATTTATATCTGAGATTTGGAAAGACTATGACCCCAGTCTACATGAATGGATGTTGAAGTTAACTGAGAGATTTGATCTGACTTTCCCTTTACCTAAATCTGGAGAGGCTGTCAACGTTGTACCATGTCTTCTACCAGAGGAGGAACCTGAAGACGTATGTACCCTTCCACTTCCTGTAGCCTGTTGCTGATACCTATTTCAGTATTGAAAGAAACTTTAAATGTTTTACTTTGTCCTTTACCAAAAAAAGAAAAATTTTGTTGCCTGAAACTTTGATAGAAGGAACAAGAACATACAAGTATCTATCAGTAACTGTTTCAACATATAATTGTTCTGCCTTACAGAACCTCCCCTGGAAACTGTTATAAATAGTGCCATAATAATTGTTCCTGTTGGAACAAATAATCTATACTCTTTTTTCCATTGAGAGCAAATACTGTAATATTTGTTGCAGTAGAAATATATTACAGAGTATTTTTCTATTTCGGAACTTGTATTTTGAAGGAATTTCTATTTCATGACATGTACTTTGAAAAGTTGAATTATAAAATGTTTACCGAACAGTTTTATTCATTGGATTTTACTGTTATAAACCAATAATTAAGTAAAGCTATAAATTGATAAAGTTGTATAGAAGTTAAGAAATATTTCTTGACCACCAGATCACAGGATAAACTATTTTTTCATAAAATTGTAGCTTCCCTGGCCTAAGATTGAGGAAGAGGAAGGAATCAGAGAGAGTAAGATACAGTACAAGTTTACATACCTGCCGACTGGACTCTTCAATAGGGCCCAGGCTAGACTGTTTAGTCAGGGTTTTACAGATACTAAATTACTAGAGTTCCTATGGAAGAAAGGATCCATTTTGAAGAAGAACAACCATTACGCTCTGGTCAAACAAATCAGGTTGGTCTCAATTAATTGATTAATTATGATGAAGTGTTGAAAACAGTAAATTGAGAAATTATTGTGAGGTTTTTATTAATGTTAATAAAAAGACTGAGTGAATATTGCAATAAAAAGAACTCGCATTTGATATGATATCTGATACATAAATCTGTATAAAGCTTTTCCTGAAATCGCAATAATTAATCTCGCAATTTCTAAACTTACAGTACCTTTTACTGTTATACAATTTCATAGATGCAAATTTTCAAGAGAAAAGGTTGCTCATTGAAGGACGTTCAATTTTTATGCCCCCGTTGTAGCTGAGGCGGCAATAAGTGTTATCCTTGTCCGTCCCTGTGTATGTCCCCCAAATTAGTTTCCATTCTCTAACTTTAGTTTGCCTCAACCAAATGTTATAAAACTCATACACAAAGCTTTTTACCACAAAACACAGATCAAGTTTGAAATTGGGTGGCGTCACTATTACCGCTAAAATTGCTAAATCTGTCGTCTCCGTTCTCTAACTTTAGTTTGCCTCAACCAAATGTTATGAAACTTATGCTTATTATCACTAAACGGTCTTAACTACGTGAATCCTTGAAGTTAACTCATGCATATTTAAGATATAAACTGTTTTAAGATGTTTTGGTCAGTGAAAATACCTTTAAAATGTTTAGATCAAGTGATATTGTGATCTTTCGCTGAAGAAAAATTTGTTCTATGATTTGACTTGACACCACTTAGAAAGTTAAACATGTGAAAATAAATTATTTGTTAGCTGAAAACCAAATATTGAACAGATATATCATGTTTCGGAGGGGTATTTGTGAAAAATACATGATATATCTGTTTAATTACACCGAATAGATTTTGATTAAAACTCTCTGTACAGGTAAAGGGAAATCTTTTTTTTACTAGTAAGCTGTAATCCATAACATATTTATGCTTAATTTTGAGGATAAGTAAAGACTATCATAGTACCTCAGGAATTATACATGTACTTATACGCGTTAGCACTGTCTTTTTGTAACGTCATGATATCTATGTGTAAACGTCATTGTCATCCATCATTAAATCGATCATTTTTGTTTACAGTTTTCGAATTACCTCTATAAATCAATATTGCTTAATCATGTTGCCTTGATAATTGGGATAAGGTGAGAAAAGTTCCGGCGGGAAGAGGCTCGCGAGGGTAAAAAAAGAATATCCAAAATGGAAAATACCACAGCATAGAGGGGAATTTGAGGCATATTCACCGGCAGTGGTGAAAAACAGGCAAATTCGTTTGAAATGAGGAAAAAGGTTAGAATATGCGAAAAAATACACTGGCTTCCAACCAATCAAAATCCGGCATTCTTATATAAGGTGTAATTAGATGAGAAATAGTGAAAATACAATATTAGTATAATGGTATATTTTTACCAGGTGAAAGATTCAGGTTCCTAGGAGTCTCGGTTTACAGTGGAGGATCCAGAAATTTTCATAAGGGGGGGGGGGGGCCCACTGACTGCTTCAGTGATTATAATAATCAACCAAATTTTTCCCACAAAAGGGGGGACCCGGGGCCCCCCTGGATCCCCCTATGGTTTATTATATGTTAGTCATATTTTAGTACCTTTATTGTAATATTTTAAATGAGACAAAAGAGAAACTTATGAAGATTGTGTTCAAGCTTGTTCTTCTTTTTAGTGATTATGAGATGATTGTGACAGTACAGGGACCAAGACCAAAGAACATATTAGACCTGATCCATGAGACCATTAGTACACTGATAAAGGACTCCTTCACTGGTGTAGACTATGATTTTTATATACCATGTCCTGATTGTGTTGAAAAAGAGGTAAGTTCTATGGTAAAAAATGTAATCACATCTTGGACTATCTAATTTGTACTAGGTTTGTATTAAATACAGGACATGTTTCAAAGATTACATAATTACATACATATTTAAATTTTTATATGTAAACTTCAATCAGACAACAACCCAAAAACATAGTGACCACAAAAAAAGCATTTGCAAATTAACATACAGTCCCAAATGAGTATATGTCTGGAGACATGTTTTTTGTCCTGAAAGTCTTGTCTGTCTGTCAGGCGAAATGTTTTTGAATGCAAAATCTGATTGCATTTTAATAAAGGAATAAGATTGAACTAAATCTACTCCATGTTGTCTTTAATTGTGCACTTTAGTATTTTTTAACTAGCAAAACATGAAATTTACAATTTTGTACATAGCAGATTTACATAGCAAAAATTTGTCAAAACAAAACTTTTACGTTTACTTTAGGATTCGGTGCATTCTAACAGTTATTTGACACTGCATACCCATGTGAATCTTAATATTTGATTTTTAGAAGATAATTGTTTTTTGCCTTTTTTATACGTGGAAGTTTGTCAACTGAAATTTGTCTTCAGTTTACTTAAGAATTGAATCAAACTTGACCAAATTAATTGACATCTTTATATTTACAATATTTCCTACATCCATTTAACCATTCTTACATATGAAGAAGGATTTCAACACGAAGTTTCACCTTGCTCCTTATAGGAGTCTTTGTCCTTAAATATATATAGAAGGGCTTTTGACCATTTGACCATTTTTATCATTTTATAATTTTTCTTGAAACTTTTCTATTTGAGATCTATAAATCCTATTTGTTCTTCTCCATGGGATGACTGCCTAGGAGACCCGTTTGATTTTGAATAGGCAATTTGAGAAAGGGTAGGGCCTTGATGATTTGACTAAAAATTTTATTTGATAATAAATGATAAAATCCAGGCTTGAAGAAACAAAAATATATGTTTTGGTCTTGATTCCTTTGAATACACTCCAAAAGCTGGAAATTTAAAAATGAAATTTTAAAAAAAAGTAAAAAATATTCAGAATTGCAAAAATATGAGTAATTCGGTCTCCTATGAGACATTCGTTGAGCATTGATGTGGATAGTGAAATTTCACCAATAAGTATGTTTCATCAAACTCTAATGTGTAAAAAATGAAACATTTTTCAAAAAGATAAATTCTTATTTTTTACAGTTAAATGCAAACAGTTGAAATTATAAAAATTGCAACATTAGCAACAAGAATTATGTTCAATTCAACAACATGTCAAGTTCAACATCGTAAAATTCATAATTTACTTGACTTATGCCTCAACGAATTATTTATTGTATTTTACAGAGAACAAAAGATCCCTTCCTGTTTAAGGCAGAGTTAATCAGTAGAGCACATAGTGTAAATGCACCATTCCTACAGTGTACCAAATATTTCCATACAGTGTCCATAGGGGAACTTTTGAGTAAGTATTTCATTCCTACAGTGTACCAAGTATTTTCATACAGTGTCCATAGGGGAACTTTTGAGTAAGTATTTCATTCCTACAGTGTACCAAGTATTTCCATACAGTGTCCATAGGGGAACTATTGAGTAAGTATTTCATTCCTACAGTGTACCAAGTATTTTCATACAGTGTCCATAGGGGAACTTTTGAGTAAGTATTCCATTACTGCAATGTACCAAATATTTCCATACAGTGTCCATAGGGGAACTTTTGAGTAAGTATTTCATTCATACGGTGTACCAAGTATTACCATACAGTGTCCATAGGGGAACTTTTGAGAAAGTATTCCATTCCTACAGTGTACCAAGTATTTCCATACAGTGTCCATAGGGGAACTTTTGAGTAAGTATTTCATTCCTACAGTGTACCAAGTATTTCCATACAGTGTCCATAGGGGAACTTTTGAGTAAGTATTCCATTACTGCAATGTACCAAATATTTCCATACAGTGTCCATAGGGGAACTTTTGAGTAAGTATTTCATTCATACGGTGTACCAAGTATTACCATACAGTGTCCATAGGGGAACTTTTGAGTAAGTATTCCATTCCTACAGTGTACCAAGTATGTCCATACAGTATCCATAGGGGAACTTTTGAGTAAGTATTCCATAACTGCAATGTACCAAATATTTCCATACAGTGTCCATAGGGGAACTTTTGAATATGTATTTCATTCCTACAGTGTACCAAGTACGTTCATACAGTGTCCATAGGGCTTTTGAGTAAGTATTTCATTCCTACAGTGTACCAAGGAACTTTTGAGTAAGTATTTCATTTCTACAGTGTACCAAGTGTTTCCATACTGTGTCCATAGGGGAACTTTTGAGTAAGTATTCCATTTCTTCAATGTACCAAGTATTTCCATACAGTGTCCATAGGGGAACTTTTGAGTAAGTATTTCATTCCTACAGTGTACCAAGTATTTCCATACTGTGTCCGTAGGGGAACTTTTGAGTAAGTATTTCATTCCTACGGTGTACCAAGTATTTCCGTACAGTGTCATTGGGCTTTTGAGTAAGTATTCCATTCCTACAATGTACCAAGTATTTCCATACAGTGTCTATAGGTGAACTTTTGAGTATTTCATTCCAACAGAATATCATTTATTTCCTTACAGTGTTCCTTGACAGACTCTTACAGATTTATATAAAATCAACTTTCATTTCAGTGATGCTATCAAGAGTACACTATCATACTTGAGTAAGAACCACTTTTCAGTTTTCTAGAAATTTGTTATTAAGAAACAAAATTTATAAGATGTAGAAAGTCTTATAACAACAACACTCTAGAGACTGCTGCAGAAAATTTATTGATCTACATGTTTTGGTGCCTGATGACTGTGCCCTAGGCAGGGAAACATGTACATCAATAAATTTTCTGCAGCAGTCCCAAAAGTGTTGTTGTTATAAGACTTTCTACATTTTATGTGCTATATCATAACAACCCTGCATACCCGAGGTATCCACTTCAGGGACTCTACCGTACTACAAATTCACCAGGCGTTTGTTCACTTTCGTTTGTAATTTAAAATTTATAAGAATATAATTTGTACCACTAATAAAAAATACTACAAAAAAGTCAGTTAAATCAAAATATTTCCCCTGAAACCTGGAATAACCACAGAAAAAAGAGGGACAGAGGTTGATGTTAACCAAACATCAATATATAATTGTTTCTAGGTAACATGCCAGACAACAGAGACACAGAGTTTGATGTACAGATACAGGAGAGTATTGGTACACTACAGGAAATCAGAACAAACATGGCACAGGATGTGGTTATACTATACAACCCTGAGGATATACCTCCTAAAGATAAAGAAGGACAGATGGTAGACCCTAGGCAAATACATGAAGACTTAAGAAAAGTGGGATTTAACTGGTAATATATGAATAAAATTTAGCAAAAATAAAAACAATAGAACAAGGCTCATTTGTGTGTTCCTGTGAAATCTTGTTATAGTTTAGACATAGGTATTAATCTTCAAATTACAAAGAGGTAGGGCCATTTTCCCGTGAGTTTTTTTCATTTGATTAGCTAGGTAAATCATGTTTTAAATAGCCCGATAGAAACTAATTTTAGTATATAAAAACACGTCACATCATCTATTTTCATACCTTGAACAGGTATCAGGGTATTCCTACAATAATCAAGGCCAAGACTATTGTTATACGACCGCAAAAAAATTTATGACGTTGGCGTCGTCGATGTCGTCCGAAGACACATTGGTTTTCGCACTCTAACTTTAGTTTAAGTGAATGGATCTCTTTGAAATTTTACCATAAGGTTCAATACCACAAAAGGAAGGTGGGGATTGATTTTGGGGGTTATGGTACCAACAGTTAAGGAATTAGGGGCCAAAAATAAGCATTTTTGTAACTTCCAGACATAACTTGTGTGTTAGTGTATGGATCTCTCTGACATTGTACCACAAGGTTCCATATCACAAAGGGAATGCTGGGATTGATTTTGGGGGTAATTGCCTCCAAATTTTAGGAATTAGGGGCCAAAAAGGGGCAAAAAACAAACATTTTTCTAGTTTCATGACAATAACTTGTGTGTAAGTGTATGGATCTCTCTGACATTGTACCACAAGGTTCCATATCACAAAGGGAATGCTGGGATTGATTTTGGGGGTAATTGCCTCCATATTTTAGGAATTAGGGGCCAAAAAGGGGTAAAAAACAAGCATTTTTCTAGTTTCATGACAATAACTTGTGTGTAAGTGTATGGATCTTTATGAAATTGTACTACAAGGTTCCATATCACAAAGGAAAAGCAGGAATTGAGTTTGGGGGTAATTGCCCAAAACGTTTAGGAATAAGGGGCCAAAAAGGGGCTAAAAATAAGCATTTTTCTGGTTTCCAGACAATAACTTGTGTTCAAGTGTATGGATCTCTCTGAAATTGTACTGCTAGGTACCATACCACAAAGGGAAGGCTGGGATTGATTTTGGGGGTAATTCCCTCAAAATTTTAGGAATTAGGGTCCATAAAAGAGCAAAAAAACAAGCATTTTTCTAGTTTCAGGACAATAACTTGTGTGTAAGTGTATGGATCTTTATGAAATTGTACTACAAGGTTCCATATCACAAAGGGAAAGCTGGGTTTGAGTTTGGGGGTAATTGCCCTAAACTTTTAGGAATTTGGGGCCAAAAAGGGGCCAAAAAACAAGCATTTTTCTAGTTTCCAGACAATAACTTGTGTTCAAGTGTATGGATCTCTCTGAAATTGTACTGCAAGGTACCATACCACAAAGGGAAGGCTGGGATTGAGTTTGGGGTTGATGAATCATAAGGGGGTTCAAAAAATTCGGGGGGGGGGGGATTTTTTTTTCCTTTTTTTTCTTTAAAATTTTCCATTTTTTTAAATTGGTTATTTCTGATTTATATATAAAAGCAAATAATAATGATATGGTTTGAATAGGTAAATTAAAAGTTAAGTTCTTAGACCACATTCATTCTGTGTCAGAAACCTATGGCTATGCTGTGTCAAATATTTAATTACAATCCAAATTCAGAGCATTAGAATATGAATTATCAACTTAAAGATATTCAAAATTAGTTTTGTATTAAAATAAAAAAACATGGTGCTTCAGTTAGCGTGTTAATGTTGGTAGGTAATTTGTAGCGTACATGTATTTCACAACTTTGTTTAACTTAAAAATAAATATAAATCAGCTAATCTAATTCAAGATCGTGTCTGTTTTAATGCCAAGAAGCCAAAAAATATCGGACGCATTTAACTGGCATGTTGTTTTCCTCAATCTGGATGTATCCATATTTATACACTGTTCCAGCTTTTAGGGTTTACCGTCTATATGAACCAGACAACAGCTTAATCCAGTTGGTACTAGAACGGCTTGCGTAACAAACACATGTAATCTGGTCTTTTCTGCATGCCATTGTACCAGATGGATCGACCCTATGTTGTGATACAGATTCAACATTTTCTTGATGTTTTACCTACAGTCACGATTGGTAGTGTAATTGATTTTTTCTGTGGTGTTGTTTCATTTTCTGATGACTTAGGTTCCGGTGTAGGGACGGTGGTACAATGTAACAATGCCAATACTAGTATCTACACAGTTGGTGGATTGGCGATAAAAGTACTGTCTGCATTTGTTACATATCATACCATTTTCTAAAACGTTCTTGTTCAAGATTTAGAAAAAATATTTTTGTTGTTTTGGAATTTTTCTGCTATGGCCTTTTTTTGTTATGTGTATAACACACACAACATTTGGGCTTCATTGCTATATAATCAATTCTCGTGTTATTGATTATGTACAAGCACCTAGTGTGACTCTTTGAATTAAACAAACATCCGAAAAAATGTGATAGAAACATAACATTTTAATATTTCAACATAAAAAATGAGTAAAATTAGCATGAGATTTGAACCCCATCTTAAAAACAACCCATTATTTACAGTTTTAAGCGCTACCAATGGAGCCACGGCGACTCTTGAGAACAAAGTCGATATTAAGCAGCTATATAGGTAAAATTTAGTGATGTTCCACTTTTTATTAAAAAAAGTTGTTTTTTAGGTATTAAGGACACACTAAACCAATTTCATTTTTTAGGGGAAAAGTTGTATAAATTACAACAACAACAAAAAACATAACTTTGTTTTGGTTTGAAGTGTCCTTCTAGGAGGATTCCCTGTTTTTCCAACCTAAAAACACGGTAAATTCCGCATATTTGACTCTCATCCTTTTTTTTTAGGTTAAATTAACTATTTTCCAGACATAGCATAATACATAAAAATCAAGATATTGACCAAAAAACATTTTTATTTCATGTTTTTATCGTAAATTTTATTCTTTCAGCACTTTTTGAAATTGGCTCTTCTGTGAAAAAAATTCAGGGGAAATTGGCCCTACCTCTTTGCCAGCGTGCACTTCTTGCAGATAACTTTAATATCTTATTCCAAATTTACCTAGGGTGAAAAGATTTTGTATTGAGGTATTTCATGCATATGATGAGACCTAATTTGTTGTCATTGCATTTGAGCATTACCTAATTTTTTAACACACAATGATCCAGGATGAATCTGTTCCTCAGTAACTATACATGATAGGTCAACAATACTTGGTGTTGAAAGGTTGTGAGATGTATATGGCATATGTCCTCAACCTTATTTCAGTGGAAAATTTAGTTTGCTAATTATTTCTGAACTGAAAAATTGAGTTTCCTCTTCAACTTAGGGAGACAATATGTTTTTAATAATTAGTAGTAGAATTCTTCTTCTCGTGAAACATACATTCTTGTCTGGGCTGAAGCTTTTTAATTGTTAGACATTTATCTATGATATTTGTTAAGAAGGTGTATGACCATAAGATGATGGTTGCATATCCTGACCTTGACCCAGACCTTTGATCCCAGGTGTATTTGCTCAAAATGATCTAACCCATACCATTGAAGATGATCTGTGACCTCAAGGCCAAGTCATTGATTTTGTATTAAAAACATTTAAGATTCGCACTCATTATAATTTTGTTCTTCCCTGGCCAGGATTTGAACTCATGCTACTGAGATATTGTGGCACCAAATCGCATTGCACTGTGCCCGACGTGCTAGACCACTCGACCACCTCGGCTTTATAAAAATAAAGCTTACGGTGGCCGGGTGTTACCTTTCCTCGTCAGTTTTAATCTAGCTTTGTAACACAGTACATGATATATAAGGCATGAAGATGGAACTGTTACAGATCAGCTGAATTATCTATTGTAAAGGATCATACAAATTAATGTAAGATGCAGTCACAGAAATATTTATATTATAAGTACATCTGAACCAGGGACGACTCTACAACAGATTTTATCCATCGGATCACCAGAGATGGTGATACAAGGCTGAAAACACATTCTGTATATATAATTCGTCTTAATAATAGCCCAACAATGTTATATCTGTAAATTTGCATTAGCAAATTTTTTTTTAGCAATTTTTTTTGTTCTTCCCTGGCCGGGATTCGAACTCATATAATATATAAAGACAAACGGAGTTTAATCATATAATATATATATATATATTCTTTTTTTGCTATGTATATACCTTTTCAGTACATGTACAAGAATGTGTATTTTTGTCTTTTCTTAACTGGAGTTCCTTCTATAGATGAAGGGGAAACATTTGTTTTGGTCTATTTAGTTATACATGATACATAAATCAACTAGACTTAATCATCTGCACTTTTTAGATTTAATTTGTTATGTGAACTGACTTCAGTTTATGAGTTCATTGCCTTTGAAATAATATCTGAAATAATAGCACAAGATACATTTGAGTACATCAGCTTTTGTGTAATTTAAGAATGTTTGAAATGTAATTAGTGGTAAGCAAGTACCAAAATAATAGCAACCTGTAGAGGAGACGCTTCACAGAAAATAACATTAAATGAAAGAACATTTGCATACCATATTGATTGAGAAGAAGTTCTGAGTTCATAACTTATCAAGGGAATATATAAAAGTAACTGAAGTCAGTCCATACAAGAGTGTTCCATTTTTGTCTCGCCTTGACATAGTAAAAAAGCGAGACATAGGTATGTTGTTTCCAGCGGCGGCAGCGTCAGCAATGTATTAGTTTGTGATTAGGTCTAGTTTAAGGTGAACCACTAGTGATTGGTCAATGATATTTGGTATGCAGTTGTATTAGTACTGGCACATCTCATTTCCGTAGAGATTATTTGGCCCTGCCCCCTCAGTCATGGTCTATTGACTTTGAAACTTTTGCTTAGTTTACATGTGTTAGTTTGTGATTAGGTCAGTTTATTAGGAACCACTAGTGGTAAGTCAATGATATTTGGTATGCAGGTGTATACGCATTGGCATATCTCATTTCCATGGAGATTATTTGGCTCCGCCCACTCAGTCATGGTCTATTGACTTTGAAACTTTTCCTTAGTTTACATGTATTAATTTGTGATTAGGTCAGTTCAAGGGGAACCACTAGTGGTAAGTCAATAATATTTGGTATGCAGTTTTATACGCATTGGCATATCTCATTCCCATGGAGAATATTTGGTCCCGCCCCCGCAGTCATGGTCTATTGACTTTGAAACTTTTGCTTAGTTTACATGTATTAGTTAGTGGTTAGATCAGTTTAAGATGAACCGCTAATGTTAAGTCAATGATATTTGGTATGCAAATTTTTTGGCATTTGCAAGTCTCGTTTCCATGGAGATTATATAGCCCCACTCCCTCATCATGGTTCATTGACTTTGAAACTTTTACATAACTTACAAGTCAATGTTTGTGTTTAGGTTTGTTGAAAGGGAATGACTTATGATAAGTCTATGGTATTTGGTATGCAATTGTATTAGCATTGGCACATCTCATTTCCATGGAGATTGTTTTGCCATGTACCTTCAGTCATGGTTCATTGACTTTGAATATTTGCATAACTTACATGTCAAAGTATTGCTATTTTAACTTCAACATTTTCATTATCAAAAGTACAAAAAGGTGAGACATATCTCTGTGTTAACAGTTTATTAGAGAATGGTTTCTGTTTTCAGACATCTTGAAAACATGTCTTCCACTATTGTAGCAATTGTAACATTTCTTTGCAATTTCACTGTAAAAAGTAGTGAAGTCTCCTACTTGTGAAAGTTTTTTAAAACTATCATTCCTTGGTATTATATTTGTTTTTATTAACCCTGGGCAATTACAGTAATGTATAAGCATAGACACCTTAACCATTAAAGTATTCTCTGTCTAAAAAGGGTACCTGTTTGTATATAGTATAGCATGTAATATTCAGCTCTCCATTCAATTGAGCTTTTGTTAATTTCAGTTGGTTCTCTGAAGATATGGACAACACAACAGAACTTGAGATTGCCGTAGCTATCATGAATTCTAAGGTACTTTCTTTCCCATATATTAGAATCTGCAAAAAATTATCATAGTACAATGAATAGAATTATTACAAGTATCTGTATATTTCTTTTTCATATTAGGATGACAGTACTCATTAAAAAAAAGTACTGCAAATATGCTTAATTATAAAAAAAAATCTTGTACTTTTAATTGCATATCAGTAATACTCTTTCTGACCTATGCATACAAATTTGTATGGCAGATTTTAATATATAATGGAAGATCATTTATGTACAAAGCAAACAATTCTTTGTATTTGGCCAATTGACAAAGTCTGCATTAGAATATTTTTTGTATGCATTTGAAAAAAAGGGTATCGCTTCAAAATATTTGTGAAAAAGAAAACCCTTTTAATGACAAAAAGAAATAACCCTATGTTTATTGTAGGTGTTAGTTATATGTATGTCAGAAAGATTTACCAGTTATCCAAAATGTCGTCAGATGTTCTTGTATGCCATAGAACAGTTAAACAAGCCATTTGCTGTAGCTGTGATGGACGAATCACAAGAATGGCAGCAAACAGATGTAGGATTCAAGATTGGCAATCCAGTGAGTAGTCAGTGGACACAAATGTTCAGAGTTCAATATTTGTAATCCAGTAAATATTTAATTAAAGACAGATATAAAGTTCTAACTGGTAATTTGGTTTGTGTTCAATGAACTGACTGATATAGGATTCATTACTGGTTCCTGCTCAGTGTTCAATGAACTGACAGATAAAGGGTTCAAGATTAGTTCCTGTTCAGTGTTCAATAAAAGTGACAGATAAAGGGTTCAAGACTTGTTCTTGCGCAGTGTTCAATGAACTGACATATAGGATTCAAGACTTGTTCCTGTTCAGTGTTCAATGAACTGACAGATATATGGTTCAAGGCTTGTTCTTGTTCAGTGTTCAATTAGCTCACAGATAAAGGGTTCAAGATTGGTTCCTGCTCAGTGTTCAATGAACTAACAGATATAGGTTTCAAGATTGGTTCCTGCTCAATGTTCAAAAGAACTGTATCATCTAAGGTGGAAGACTGGTTCTAGGTCAGTGTGCAATGAACTAACAGATAAAGGGTTCAAGACTTGTTCTTGCGCAGTGTTCAATGAACTAACAGATGAAGGGTTTAACACTGGTTCCTTTTCAGTATTCAATTAACTGACAAGTATAGGGTTCAAGGCTTGTTCCTGTTCAGTGTTCAATGAACTGAAAGATATAGGGTTCAAGATTGGTTTCTTCTCAGTGTTCAATTAACTGACAGATATAGGGTTCAAGATTGGTTCCTGTTCAGTGTTCAATGAACTAACAGATAAAGGTTTCAAGATTAGTTCCTGTTCAGTGTTCAATGAACTGACAGATATAGGGTTCAAGATTGGTTCCTTCTCAGTGTTCAATGAACTGACAGATATAGGGTTCAAGATTGGTTCCTTCTCAGTGTTCAATGAACTGACAAATATAGGGTTCAAGATTGGTTCCTTCTCAGTGTTCAATGCACTGACAGATATAGGGTTCTAGATTGGTTCCTGTTCAGTGTTCAATGAACTGACAGATATAGGGTTCAAGATTGGTTCCTTCTCAGTGTTCAATGAACTGACAGATATAGGGTTCAAGATTGGTTTCTTCTCAGTGTTCAATTAACTGACAGATATAGGGTTCAAGATTGGTTCCTGTTCAGTGTTCAATGAACTAACAGATATAGGTTTCAAGATTAGTTCCTGTTCAGTGTTCAATGAACTGACAGATATAGGGTTCAAGATTGGTTCCTGTTCTTTTACATTTGTATTCATGAGTGATGTCAATGAGTACTCAATTACTTGAGTATCTCTCAGTAGGACAGTATTGAAAACTAGTGGAAAATAGTTCATGCATGTTCAGGACGAGATGAAGTTTTAACATTTATTATTGTGATTTTTGAAAAATGGACAGAAATGCGAGATTAATTATTGAAATTTCAGGAAAATCTGCATTCAGATATATGTATCAGATATCATAATGCAATTTCTAATTACTGCGATATTCACCCAGTTACATTATTCGCATTAATATAAACATTATTCGCATTAATATAAACATTATTCGCATTAATATAAACATTATTTGCATTAATATAAACATTATTCGCATTAATATAAACATTATTCGCATTAATATAAACCACTCAATAATTTCTGAATTTACAGTATATATATATAAATACATATTTGTATATATTGCATTATTTTAGACTAGATTTAGTAATTAATTAAAGAGAGAGAGAGAGAGGAGACTACAAACAATTTTTTATTTGTTTTGTGTTTGTAGAGAATGGCAATGATAAAAAGTGTTAAAAGATATGAGAAGAAAATGGAAGATTTGATAGATATCATCAAGAGTCTTATACTGGATATTGAAAAGGTAAACATATCATACAAAGGCTTTATGGTATATTTTGAAAAAAGGGAGAATGAAATAGGTTAAATTTTTAGAAAATGGAATGGACAGAGCAAAAAAGGAAGGAAAAAAATAGATTAGAAAATTAAAGTGAGGTCACAGCATCAATTATTTTCTGTACAGCCAGATTTAAGACAGTTTTTGTTTGACATTGTTGTATTCTGTTTTCTAGTTGCAGAATGTAATGGAACAATTGTTTTGGTTTTCCTATACTGTGGATTCATTTATTTTCGTGGGTATCAATTTTCGTGGATAGAGAAAAAAAGACGTTTCGTGGTATACGTAAATTCATGGATTGCTGATTACAAAAAAAAAAATTCAGATACGTAATTCGTGGATTTCTTTTTGATTTAGGAGATCATATAACCTCCTTGGTTTGATCAATAATAAAACAAAGAAAAAAGAAGGAATTCATTGAAAAAGTTTTGAATTGTCAAAATCCTCGCTTGGTCATTCTAGGTTAAAGTGTTCATTGAAAACTTCTATTACAATAATGGACAATGACAAATAATTATTTGTTTGTTTTTACAATTTATAAATTCTTGTCGGAATTTTATAAGGCATTCAAAACTCTGATTGAAAGCTCATTTCCCTAATCAGATATAATAAACAGTCATATAAGTAAAAGGTGTGAAAATAAATGTTCATGTCATAAACAATATTACCTACGGGCAATATCCCCTTACTTAATCCTATTGATTTTTTAATCACCAGTAAACCAAACTATGACACGATAATTACCAACTTGCAGTTATTTTCCATGAACAGTTTTAATCAATTTTAAAAAGTAAATTATCACTGATATTCGATATATTTATTATTGATTTAACCAAAATACTTGTATCTTCTTTCAATAAAAACTTGTGTTATGTTACAATGTTTACCGCTAGTCAACACTATACTAGAACTGCATAACATAACCGGAAATAAACATCCGACTCCATACACATTTCTCAGGATTATTCTTCGTTGAATTCTGAAATTAGTGGTTCCCTGTGACCCACGAAACCCACGAGATTGGTATACCACGAATAAAAATGAATCCACAGTATCACTCTGCTAGCGATTCCAAAAAAAAATCTTTAAAAACACAAAACACTCAACTATAATAAGAGCTGCTTTGGATAGAAATTGACCTTAAGCAATTTCACGTATACATGTACATATACAAGACTTTGATTGATTTTTGAACATTCAAATACGAAATAAAAAGATGAATATTGCTCTGTTTTGTAGGTTTGTTATATCAACTCTATTGTCAAACAGTTTCAGACTTTGCAGAGAGATTTATTAACCCGAAATAATTTAACAGACGTATTGACATTCATTTGCATAAGATAGATTTCTATCCGACCCAGCTCATAAGATAAATTGATTGGTGTTGTAAGGTGTATCTGTCAGACTGGATTCACTTGAGTGTAGCCCATAATATAGAATTATATTGATATTAATACCATTTAACAAGGGTTACTCTTATGTTCATTTATAACCAACTTTTAATGAAATCACAGAATTAATTAAGCATATGTTCATAAGTAGCATTATAGCAAAAACAGATATCTACATGTTTTTTTTATTCAAACAACATTATATATACTTATAGAATACAATGAGCAACCCAGCTATATTTTTAAGTTACTGCTGGGCCAATTCTCATGAGGCTTGTAGTGTTACTACACAGGCCAAAGAAGGATCTCTAGGCTTTGGTGACCCCAGAGCTATAAAGAAACACATAGAAAAAGCTGGTCTACCTTGCTGGTTGGATATTGAACAGATGGGAAAGGTAAAATGAAAGTTTTAACTTATTTTCATGGCCCCACATTAAAGTTGTCGGGCCATAATAGTTTTACCCTTATCCGTCATTCTGTCATTCCACAATGAATAGTTATACGGTCTTTTTCTCTAGATGCCTTCACATTTTGAACAAATTTTTAGTATGTGAGTCTACTATGATTGAGTAACAGAATGAGTTAACGTTTGGTTTTGCTCCGCTGATTTTTGCAGAAATTTCAGGCTTTGGACATTGAAAATTTCATGGAAATAGCAGTAATACAGACTTTTTTCTAAATGTCTTCACATATTGAGCTGATTCTTAGTATATGAGCCTACTATGATGAGTTAAATATCAAATTTAAGTTTGGTTCTGCTACATTGATTTTTGCTGAAATTACGGGCTTTAGACCTTGAAAATTTTGTGAAAATAATAGTTATATGGACTTTTTTCTTAAATGTCTTCACATATTGAGCTGATTTTTAGTATGTGAGCCTACTATGATGAGTTACAGATCAAGTTTAAGTTTTGATCCACTCCATTGATTTTTGCTGAAATTACGGGCTTTGGACGTTGAAAATTTGGGAAAATAACAGTTATCAGCCAAAATCAGTTAAACGGGACCATAGCAACAACAAAAACGACGAGAATCAGCCTAACACTTCAGCAGTTATAACATTTATTTTTTTAATGTGGTATATTGCAACTTCTTATTTTTTTTATTATGAGCACCGAATAGTCTTACTATATATTTTTTTCAGCAACTCATTTGAAACACGTTATTACGTGGTGTGAATTACGTTACTTGCTCTGCTCTAACCTTTTTACAGAAATTACCAATATGACAATCCGAGATAATCATAAATCAATATATTAAAAACTTCAATCACATATAAGTTTTGGAAAAACATCGATCTTTGTAGACATTTTTCATTTCTAATTTTTTTCCCAGGTTTTTTCCGACGTCATAATAAATGATCTTCTGATTTTTTTATAGAAATTGAAATACATATTTTTCACGTTTGAATATAGAATATATAATCGCAATTGAATGCTCAAAATATTTATCAAATCAATATATGTATACATTTCATTCCATTTAAAAAAAATCTGTCCATAATTTCATTGCATTAACTGAACTTTTGTGCATTGGAAAAGCATATCAATCAGGTAACGTAATTCACACGAATATCAAAATGTTTTTAAAATGCAATGATTGACATAAATGAAGTATATATATATGTGTAGCAATATATTATGAAGTCTGATTCTTTGTTTTATGAATACATAATGAATGGTGTGTGTCTGGAATGTGTTCTGGTTTTACAGTATCATATATGAATAAACAAATAGTATTCTAATTGGATTTAATCAACAAAATTCAAGAAACAAACTTTATATCAACAATTAAAATATGAAATTCATAACGTAATAAGATAGAATTTGAAAATTTAAACCATTTAAGATATATTATCTATACTATACGACAAATGCTCAGAAATAATATTCGTGAGTCAATGGTAACGTAATTCACTCAAATTCAATCAGACAAAATAGTAACAAATTCAGCAAAAACGCCAAATATCTCCATGCATTTAGGGGTAAATTTGATAAATGGACAATATTACACTTAATTTAACATTCATAAATGAACAGATAATCATCGACATTCACTTTTTGTGAATTATGTTACCACAATTTCATGAATTAAGCTCATTGAATGTTTGTTTTATAGTAGACTTTCGATTTTGTTTACATCCTCGGGTAATATTTTATACATTCTGACAGGTTTTCTGCCTACTGGAGCTGGATTTTGAACCTGACAAACGATGTCTGTCTCTGTAACCCACAGTTCTTCAGGTCTTGTTGGCCACTTCATGGTGTGGGATACTGGATTACTCTTCGTCATAAATGCCAATTGATATTCATTATCATTGTTGTCAAAATCAAGCACCTTACAAATGTACCAAACATTGTCATATACACTTGCCACAAACGTGTCCTTTTGGTAGCTCTGCTCAAACACTGATGTCTGTTGTGCTTGTAATGACTCTCCTTTTACGTGTGGCTCTACTTCGTCTTCCTGTGGTACATTTGCTTGTAATTCAATCTTGTTGGTTTCAGTCCCAGGTGCATTTCTTTTTTGTTTTCCCTCCAGAGAAACAGATCGCCAGCCGTCACAAGCAGGATGAAAGCGTCCGTCACTGAAACAAAGTAGACAGAAACATGAGGTGTTTCTTATGCTTATTACATTTCTTGAAATAGGAACAACAGCATGTAATTCCATAGTGCCTTTCACTGCAACGGAATTCCATTCTTTCATTTCGTTGTTTGCGCTCTGACATTTGGATTTAGGAACGAAAATGTAAGTTATGTTACTTGTTTCTTGAGACTTCCCCCAGTTGAAGAAATCTACCGGTGTTTGGATTACAACCTTTTGTTGTCTGACGGCCATGTCTGCAAGTCGTTTTGCCGTTCCACCTACCCCGTCGCAGGGTCCCTTTCCGTGTCCAGCTTCGAAGTAATGCCAAGAGGCTGTGATTCCATCAAACAACATACCATGTAACGTTATTAAATGAAAAATGTATTTGTTCCTGTATTGTGATGTTGGCGAATCTGTGATGTAGTGCACAGTTTTAGTTCCAGGAGCTATTTGCAAAATCTTTGGTATCAAATCCTTTATGAATGCATATACCGTTGATGAATTGTGACCTGGTTCGTCGGAAACGAACACAAACGATTTATGATGAAGATTAATATCGCCGTCAACTTTATAGTATAAAACAACGGGGTGTAATGTAACGGAAGCTTAGTCGAAATAAGCGGATTGTACTTCATCTGCATGAACGCACGAATAATTTTCCGCGAAGTCCATTTGACATATGACGTTATATTTTGGTAAGTTTTCCTTTAGGGTTCGTATCTGTTCATATTGAGTTTGTACCCTGTATACATGAGCTCGAAACTCATTTAACGATGTTCTGATCAGTGTGCCGAATTCATGTCTATTTGCTTCACATTGCACAACATTCATTCTTTTTTTCATCATTCCCTTCTCCTCTACATCAACCCTTTTCCATTCAGAGTATTTTATTTTCTCATCTTCCAACTTAGTTATTTTCGCTAAAACTTCATCATCTGTCATCTGTCTTATTAGTTGATCTGGATTTGATGTAGTAGTAATATTTAGTGCTTTCAATGTTCTGACTTTTAATGCCATATTTTGATGGCGCTGACAAAGGCACGTTCTCCTGTTTCCGTAAGATGCTAATACATAATTTGCTGGCCGAAAACGTCTGAATACAGAAACACTTAATTTTGTCAGTACATTCTCGGACAAAAATTTCTGATGTAGATTGTCTAAATAGTCATTTAACACTCTTTTTTGCTTTTTCTCTTTTCCGTCTTTTTTATTGTCTCGTTTACCCGGGAGACACGTACTGTTATCGTCCCTTTCGAGAAAGGCTATTACTTTTGAACGAAGATCTTCTCTTGCAGCCTTCATGCGGGTTTTCTTTTTTTCCTTCTCTCTTTTTGATTTTATTTTCATCAGCTGTTTTCGGTTTACCTTTATGTCATAACTTAGCCTTCTTATGCATTTATGATCTCGTATGGCCTTTCCTGTTATAACTTGTAGAACAGGGAATTTGTTTTTCTCGTGGCTTACTGATTCTTTAATTTCTGATATAAGGCAGTTGTGATACGTAAGTTTCTTTTGAAGCTCCGGATATTTAGTCGGAGAAAGATTAGCTTCTCTTAAATCTTTATTTGCTTTACGCATAGGGCTTGAAATTGGTTGTTCAAGATTTTTCTTATTATCTTTATTTTCTCTTGCCATTCTTCTTTGTAATCTTTTTGTAATCGTCCAGTTGCATCTTTTCAACTCTTGAATTTTCTGTGTCATTTTATTTATTTTATAATTAGCTTTGGCAACTGCTCGACTTGTTCTCTTTCTCGTCTGAATTTTGTTTTTTGATTTCAATTGAAAATTCAGCTTAACTAGCAACGGAGGAGGTTGTTGTTGTTGTTGTTGTTGTGTGTTAGATCTTGTTGAGCACTCCGGTACTTCGTCTTTGTCATTTTGTGGGACTCTATCTTTAGCTCTCTTTTTTGCCATGCACTGTCGTATTTTCGTCCTTCTCTGTTCTAGTTTTTTCTTTGATAGGGCTGATGTATCAACGTAATAACGTTTAACTCTTTCTCTCTCTTTCTGAAGATACGCATTTCCATCCTTTTCCTTTTTGCGATCTCTATAGGCTTTTTGGATTTCGGCTCTGCTTTTCCCCATTTCAAGCAAATCTTAAAGGAAAAATATATATATTGTACATGTAGTTCTTTTCTGTCTATATCTTACCAATAATTACTCATTAAAAACTTATCCTAAATGTATAAAAAAAAACATGCACATATTTTCATATCACGTATGTACTGTATTGTATATATATATATGTGTGTGTGTGTATGTATGTATGTATGTATGCATATGATATTTAACTTGAAGTGAGCAATATTCCAGCTATATCATTAAGGAACAAGGTGTAATAAATTGAAAGTATCCGCCATTGTATAGGACTTGCATATGCACACTCTTTTCGTAATCATTGTGTGTAAACAAATGTGTTTTCAATGCATGGGGATAGCAAAACCGTTGTTTCTTTTATTTCGATACTCCCGATTTATAACAATAACATTATCTCATAAATAAAATCGCTGAATATCCTTACTTATTTTATGTGAATTACGTTACAAGAAGTGTGAATTACGTTTTCTTGCTAAATGAATATGAACCCTCACCTTACAGAACTTTCAGTGCTTTGATTTTTAATGCATGTAAGTTCGACATATTTTTTTATCCACTATAATAGGGTTTTAATCTTTTATGTCAAAATTATGACTTGTTTATGTCAATTTTAATATTTACCTACCACAGAAAGTTCATACACTTTTGTTTAATTGTGTGTTTTTGCATTTCACCAAAGCACAAAATTCGTCTGCTATAGTTTCCGGTTGTGAAAAATGAATAAAGGAAAGATTTTTGCACCAAACTAAAGGTTTAAAGAAAGATTTAGTTTTGCCATGGTAACGAATTTCACATCACGTATTTCACATTTTATGATGGAACAAGATTTTTACCATGAATAATTGCCTTGAACAATGTCAACTATACATATTTTTTATTAGGCTTATGGTATTGTTAAAATACTGGGTTCGTTTTATGTGTTGTGAATACCTTATTATAAAATATTGGCGTAACGTAGTTCACATTCTTAAATAAATAAAAAAAAATGTTCAAATAAGTTTGTTTATATATAGACACATATCTATATTACAAATTAAATGATACACCTGTTTTAAAAAGGGTATATGGCTATTATTTCTTTCTTTTTAGACAAATAATCTCGGCAATATTAGATGGTATACATGAATTCTACATGTCCGTAACGTAATTCACATGAAATGACTGGACATTCGATTAAAAAAAATTGTGTATGGAATTTTAACTTATACACTTACCTTGCTATTTTTATCTGATTCTGTAACTGTAGAAAGGTAAACAGCGCGCAAATTGTACGGTTATCGATCATATTTTGTTTCGTAAAATGCAATGTCCTTTTTTGAAAACGCTTTTGGACACAGCGTTTTGACTTTGCTTTCAAACTTCAAAATATCATAACTTTTTAGTCTGTCATCAGAATATCACATAATTTGAGGACTTTATTGTTATTTTTTTATTTTATAAGAATACACGCCGTTGTTAGACCATCTAGTTTTAATTTGATCTAAAGTATCAATGATATGTGCTGGACTCGTTTATGTGGTATTGGTTCCATTTAACTGATTTTGGCTGTTATACTGACCTTTTATCTAAACACTTTCACATATTGAGCTGATTTTTGGTATGTGAATATAAAAATAAGAAGATTTGGTATAATTGCCAATGAGACAACTCTCCACCAGAGACCAAAAGTCATAGAAGTTAACAACTATAGATATAGGTCACTGTACAGCCTTCAACAATGACCAAAACCCATACTGCATTGTCAGCTTTAAAAGGCCCTGAAATGAAAATAATTCAAGAGAGAAAGCTAAAGGCCTAATTTATTTAAAAACAATGACCAAGATAATATGTTATCCAGTTGCCAGATTTCCAAGTTCAATTTGAGTAGTTATAAAACAAATTTTTGTACACTTCAAAAATTTCTACCACTTCAAGAATTACTACATAATAATACTGTTTAAATTTTTTTAGAATATACTTGTGGTTGTTAATAGTTATAGAGCCTTTGGATAATCAATATAAATTTGAAACACAAAAGTGATACAAAAAGTAAAAGATTTTGTGCAATTGATTTATTTTGTACTTATTTAATGATTTTTAATTGTGCTATTTTGACAAGTTTTTTTGTATTGTAGTTTGGTATTTACCAAGATATCACTATTGGATTACAGAATTCTAAAGTTTTAGTTATCTGTGTCTCTGATGAGGTGAGAATAAATACACTACAACTTTCGATTTAAGTAGATTGCAATTATTATTTTTACTTTTTAATAATAAATGCTCAAGGGGTAAAAATTAGAATGGAAAATTTCAACATGTTTTTAAAGGATATGAAATGATTTTAATTAATTGTTTTATTGTCTCGCCTGAAACGAAAGTCACAGTATGTGAGACATATTAAAGGTTTACTAACCAGCGGCAGCACAGATGCCTTATGTTACAAAGTTTTTGTTTGTCATATGTCCATTGTCCTAGACCTCATTTTCATGGTTCAGCGACTACTTGAAAAAAAGAAGATTTTTTTTTTATCTGAAACACTTTCTTATTATAAGTAATAGTATAACTATATTGGGTATATATAGGATCCTTGAAAGGTTAACTTGTCCACCAGACAGGGTTCACCTGACCTCGATTTCATTTCATAGATCAGTCATCAAGGTTAAGTTTTTGTGGTCAAGTCCATATCTTAGATGCAATAAGCAATAGGTCAACTATATTTTGATGTATGGAATGATTGTAAGGTGTTCATGTCAGGCGGGCAGATTTCATCTAACCTTGACCTCATTTTCATGGTTCATAATTCAATGTTAAGTTTTTGTGGTTTGTCTGTTTTTCACATACAGTGAAACTTCTCTTAACCGGTCCCTCTGAATACCGGTTACCCCCCTCCCATACTGGCCAAATCAAGAAGTTCCGGCAGATTTGCATCCAATTAATTGGTTATGTTACCTTATAAAACTGGCCACCTCTTTAAACCGGATACCGGCTATTATTTTTGTATTTAGTTAATCAAAATCAATAAAATCTAACCTCATTAAACCAGTCTTGTCATCTGAAATCACTGATCCGTACATATAATTGTTATGTAAACAAAAGATAATCTGGTCAATCAGAACACCTGCATGCTGATTGATTACTGTTCACCTGTTAATTTTGTTTCAATACCCAATCTAATTATGTTTTGACAGATTAAAATTATTACACATACTATTTATAAGTCGTAATTTTATAAAAAAAATAATGAAATATCATTAAATGTATGGTATTTTTATTTATTATTCCTGCAAAATAAAACAATAAAATAAGATGAAAGAAAAGTTGTAGCTGTATGTTATGGTAAATATACTAAACAAAACTAAAATTTACAGAGGAAAACATATATTTTGATTAAGGTGAAATACATCACATATACTCAAACACACATAAAAAGAAAGTAACTCTTGGTGATTTCAATTTTCAACAAACCGGTCACCCCCCCAAACGGGCCGTTTTCCGTGGTCCGACGGACAGACGGTTTTGAGAAGTTTCACTGTACTATAAGCAATATATATCAGCTGTATTTGGTTATGGAATGATTGTGAGACTTACATGTCCATCTGTGAGGTTTCATCTGACTTTGACTTCTTTTTCATTGTTCACTGGACACAGTTGAGTTTTTCCAGTTTGGTCTTTTCTCAGATACTACAAGCAATAGAGCCCCTATATGTGGTGTATAGAATGATTGTAAGGTGTACATGTCTTTTTTGGCAGGTTTCATCTGACCTTGACCTCATTTTCATGGTTCATTGGTCAATGTTTAATTTTTATGGCTATGTCTGTTTCTCAGATACTGTAAGCAATAGGTCAACTATATTTGGTGAATTGAATTATTACATGGTGTACATGTTGTCTAGCAAGATTCATTTTACCTTAATCTCATTTACATGGATCATTGATAATGTTAAGTTTATGTGATACATGTAGTAGAATCATCATATTACAGACTTTTGACATATATTCAATCATGAAGTACAACCATGCAAGACATTTCAGTATGTGCAATCTGGTTTTCAGTATGTGCAATCTGGTTTTCAGTCAAATTAATATCTCATCGTATACCATTGCACGCAATGACATTCAGGGTTGTTTAAGTTGTAGTGTCTTCAAGGCATGTGTTATATATATGGTTTGAACAAACTGTATTAGAGTCAATAAGTTACAATACATTATTAACTATCCTTATTGAGATTTGTCATTCAAAGACCTCTAAAAAAAACCAACTAAAAATCCATATCGTGAAAAAAAGTCTTTATTATTTTGTACCATCAACAGGGATTCTGAATATTTGATCAAAGGCCTGTATGATTAGATATGTTCAGCATCAGAGCATAGATCTGTAGGATTTTATATGTTCAGCATCAGAGCATAGATCTGTATGATTTTATATGTTCAGCATCAGAGCATAGATCTATATGATTTTATATGTTCAGCATCAGAGCATAGATCTGTATGATTTTATATGTTCAGCATCAGAGCATAGATCTGTAGGATTTTATATGTTCAGCATCAGAGCATAGATCTGTATGATTTTATATGTTCAGCATCAGAGCATAGATCTGTATGATTTTATATGTTCAGCATCAGAGCATAGATCTGTATGATTTTAAATGTTCAGCATCAGAGCATAGATCTGTATGATTTTATATGTTCAGCATCAGAGCATAGATCTGTATGATTTTATATGTTCAGCATCAGAGCATAGATCTGTATGATTTTATATGTTCAGCATCAGAGCATAGATCTGTATGATTTTATATGTTCAGCATCAGATCATAGGCCAATATGATAAGATGTGTTCAGTGGTTTAGAGGGCCTGTATGAGAAGATTTGTTCAAAATTGAACTTTTTGTACTTCTTTTATCCAAATGACTTTAGTTAGGGTATGGTTAGTATAACATTTTATTTGCTTCTAGTATCTGCAATCAGAAGCCTGTATGATGGAAGCCAGGTTTGGAGGTTATAATCTACATTTACCTATGGTTGTATGTGTGGTAGGCACTGGAAAAGATTGGAAAACATCAGAGGTTTGTGAATTATTTTGAAAGTACACAATGTTAAATCTTTTATTCAAAAATGTATTCACATACCACCAATTTGTGTAGAATTCTTTTAATACTCAGAATATCAATAACTATGTAAATAACATAGATCTGTAAAAGTCTAAAACTAGGATTTCAAAAGCCTAAAAATCAGTGATGATTTCACAAATCACAAAAATAAGAATTCACAACTAAAAAAACTTAAAAAATTAATCTGAATACTCACTATCATTCAAGTTCCACAATAAAGCCAGTCAGGTACATTTAAAAAGACACAAAAATAAGTTGATTGATTGGTGATTAACACCACTTACAGCACTATTGTGCTGTTTCGAATAGTGCTGTTTTCGTGGCGGTCAGTTTTTATTTGTGGAGGAAGCCTGAGTGCCCAGAGAGAACCATGACCTTCAGTAGAGTTGAACGCACATGCAGGATGCAAACTCACAACTAAGTGTTGACAGGCTAGTAATACAACAGTTTGACTACTAAGACCACTCGGCCACCAAGGCCCCACAAAAAATAGGAATTTACAACTAAAAATAGTAAAACAATGAATCTGAATACTGACTATCATTCAAGTATCACAATAAAGCTAGTTAGCTACATTTAAAAGACACTTAGCTTTTCAATGTATATTTTCTAAGTAAATTATGATCACAACAGCATGTAATCAGGGTTTAGATTACAATGTCAAATTCTTGGGAGATATTATGCTGAAGAAATACACATAAAAGTTACATTTTTCACAAATTTTATAGCAATCACTAATTTGATTCAATAAAATATTCATACCATGTTCATCATTAACAAGTATATTGAGACATGGATTTTGTGTTTTTAGATTGCTTTAATGATACAGAAGCTAGGAGATGGAGCAACAGTTGTTAAGATGCAGAGAGAAACTCCTGGTTCTTATGACAGAGTCTTGGAACATGTTAAGAATTTTCTCAAGCGCCCAGAAACAGAGAAACAGAAGAAAATGAGAGAGAAACTTGCGAAAGTACAACAAAAACAGGAAAAGACAATGAAAGAAGAATTAGAAAAGAGCCTGAAGCAACAAGGAGACACAAAATTCTCTTTCCAAGTAAATGTTCTTTAAACTCAATCTATTTATTCTGGAGTGTCTTGGGCCAATATATCAAAAATTTTAAAATTAAGATAAGACAATTTCTCCTAAAGTTATATTAGCCTCAGTGAAGTTGATAGAGACTATGGTAAGTTGAGAAATTTATGCAATATCACTTATTATTGTGATTTCAATAATTGCTGCATACAAACAATGCTATCAAAATTTTAAAATACAAGTTATTTTTGCTAAACCTATTCTGTTGCAATTGTGCAAAAATAAAAATATTGCAAAAGTTAATGAATTAACAGTGTTACTTTTGAACTTTTCATGCATGTTCATATGTATGTGTCCATTCACTGAAACCAGAATCTGTGACAACTCCTCTCATAATGGTTGTGTAATATTGTATTATTGTCAGTATGACTGGTATTTTACAATTGAGCAATTTAAATGTATATTGCTAAAGTTTGTATCAAATATTTTGTTAAGCTTAAAATCATCTAAACTGATATAAAACTGTGAAAAAGTAAGATACAAAGAAAGGCTTTTCAATAGATATCTAATGCTTCAAAATAGTTTGAATTTGTTTGCTTGTATTCAATTATCACAAAATACCTTTTATAGGAAGAGATAGAACTGATACAGAGAAAGTTCATGAGACATATTTCCAAAATAACCAGAGCTGATGACTTAGAAAATGAGCTCCCAAAACTTATGGTGTTTGACTTTGTAAAAAAAGGTAAATATTGTAATACATGTAATGTATGTTTGTGTTTTTTAAGCATTAGTGAAATGCTGAAGAAAAATCATGTCTATCATTTCCAGATTTGTATTTACTATATAAAAATAAAAAGATGTTGTATGATTGCCAATAAGAAAATTCTCCACCAGAGACCAAATGAAGTAGAAGTTAGCAAATATAGGTCACTGTAAGGCCTTCAACAGTGAGCAAAACCCATACTGCATAGCAAGCTATAAAAGGCCCCAAATGGCAAATGTAATACAATTCAAACGAGACATCTAACAGCCTGATGCCTGTGTTACCCTCTCAGCCTGAGGCCTGTGCTAACCTCTCTGTTTCACTCTTCTATATCATTGTATTTAATGGTTCAATTTTGTAATCAAAATATGAAATGGAATAAAGCAACCACTCAGCCAATTTTGACGAAATTAGCCTTCAATTACCTTTTGCCAGTATTCTATTTATGCCCTCTCTAGAAGGGGGTATTATGTCTCCTAGCTTTCATCCATTAGTCGTTTGGTTTTTACATCTATTCTGTATCTGGTTTAAAGTTTCAGTTTGTTTTGTTTTGGTGGTCTCGTCAACTTGAAATTAAGTACACATGCATTAATAAAAATAAGGAGATGTGGTATGATTGCCAATGAGACAGCTATCTATTAAAGTTCAATTGAAGTGGATTTAAGCAGTTGTAGGCAACCGTACGGCCTTCAAAATTGAGAAAAAACCTAACCTGTAGTCAGCTAATAAAGGCCCTGACAAGAAAAATGTGAAACAATTCAATTTAGAAAAATAAGGACCTAATTTATAACAAAACAATTTACGAAAAAAACAAATATAACAGACATGAACTAATAACAACCACTGAAATACAGGCTCCTGACTTGGGAAAGGCCAAAAGCATATGGCAGAGTTAAACATCTTTGCTGGCGCCAAACCCTCCCACTTTCCTTGGACAGTGGTGTAACAGTACAACATAAGAACAAACTATAAAAATCAGTTGAAAAAACAAAGAATAAAAACACAGAATAGATGTAGCAGGGAATTTATGCATCCCCCACAACAAATAAAACACTAAGTACAGATCTGAGAGCACTCTCAGATACTGGCAGCTAGTTCAAAGCCAATAACAATGAATAAAAAAGTCATGTATCTAAGACTTTGATATCGATCAGTACACATCCATCATCCAATGTTTATTTTAATGGTGTAACTTTATAAAATATATGCTAAATTATTATTTTGACCCAGATTTCATGGTTTGCTGAACATGGAAATGTGATAGTATGATCAAAAGATTGTACATTATGGACACATATGCTTGTTTTAATTATGCTTGGTTTTTTTTTGGCTATTGCTTGTTCATCTCGGACAACTATATATATATAATGCTTTTAAAAAAGAACAGGCCAAAATATTTATTAAACCTATTATGCAGAATTGAAAATGACAATATAGTAATATTTTTAGGAATTGAACATATGATTTTATTAATTGGTATTATTGGAAGAAGTATCCCAAAAAAGTTTTCTGATCATTTTCAAACAAAACGAGTGCAAATTTTATTTGTTAATGATGTAGAGGTTAATGCAACATCCATGTGACATGTTATAGATCAGTGAATGACTTTGTCTTCTGACTTCATCTGAAGAAAATTGAACCAGATGAAGAGGAGACATTTTTGTTGGTCATCTAAAATAATTTTTATTTTGTGTTTATTTTGAATTATGGGACACCAATGATTTACATAATTCTTTATTGGTGGGAATTGATGCATGACAAAAAATTTCACGCACAATAAGTTGCCAATGTTAAAGTGCCAAGCCACTGTAAACCTGATTTTGAACGTTCTGTATATTTCAGCTCCCGTAAAGAGGACGACCATATCTGACAGGGAAAAAGACCTGCAATCTCAGATGGAAGGAGAGAGGCCTTCAACTGCACATTCTCTTAGGGCTAGGACAAGTAAAATGTCACAAAGCAGAGATAAGATGAAGGTAGGTTTATATTTATATTCCTGGAGTTCTAGGAATATAATACACGTAAATTGTATCTAAGTGTAGATCTGGTCACAGTTGATATAAGAGAATGGAGGATCAGAATTTAGGGCTAGAGTATTAAGTAATACTTACAAGTAATTTAATATCATAAAATTGAGAATGGAAATGGGGAATGTGTCAAAGAGACAACAACCCGACCAAACAGCAGAAAACAGCCTACGGCCATCAATGGGTCTTCAACACAGCGAGATAAAGCTGCACCTGGATACATTTGTAACAGTTACAAAAATGTACAAGTAAGTAAACTGTCATGTGCAGGTGTAATTATTAGAAAGGTCTTCTCTTAACCATGGCCTTATTTTCATTGATAATTGATCACTTCAGTTTTTGTGATACCTATATTTTTCAGGTTTGTATTTTCCTAATATAAAGATGAATGTGCTTTATTGTAATTTTTTGGCACTAAATTTTATTTTTATGAAACAAAAATGTTCAGTTGAAAAAAAAATTTCGAAAGGGGCTATGGATGAAATAATTTCTGCTTTTAATTTTGGTTACTTCAACAATTGTTATATGAATGTTGTTAATGTATTATGCTACATCAAAGTTACAGAAAAAATAGGCTAAAAATGAGTTATGCAATATAAAATTGTTAAACAATAAGAAATTTTACACCTTATAAAATGTTGATAAATTGTCAAGTGACATAGAGATAGAAAATTATCATTCATTGGTCACAAGGAAAATCAATATGTAAAAGGTTAATCCAAGTGAAATTAGGGTGACTGGTCACAAGGAAAATCAAAATGTAAAATGTTAATCTCAGTGAAATTAGGCTGACTGGTCAAGCACTTGTTTCTCTCCATATATAATAGAACAACAATTGAACATTCTTTTACAAATGTATATACAGATAGTCAACCTCCCAATGGATATAATATTTTTAACCTTTTGTTGTAGGCTGTAACATTAGAAGAATTAGAAGATGATTGGCAGGGAGAAGATTTCTGTATACGAGTTCTGTGTGAAGATGAACAGGTCAGTGAATTAAACTTAATGTTGTACATCAATATATTGTATTAAACTATCTACCATCATCAATATGCAGATCTCTAAAGGGATATAGAAACTTTACTGCAGTCTTGATACACAATTTACCAATATTAAGAGATCTATTAATTACACTAACTGGTCAGTTATACACACATTGTACTTTTCACTTTTTTTATGTAATGTAATTTTGCAATACCTACACAGGTAAAATAGCTACGGACGTTTCACGGATGTGGTAATAAACGTCCATAAAACATCCGTAATACGGATGTATTACGGATGATACGGTTACGTCCGTAAAACGTCTGTAAAAATACATCCGTAAAACGTACGTGTAAAAACTGATGTAAAACGGATTTTCCGTTTCACGGACGTTTCTTAAACATACGTATTACGGACGTTTCTGCAACATCCGTATTACGGCTATATCTTATTCAAAGATGTAAAAGTACCATGCATGATATATGCACAACGGCTAATACATGCATAAAGTAAAATTCTTAACTTGCTTTCAACATTCTGCATGCCAGACATACATGTGTATAGTGAATCTCTGCTTCAAGCCTATAACTTTTAATATTTGCATAATATGAGTACATATGAAGTGATCTTTTTCCGAAAAGACCACATGATTTAATTAAAAGTATGAAATATTAAAATAATTAACTGACAATGTCAATGACTGATTTATAATCCTTTTCTCCAGAGCATTTTTTTTTTATATACTTCATTTGCATAGGATTTTTCAATGAAATGCAGAAAATACTTGTACTTTAATGCAATGTTAACTGTACATGAAAACGTTTCAATTGATGCACTACAACACAGCGGCATCATTATAGAGGAAAGGGTTAATTATAGAAATTTAATGAAAAGTGTATAGTAACAGGAACATATATATTGATATACTGTCATGACTGTTCCCAGGTAGTAATTAACAAAATTAAATGGAAAGCTTCTTAACAACAGTCACGATGATTCAACAGTTTTCTCATTCTTTCATACATGTATAATAAAAAAGATAGTGAGTTTCTAAACACTGAATTTTTTCATTGCTTCTTGATGTTCATCATGAACATCCATTTATTTAATTTAAGATATGGTTGTACTTTTCCATCAACCATTTTAAAACATATCTTCCAAAAAAAATCTAGAAAAGGAGTCAACTTGTGAGTGAAATTATATAAAATTAAAACAATGTTAATTAAAAAAAATATCTTTTTCCTGTATGTAAGGTCAAATAAAAAAAAATATGTGTGTTTCTTATTTCCGCAACTACCCTATATTTTAAGCTTAGAAATAGCCTACCCTAAAGTTTTTTTGATTTATCAATAAGCACTGTTAAAGTCAGAATTTCTCTCCCATCAGCCTATAGACTCAATGTAAAAAAAAATTGTAAAATAAGAAAAATCCCCTACCTATCCTATTTTTTTCAAAGATGTAATAGGAAACACACATATTATTTCATTTGGCCTAATTAAGAAATAAATGTAATTGAAAAAAAATCTTTATATTTTTTAAAAGATTTTATTTTTAAAAGCCTGTCCTCGCAATATTAAGTTGAATTATACAAAGAGTGCTTGGTGTCTTTCCCACAAACAACTAATGATGGATGGCTAATTAATTGCCATGAATGCAGTTAAAAGAATATAAAAATCTAACATTTAACCTTATTTGTAACGCTTGAGTAAAAATGACTGGATGTATATATATATTGTACATGGCTGAATTAAAATTACCGCATTATGGCGCATACCTGGTTTCTTCAAACATGTCAAATGAGACCAATGGAAATAGACCTGACTGTTGTCAATACTTGATTGTTGATCATTCTGATTATCTGTCCAAGTACAAAACTATGCTAACAAGAAATTGCACATGAGCATATAGAAAGTACTTGAAAAGTTTCAGATTGTTTGATGTCTGAAGTAGTTTCTATCCTGTTCAATGACTGAATGAGGATCATGAGATTTAGGGGGAAGGAAACACTCTTATCGTGTTTAAATCACGACAACCAATGCAATAGTCACATGGTGTTACTTCGTCCCCTATACCCGCCCTTATATTAAAGCCCTTATACAATGCATCTGAGACTACTATAACCTCAGACTATAACATAGTGTTATAATAGTCTCAGAATATATGTAGAATAATGCCGGTAACATTATAACTTTATCATACATTTATTCTCCTTTGGTGTGGAATAAAATCAAATTACCTGCAGTGCTTCTATTTTATTAAGTTGTGTTTCAAGCAAGCATTTGTGAAAACAGTACTATTTAAAGTATTTTTGGGCAAGATAGAAAATTACAGTACAGGGCCTTTTGGTGTAGGTCTATTGTTAATGATGAAATTGAAAGAGGATACCAATTAAATTAATTTATAACCAAAAATCTAATTAAACGAGAAAAGCCAGAGAATAAAAGATAAAACAACAATAACTTACCATTACACATAAACTGACTGATCCAGAAATTTTCATAAAGGGGGTGGGGGCACTGACTGTTAAAAAGCAGGCCTCACTAGTCATGCCATTGGCGGATCCAGATATTTTCATAAGTGGGGCCCACTGACTGCCTAACCGTGAGGGTCCCGCTCTGGTCATGCTTCAGTGATTTCCTATATAATCAACCAAATCCCCCCTGGCCCCTCTAAATCCACCTCTGCATGCTTAAGTGATAATCCCTATACAATCAATCAAATTTTTCCCACAAAAAGGGGAGGGGCAGGGTGCACTAAATCCGCCTCTGTGTGCAACATGAACATCCAAATGATACATGAATGAACTCAAGTAGTGATAGTAGTGAACAGTTCGGAACTTCCCGGGCTGCTCAACATGTGGCAACCTACGTCTTAGTATAATTGCAAATTTAGTAAGTAAAATTTTGATTTGATTCGACATTTTGACAAACATGATAACATAAGGGACTGACGACATCATAAGATCGATGTAGGATAAAAAAAAAACTTAAATCAAATAGTTTGGTGGTGGGGTGGGTGGGTAAAAATTGCTGCAAGTTTTGTTTATCCAACATCAATTTTACATATATATCAAATCAATTTTTCCCAAATTAAGTGAAAAGGGGGGGGGGGGGGGGGGGGGGGGGGTCAGTGAATTATCCTACATTGAACTTTTGATGTCGACTCGTCCCTAAGATCTGGTGAGCTTTTCGTTGAATATAGGAGATAGTGATTAAAGTATTTGCAAGCAAAGTTCATAAGTTGAGAATTATAAAACAAAATATATTGTTTAACCTTGGACCAATAGATCAAGTTCAAAATTTAGCCATTTCAAGGATCGATCAGGGTGATAACGTAGCACTGGCTATTATAATACTTGTGTAGAACCTTGTATAGAGTAAATCAAGGAGGCAGTAGGAAAACTTATAAGATGTTTCCTAATAATCATGATTACAAAAGAACTTGACACGGATTCTTAACTGAAGGTCTGTCCGATTAGTAAAATTTCGAATGCACTTAAATGAATACATAAGTGACCCCCCCCCCTTAAGTCTCCGCCAAGACTGATAGACTCCTTAAGCCAATTCTGTAACCAAGAGCATTCCTATGTTTATATTTTATTTATTATTGAGTTACTGTTTAACCTTTAGTTCTTCTCTGATTAGAGCTAGGATTTGTATAGTAATAATATACAAATCCTTGATAAGAGCAGAGACATATAAGTATTATATGTCTCTGATAAGAGTAATCCTCGTTTGTCAATTTTCCATAATTCCGCGGCACCACCCCCTCAGCAAACAGTCTTGTATTTAATTCTGAATAGAACAAAATGTAAAATAAGTGAATAAGTTATAGATTAAATAATAAATAAATAATTAAATATTCTTTATTTAGTTTTTTCTTTATTCTCACTTCTTCCATAGACATGTACGAATGTACATGTATGTCTCTGATTCTTCATAGTCTTATATTAAGGATTTGTAGAGTATACAAATCCTTGATTATAACAAAGGCATATAATACTCAGTGTACCACTTCTGAACTTTTTTGTAATTATTATCTCTACTTAATTTCCCATTCTTGATTCCAGACCGGGTTCCGGACTAACTCTCATATACGTAAATGATCGTAATTAAATGTACGTAAGCTTGACACGTCGAATACGAAAACCCGGAAATATTTTCTCCGTTGCCGTTTTTTATACTATGACGCAAAATCCATGGACGCTCGTCTGCTGCTGAATTTATGTTTTACAGTTTAACAAGGATTTGTATAGTGTCACTGTACAAATCCTTGAGTTTAAAGAATGGAAAGATATATTATAGTCAGATAGATAATACAAAGAACTCTGGTTTTTCAAAACCGATGGGTCAAAAAGTTATTAGTATATACAGATAAATTGAAATGGGTTGCTTGTCGATTAACTGGAAGAAACCGGGGAACGAAAGAAAGTTGTGTTTCTCTTAACGGATTACGTACCCAATATTTTGTACTTGGAAAGCGCAACGAAAGGTAAATATTATCATGTACATATTTAAGAAGATGCTAGTGCTATACTTTTCACGAAAAAAATTTGACTTTATAAATGTCATCGCATGCAAACCCGAAAATCAGTCAAAGATTGTCAAGAACGGACGCAAGTCAACTTGACCCACTGGCAAAACGCCCTACTTTTTTAACAACACGCCTCCCTTTTTAAAAATATCCCACTCTTGTTAAGGGAGCTACCATGTGAGTTTTATTGGGGGGTACTGGTAGGGGTGTGTTACATGTATTTGAAAAATATGCGGAACTGGAGTTCTGTCAACTTATAAGTTAAAAAAAGCTAGGATTTATGTAAAGAATTACCAGGAACAAATATAGTGAAAAATTAACTGGCAGGACAGAGATTTCAATTAAAAAAAATGCAGGATAACATTCTTATCCTAGCCCCCACCCCATAAAAATCAAGTGGTGGCTTCCTTACCAACTCGCCCCGCTTTTAAAAAAAATTGCCCCACTTATGAAAAGGGTTAAATCCGTAAAATACTCCTATCAACAATGGCAACTCGCCTAACTTGGGTAAAATCCAAATGAATATAGAATATAAAAAAAATAAAGGTCTGCCAACTCGCCAGTATTTACTTATCTACCCAGAAATTAGAAGACACTGATACAAAGAAATCGAAATTTAATATATGATATTTATTGATTTAAAATGATGTTTCACTTCTTAAAATATGATTGTAGATTCATTATTTATTATTAAATTATTATGTACTTTATGTATTTATTTATTGTATCATAATCTATTTGATTCTTTTTTTAGCTGACTCAAAATCATGCATGATGATGCTGTTTGGGCCCCCTGGTTATACATAGGAAGTGGACTCCTCGAGAAGATGAAAGGTCTGCTTTACATGTATGTAATGTAAATCTAAATATAAGAAAATGTGGTGATTGCCAATGAGAAAAAATAGAGGAATTTTTAAAAGTGTAAATTCACTTGTTTTTCAATCCTAATAAATCTGTCATATTGTAATGATAATAATGTTTAAATTACGTAATTATTTTCAAAATAAAATATTGTTTACACCAATGAGAAAAGACAACTCTCCACCAGAAATCAAATGACATTGAAGTTAACAACAATAGGTCACTGTACATCCTTCAACAATCATGTCAATGAGCAAAGCCAATACCGCATAGTCAGGTTTTAAAGACCCTATATGAGAATCACAAATTTGTAAATCAATTCAAACCAGAAAACTAACAGACTAATTTATACAATGTAATATATAAAAAACAGAACCAAAAAAACAAAATATTATAAACAGCAACAAACGACAAACTGAACCACTGAATAACACTAACAGGCTTCTGACATGAGACAGACGCATTCAAAAGGTTGTGGTGGGGCTAGACTAGTAGTTTGTGGCACTATACCAACCACCTTAGCTGGGATATTGGTGTGAAAAGGGCTTTTAAAGCAGATTTATACATCCCCAAAACTAAAAAGACTAAGTATAGATCTGAGAGTACTCCCAGTTGCTAACAGCTAGTTCAAAGCCAATAACAACTTTCAAGGTACATGTACATGTATTTACCACCAAACCTTGTCTCGTTTAGTCCATTTCTCAGATATTACCTTATATCAATGAATATCAAATACTAGTTCAACTTTTGGTATAATTTAAACATTTTTGAATGACTTCAAATTTCAAAAAGTATCATGATTATTAAAATAACTTGATGGTAAGTTGATGCCCAAAGATTGGCATTATAAATCATGACAGATTCAGAGATCCAATTATACATGTATATAACCGCTTTTGTTCATCGCTTCATTCAAGGGTCATATGGATTTTATATGATGGATTAGATCATTAGAACATTAAAATGATTAAATACTTTGATTTTTTATAGTTATTTTTATACGCCTGTCAAAATTTTTACGGGACATATTATGGTATACAAATGTCCGGCTTCCGGCTGTCATGTCGCACTGTAACTTGAGAACCACTTATCCAAATTTAATGAAACTTAACATAGTCGTTTCTTATGATGGTCAAACTATCTGCATACTTTTTGGTGAAAATAAGATTTAAACTTTCGTAGTTACAAGACTTTATAGCTAAAACAGGGGTGTGTTTTTTTCACATGTCGAGCCGTATCTCAAAAAACATGTATTATTGTTGCTTAAAACTTTACACACTACTTATTTATATTAATCTTAAGATCTGTTTACTTTTTGGTGATGATTCAAAATTTTATTTTAGAGTTATTGAGTTTTTTGTAAAAAAGGGGGGTTTTAACATGTCGCGCCGTATCTCAGAAACTATTTATGATTATTGCATAAAACTTCACACACAAGACGACGGGTGTATCATGCGCTCGTGGCACAACTGTTTATTAGCTTTTCTCATCACAAGGCGTCTGTCGTCCTTGTCCATTGCTGTTAACTTTTACAAAAATCTTCTCTTCTGAAACTAGGGAGTCAAATTGAACCAAACTTGGCCACAAACATCATTAGGATATTTAGTTAGAAATATGTGTCAGATGACCTCTCCTGCTAACTAACATGCCAACATGGCTAAAAATAGAACATAGGGGTAAAATGCAGTTTTTGGCTTATACATGTGTAGGACTCGGAGGTGCGATGGGGACGCTGAAGTGCGATGGTCCACACCGAAGTGCGATGGTCCTTTCGATAAAGTGGGATGATTTTGCATGATGTTTGATATTGTGACGTTTTCAAATACAATGTTATGAAACAAATGGATTCACAGGCAGGAGAATAAGATTTGTAGATGAAGGTTTCGTACGTACTAAGGAAAGGAAACAGAATGAAACGAACGATTTAAGTCCCAAACAGTTTTGAGCATGTCTTGGTCTTATATAAAATTTGACTTCTCCTCAAGTTAACATCACATGATTTTGTGTGGCCAACTTTTAAAATAATAAATTAATTATTAGCAATGTTTTCGTTATATCAAGTAGCGATAATTTTGTTTTATTCTCGAAATGAATCCGGCATGCTTTGTAAGAAAACGGGCAATCTTGGTTATTTTATTTTGTTTAAAGTATTAATATTCTGCTATGGTTTAGGCCAAAAGAAACCCAAATGGTGCCAACTTGTTGTAATTCTCAGTTTCTGCTGCTTAGCGAAAAATCAGCTAATTCTCAAGCAATGACAGAACAAGTGTCATGTCTCACTATATGTCAAGCATAAATGTAATCGGTAGTTTTTTGTCGAGCCTGTGACTTTTGTCGCAGAAAGCTCGACATAGGGATAGTGATCCGGCGGCGGCGTTAGCTAACTTCTTAAAAGCTTTATATTTTAGAAGGTGGAAGGTCTGGATGCTTCATACTTTGTATATGGATGCCTCATGTTACGAAGTTTCTGTCAGTCACATGTCCAATGTCCTTGACCTCATTTTCATGGTTCAGTGACTACTTGAAAAAAAAGTTAAGATTTTTTGTAATGTTAGATTCTCTCTTATCATAAGTAATAGGATAACTATATTAAGTATGTGCGTACCTTGCAAGGTCCTCATGCCCGTCAGACAGTTTTCACTTGACCTCGACCTCATTTCATGGAACAGTGAACAAGGTTAAGTTTTGGTGGTCAAGTCCATATCTCAGATACTATAAGCAATAGGTCTAGTATATTCGGTGTATGGAAGGACTGTAAGGTGTACATGTCCAACTGGCAGGTGTCATCTGACCTTGACCTCATTTTCATGGTTCAGTGGTTATAGTTAAGTTTTTGTGTTTTGGTCTGTTTTTCTTATACTGTATGCCATAGGTCTACTGTATTTGGTGTATGGAATGATTGTAAGGTGTACATGTCTAGCGGGCAAGTGTCATATGACCTTGACCTCATTTTCATGGTTCAGTGGTCAAAGTTAAGTTTTTGAGTTTTGGTCTTTTTTTCTAATACTATATGCCATAGTTCAACTATATTTGGTATGTGCGTACCTTGCAAGGTCCTCATGCCCGTCAGACAGTTTTCACTTGACCTCGACCTCATTTCATGGATCAATGAACAAGGTTAAGTTTTGGTGGTCAAGTCCATATCTCAGATACTATAAGCAATAGGTCTAGTATATTTGGTATATGGAAGGACTGTAAGGTGTACATGTCCAACTGGCAGGTGTCATCTGACCTTGACCTCATTTTCATGGTTCAGTGGTTATAGTTAAGTATTTTTGTTTTGGTCTGTTTTTCTTATACTATATGCAATAGTTCAACTATATTTGGTGTATGGAAATATTTTATGAACTATTTGGCAGTCACGCAGGTTTTATTTGACCTTGACCTCATTTTCAAGGTTCATTGCTCAGTGTTAAGTTTTTGTGTTTTGGTCTGTTTTTCTTAAACTATAAGCAATGGGTCAACTATATTTGTTGTATGGAAGAATTGTTAGCTGTACATGCCTGCCTAGCATGGTTCATCTGACCTTGACCTCATTTTCATGGTTCATTGGTCAATGTTTAGTTTACTTGGTTAATGTTAAGTTTATGTGACAGTTGTAATAAAACTTTATATTTAGGACTATCAACATAATATCAATGATTAGTAAAGAAGGCGAGACATTTCAGCGTGTGCACTCTTGTATTTCTTAAAAACTGTTATGATTTATTAAATAAATAGATGCATGAGTGTTGTGAGAAATTTCGTAGCTACTGACATGACAAGAACAAGTTACTAGTATATTTGATAAAATTAAATGTATCCTGCTTAGTTAGTACTACAAAGAGCGCTGTGCTATACCCATTTTATTTTTTATCGCACTTGAATGCTCATTATAAAAACAATGTCCCCCAACTCGAATCCATTATACTTAATCTGAGCCATCCAGTCTATTTTCTGCCTCATACTGTGTATACTAAGCAAAACAATAACAAATTAAAAATTAAAGTCTTTATTTTGACCTGACCAGAAAACCTGGTCTTCCAAATGCGAGGCTAGCACATTAACCACTACACCGCCACATTTAAAAATGGGATTTCAACTTCAGACCATTGCATTTAGCTAGTATACACAACGTCACAGTTAGACCATCGCACTTCAGCGCACCCACCAAACGCACTTCAGCATATCTAACAACAAGTTAGTGTCACAATGGACCATTGCACTTCAGCGTGTTAACCAACGTACATCAGCATGGACCATCGCACTTCGGCGTGACCATCGCAGTTCGGAGTACCATCGCAGTTCCAAGTCCTACACATGTATCTCTGAGACTAAAGCATTCAGAGCAAATCTGACGTGGGGTTAAAACGTTCACCAGGTTAAGTTCTATCTGCTATGAAATTTTTAGACAAATCAGACAACCTGTTGTTGGGTTGCTGCCCCTGAATTGGTAATTTTAGGGAAATTTTGCAGTTTTTGGTAATTATCTTGAATATTATTAGAGATAGAGATAAACTGTAAACAGAAATAATGTTCAGCAAAGTAAGATCTACAAATAAGTCGACAGGACCAAAATTGTCAATTGACCTTTTAAGGAGTTATTGCCCTTTATAGTCAATTTTATTAACCATTTTTCGTAAATTTTTGTAATCTTTTACTAAAATCTTCTCTAAAACTGCTCGGCCAAATTTAACCAAACTTGGCCACAATCATTATTGGGGTATCTAATACTATTTATTATGATTTAAACGTTATTTTACATGATTTCCAAAACCACAGTGGATACTGGTGAGTGACTGAGGCTCTTGGAAGCCTCTATTTTTTCAGGGAAAGTTTGTTGGTCTAGTTTTAAAAGATCAAACTAAGCCAATTTTGCCGGATCAAATATTAAAGGCAATTTTGGCAGATATTATAACTTCATTTCATTAACCATTATTTCTTTTAGCATTTTCAATGAAAGTACAAGTACTTTGAGAAGTAGGAGAAGCTAAGCAACAGAACAGAATTCATTTGGGTCATTGATGTCTAGATTATATAGTGGATTCATAGATTGTCATATTGATTTATGTGCATATGAGCACAGAGGAGCAGTAGTCAATGAATAATTTTGTGATGAGAGGTATGTTATTAAAATGATGACTTTATTTGAATATTTTTTTCTTGTCAGACTCGGTACATCATGTTATTGTACATGTAGTTTCCAAGATTATTTTAAAGTTTGAGGTCATAGAGTTCAAAGTTTTGATTCTTGTTGTGGGCAAGTCGAAAATTATCCATGTTAGAAGTGACAAATTATTTTTTTTACAAAACCGTAAACAATTTGTTGATATTCGTGATGAGGTCAGTTTAAGGAAACCAAGAAATAACTTATGGTAAAGTCATTAATATTGTGCAGTTGTAGTAATAATACTCCTTAGTACTTAACTTAAATGTTGACAAGTTTCTGATTCCTTGATACAAGTCTGAATTTGGATTGTAAATAAATATTTGACACATTATAGTTTTCTGAATAAATGTAGTCAAAGAACTTGACATTGGTAACACAGCTACTTTTGCATAGCTACTATTTCTGTACCAAAATTATGTAGTACTGGAAATCTACTTTTAATATTTAGTACCATTTTGTTACTTTAAAATTATCATGATATTAAGTTCCTGTATTTTACAGTACTTGATTTGTACTTGAAATTTAAGTACTACAGTTTTTTATTCATGTTATTACACCGTTACATTTTCAGCATTTTGATAGTTTGTCTATTTCACATCTCTTAAAGTTATGATTTTCAAACATGGAATATTATGATCACTGTGGGTATTATTTCTGTACCAAAATTTTTAGTACAAAACAAGTACTGTAAAATACTGGTACCTTACCTAAATATTACAATAATTTTTGAGTAAAGAAGTAGTACTAAATATTAAAAGTAAATGTCCGGTACTAAAGATTTTTAGTACAGAAATAGAGTAAAAAGGATAAGAATGTAAGAAAAATGCTCTGGTTACCAACCAATCAAAATCCGGCATTACTATATAAGGTTGAATTTATAAGGAAAATTGCATTGCAAGCAATCCCAAACAGGCCTACATTTCTTGCAGATGAATTATATATGAAAAAGTTTAAAAGAACAAACAATTTTTTTATACAACCACAATATGGGGTCGTATACTGCTACACAGTATACTGCTATCACATTGTTGTCCTTTAAAGACATTTGGTTTCTGGACAAAAAACTTTAGTTTAAGTGTATGGTACTCTTTAATCTAAAGGTTCAATACCCAGTGGCGGATCCAGAAATTTCCCCCCTATAATGTGTCAAATATTTGATTACAATCCAAATTCAGACTTATATCAAACTTGAATATTGTGTTCATTTTTACCCCAACTGTTCAGGGTTCGTTTCCAGCTTTGCTTGGGAAACCGTTTATTGAAGTTTATTTTGCTTTTTGACAGAAAATTTATCCATTGCCAAGGTACATTGAAAGGTTTTTCTTTTATTAAAATATGCACATATATTTATATTAATTTTTTATAAGCTTAACTGTTGATCTTCTTTCTGTTGTTTGCATACATTTTGTTTCAATTCACTCAAAAGTAAAAGTATATAGTAAAGGTATAAATTAGTGAGCATCAATTCATACTACATGTAGTTTTTGTCTGGACTTCTTGATTAAATTATTTATATATACAATTTTAGCTTGTAACCAAATGAAAGGAAAGTACAGTATTGACAATGATTGATATCACTGGTGAACATGTATGTCATGTAGGTGTGAATGTCCTGCAAAAAAGAACTGATATCAAAGTAAGTTCATCTGTAGAATTGCAGTTAATTTAAATAATTTGATGTTATCTACCTAAAACTGTTTCAAGTATAACTGTACATGTACACTGTTGCTTATTTTTCTCACTTTCCCATGTAATGTATGCATCAAGGCATCCTTACTTTGCCCCTTCTACTGCTCCATACACACACACTTGAGATGTCAGAAGTTCAAACTATCATAGCATTTACATTTCAAACTTACACAGCTACAATAGTACAAGTAATCTTGATGTACAGTTCTAAAGATGCATATCGAATGTACATCAGTAAAGCTGTATATAAACTGTACAGCTGTAAAGCTGTATATCAACTCTACAGTTTACAAACAGTTTTACAGATGTACAGTTTATATACAGCTTAACAGCTGTACAGTTGATATACAGCTTTACAGATGTACAGTTTATATACAGCTTTACAGCTGTGCAGTTGATATACAGCTTTACAGATGTACAGTTTATATACAGCTTTATAGCTGTACAGTTAATATACAGCTTTACAGATGTACATTCGATATGCATCTGAGAACTGTACATCAAGATTACTTGTACTAAAGTAGCTGTGATATAGACATCAATCTTATTCTACGAGAAGAGAAAAAGGGGGGGGGGGAATCAGAATCAAAGGCATGTATAATAGATGTGCCATTTGACTTTGGTACACTCAAAATGATTGCTACATGTACTACCTTGACAATGTCCAGTACGGGGTGACATCCTCCGCTATTGCTTGCAATAGCAAATCTAGTGTTAGAATAACCTTAATCGCCATTCATTTTTTCTGATGTAAGAAGAGGAAATAGAGTATATTTCTCAATCTTACGTGTAAAATTGTGCGTTAGATATTTGACACTGAACAACACAAAACAAGGAATAAACCAATGCAAAATGTGTCATTTTAGGCTATACAAAGTATTGATCAATCAATCAAATCATGATTAAAGTGATCAAATCATGATAAGAGATCAATCAATCAAGTTTTGATATCAAACAAGTAATTAATCAAGTGCAGAATTCGAAAAAAAAATGTCCCCTCACCTTTTACAAACTGTCAATCAGTCGATCAATCAATCAATCAAACGATCGATCAATCCATCGATTGATTGATCAATCATGATCACAAACCATCAATCAACCAATCCACATAATTTTTCCGATCAATTTATGAAAGAAAATACCTTTAATTCGCTTTTGAACAATCGACTTTTGCGTATTATTATGTCACCCCTTTGATAAAAGGGGGGACATATTGTCATTCTACGAATTATTCTTCCACACTTTTTGTCCAGCTTAGTTCTCGGAGATGACTTGACATACATTGATAAAACTGCTCCATAATGACAATCCCCATGTGCAGATGTGCACTTTGGGTTTGGAATTTTCAAGATGGCTGCCGTTACCATGGAAATGGCAAAAATGTGAAAAACCGAAAAATGGTCCAAATTAAATGAAACTTTATAGCTGTACAGTTAATATACAGCTTTACAGATGTACATTCGATATGCATCTTGAGAACTGTACATCAAGATTACTTGTACTAAAGTAGCTGTGTACCTAGTCAGACTGGCCTATATTATGTATTGATAAGTTGTTATCATTTAGAATACATAAAATATTTGCCACTGGACATTAAAATAAGCAAAAAAAATCAACCAATTAATGATTTTGCATTATCAGAATGAATTTGCAAACATATAGCAATCAGATTATGTACATGGATAAACCTTGGAGCTTTTTCAATGAACCAGGTTTAACCAGCATATAAATATAAAAAGATGAGGTATGATCCTCAATGTGTCATTTAAAAGACCAAAGAACATTATTATTTATATAATATAATGCTATTTCACACTTTCAATTTTGTTTTTTGATCAGAATGTTTTTTTGTCAAAACATAGCCATAAGTATTTCTATTCTTGGCGGCATTGTCAACGATTTGTATAAAGCTTTATATTTCAGAAGGTAGAAGACCTGGCCTTGAAGTCATAAAACTTTTGAGTCAGATTTTTGTACTCATACTCCAAAATCAACCAATCAAAATGTTTGATTTCATGTTTCGAGCATAATTTTTGTGCTCCGAGCACTGAGCAAAGTTTTATGACTTCAACCACTGGACTTCATATCTTGTTTGCAGAGGCTTATGTTACAAAGATTCTGTCTGTCATATGTCCATTGTCCTCGACCTCATTTTCATGGTTCAATAACTGCTTGAAAAAAATATATAGTTCTTTTGTCATGTGAATTTCTCACTTATGACATGTATGAGTTATAGGATATTATAACTATATTTGGTATATGGGTTCCTTGCAACATCTACATGTCTGTTAGAAGGGTTCACCTGACTTCTTCTTCACTTTTTTGATCAGTGACAAGGTCCATTTCTCAAATCCTATAAGCAGTAGGTCAACTGTACATGTATATCAGTCTGGCAAGTCAGTCTGGCAGGTTTCATCTGATCTTGGGTATGACCTCATTTCATTTATCAATGTTAAGTTTTTGTATTTTTGCTGATTTTCAAGTACTACAAGCTTAAATATTAGGTCAACTATATTTGGTGTATAAAAAAATCGTTTGGTGTAGATGTCTGTCTGATAGGATTTATCCGACCTTCACCTCATGGTCAAAGATCTGTAAAGTGTTAAGATTTTGTGATACTTTTAGTAATTTTACCTTTATCTTAAAGAATTTCAACATAAAATAAATGGTCAGCATGTGCACTCTAAGTCTTGTTGAGGTACTGGTTACCTATGAGTTGTACGCTTAACATGCTTTGACAATTTTGTAAATACATGTACTGGTTCAACCTACAGCTTGTATTTAATAGAGGCTCTTCCAAGTTACGGCTATGGTAGTTTGATCAAAATTCCTTCATTGTTTGATTAATCTATTGATACTGTTTCTGCACATTGATATATGAGTACACACACAACTTTGTTTTAAGATTTCATAAAAGTAAAGTAAAAGGAAAGGCTTACATTAGTTTGACAGCAACCTTACAGCAAAAAGTACAATAAACATGGACATGACAGCAGTTTTTATACAACCGCCAAAAATCACATCATCGTCCGAAATTAAAAAAAAAAATTTCATCAAATATTATTTGGGGGAGGGGTGTCAATTCGCAACAGCATAGTGTACTGCACAAAAGCAAAAAAATGAATATAAATTCAAATCATATAACCAATTCTAGTTCTTTGACTACATTTATTCTGTGTCAGAAACCTATTATTTGTCAAATATTTAATAACAATCCAAATTCAGACCTGTATCAAGTGCGAATATTGTGTCCATTTTTGCCCCAACTGTTCAGGGTTGGACCTCTGCGGTCCTATCCAGCTGCACTCGGCAAAGCAATTTAATTTAACATGCTAAAACTCACAATATGTCATAGGCATATACTTTGTAGGCAGTTTGGGACCTCTTAAGTGTATTAGACTATTAATTATTATAACATTACTTCATGGAAGTTAAATTTATATTATTTATGAATATTTTATTTCAGTTACCATTCACAGTGAACATGGTGAAGAATAACCAATACCATGAATACAGGACATAGAAGACTACCTCACAAATATGGGAATTTTACAAAAAATACAACATTTAAATTTACAAAGAAGACATTTATTTTGACATTCATGGACTTTGAAAGTAAAGAAATTAGAATGTGAATAAAAATCCTTGGAAATAAAATTTTGAACTTTGAAGGAGATTGAAGATTATGTTTGTTCTAAGAAAGTTTTAAGAAAACAGATACATTCAAAACTGTAAAAAGGAAACAATACAATATTCACAATTACTCTTGAGATCAATTACTCTTGATATATAATTAAAAGATCATATAAAAGTAAGGAAATTTGGTTGAATTGCCAATGAGAAAAATATCCACCAGAGTTCAAATGATGTGATAGTGAGCAATTATAGGTCCTCCAACAATGAAAAAAAAACAACTATATAGTGTGCTATGAAAAGGTTTGGATATGACAAATAGAAAACTAAGAGCCTTATTTTAACATGTTAATATATGAAAGCAAAATATGAACCAAAGACAAGCACTGAAATACTTATGATTAATGTTGATTTACTCTTGAATATTCATGTAGAATGTTTAAAAAGATTTTAAATCAAAGTTATCATCAATATTCAACTTGTTAAACAACAAGTCACTGTATGACAGAAAGTTCTATGCCAAAAACCTTGTATGTATTGCATCAGAAACAAATTTTAGATAGAACACTATATTAGGGAATGCAGATAAAAAGTATCATCACCTTAAAATAAAGTATAGCATTTTGTCATTGACAGTTCCATCAAAAGTTTCAGCAATATAACTGTTACATAAAAATCAAACCATACAGGTATTTTTTTTCAAAATATCTCTATATAATAATATGCATAATATTAATAGACGTTATACGTCCGTGGTACAAAAAATCCGTATTACGGACGTGGTACTAAACATCCGTATTACGGACGTAGCATTATAAATCCGTATTACGGACGTTTAACGGATGTTTTACGGTTTGATACGGACGTATTATGGATGGGAAGCAACGGACGTTTTACGTCCGTGGTACTATTCGTCCGTAGGTTTTCCGTATAATACGGACGTATTACGGATTTTTTACGGACGTAATACGTCCGTAGCTATTTTACCTGTGTATGTTTATTGTAACTTCTCTTCTTTGAACATCTTATTTTTTGGTGTATATTTTTTTTGAAATAATTTCATATTATGGATATATCTCTCTAATTGAAAGCTCTGATTCCATGTCTGGATTTGGCTATACTTTAGGTTCTTTGGATTTGGCTATACTTTAGGTTCTTTTTAGTTTGAACAGCTCTTCAATGTTTTTATTAGTTTTGGATTTTCATATATTTCGGCTCAAGCATCACTGAAGAGACATTAATTGCTAAAATGTGCATCTGGTGCAGAAAAATTTGTACTGTTAATGCTATTGAAAAGAGACATTGGGATTGAAATATTTGTTTTGGATATTTCCACAAAATTGATATGTCCTGAGTATTTATCCTTTTGACATTTACATATTACTTACATTAACTGTAATGTTATCTTCTGTAGGGATGGCATGTAGTTGGAGAACCTCTGTCTTTAATCAATAGAACATCAGAAGAAATTTACAAGGCTTTGAAAGATGCTGCACCCTTTCTGGCTAGGATATATGCTGTATTAAAACAGAGTGCTATAAACTTGAACTGCCTGTCAAATAAAAAGGGAGAAAACTTCTTAAACTATATCAGAAAGGTATGAATTACTTCCCCTTATTTATCAAACATTTGGCATAGTGAACTGTCCTGAGATTCAGGTAAAACAGTAAGTTATATAGAATGGAAAGAGATGTTTTATACAGAACCTTTTTCGTCTTATTTATCCATTCTGAATAGGCCATTTGTAATGTAGGAGATAAATATTATATGTTAAGGATGTGATATGAATAAAAGAAGGTATGGGGTATAGTTAACCAACAACAAAAATTAAACAAAAGACATCTCAATTGAAATGTAAGAAGTCAGTGTTACAGTATAAACATGATAAAAGGATGATTTTTGCATGTAAATTCCCTGTTCAAGAATATATTGTGTTAAAGGTCTTTTGTGCTTTTCAGGTTTCATAATTTTGGCTGTGCAAATTTGAGATATGATGAAAACCTCATAAACATGAATCATATCATATGTTTAATGCTCTTGTCAAGTGCATATATGACATTCTATGATAAATAACTCATTTAATAACTCTTCCAATAATTACCTATAGAAGTGTACTAAAGTTATTCCACTAGTATCTACATCCTGATATGCATTTGCATTCATAATATAATCTCTGGTTCAAATGTACAAGTTTTTAAGATCATGTTACCTGCACTGTGGTCATTGTCACTGATCATATAATTATTTCTGTTTAATTTAGGAAGGTATTGATACCAAAAACTTAAGTGATGCATACAAAGTGATACATAAACTGGTATCAGAAAGTGAGGACAGGGACCAGTTCATCAGTCCACTTAATAGGTAAATATGAATTAAAGCAGTGGATTGCTTTGAGAACAAGATATTGAACAATAAGCAGTCCACATCAATTACAATACCTGACTTCCCCCGAATATAAATAAAAGTACAAGCAAAGACAAACAACTACTGTAAATTCAGAAATTATTGCGTGCATTTATTATTGCGATTGTGTCATTTTAGACTAAAATGCGATTTAAATTTTTGTGATATTGAGAAAAATATTGTTTAATTCATATAAAAAATTCCAAAATGTGAGTTTAAATTATTGCATTTATAACCCTGTCACATTTTCGCAATAATAAAAACATCGCAATAATTTCTGAATTTACAGTATATTTTTATAGCTGGTCATCCAAATAGCCTTACTTGGTGTGGTACAGTTAAACCTAGCCTAAATGCTTTAGAAGTTAAACAAGCAATAAAAAAGCCTGCACACTCAACCAAACAACAGGATGGACAATGATTTGAATAGGGAAATACATAAAGGCGCATCATTTGGAAAACACGTTCAAATTTGCTCCCTTTTAGCTTTTAGCTACAGCTTTTGGGAGAATAAAAGACCTTTAAATAAATCATATAAAGTAGGGTTTTGGTTTATATTTCAGAAGCTACTTACAGAATGGTAAAATTTCCTTTATATCTGATTTACAAGGGTTTTGGTTTATATTTCCGGGTGCTAATTTAAGAGTGGTAAAATTTCCTTTATATCAGATAAACAGGGATTTTGGTTTATATTTTTAGGTGCTACTTACAGAATGGTAAAATTTCCTTAATGTGTGATAAACAGGGGTTTTGGTTTATATTTTCAGGTGCTACTTACAGAGTGGTAAAATTTCATGGCTATGTCCTGACCACCAAAACAAGGCTGGTATAACTCAGCTGCAGATTGGTACAGCAAGTATACATGGCACCTCTCGGGTACTGATATTTGAGGAGGACAAACTACTGAAAGATTTATCAGTAGCTTACAGGTTCTTGTTCTTGGAGAAACAAGGTGGAAAGGATGGCCCATCTGTCCAGAAGGAAAAGTCATTTGTTAGGAAGACTTCAGGGCTGAAGAAAGAAAAGTCAGATGTTGGAAAAGTTAATGTTGAGAAAAAAGTGGAAGAAAATAATACAAAAATCAGTGAGGAACGGACTCCACGTAAAAAGAAATCAGACAAAACTGTGAAAATTGCAGGTTTGTGTCTTATTATTCAGTATTGTATTGTTGACAACTATGTTTTTAGGTAAGGAGGGCATAAAGTGTTACCCTTCACCATCCGTCCGTCCGTCTTTCAATCCTTCTGTCCGTCCATCCCATTTATGTTTTCACACTTTAACTCATGTTTACCTCATCTAAATTTTCAAAAAAAAACCTCATTCACAATGCTTAGAACTAAAACTTACAGACAGAGATCAAAATTGGGCAGTAAGTCACTTACCGTTCTAGAGTTATGCCCCATTTTAACTTGGAAAATTGCAAATGTTTTAGTTTCCACACTCTAACTTAAGTTTTCCTCATCCAAATTTTATGAAACTCATACACAATGCTAAGACCAAAACTCAAGGACAGAGTTTGAGTTTAGACAGTGAGTCAACTACCGTTCTAGAGTTATGCCCCTTTATAACTTGAAAATTAGCAAAGCTTGAGCAAGGCATTCAAGTCCTCAGACACACTCTTCTTTTATTTCCTCAATATGTATACAGTTTGAAAATGAAGTTGAGGGTGGGGTAAATTAACAAATCAGTGTTGATTTATACGTCACCCAATTTTTTTCACATCATAACTGGTCATGGTTATAGATGATATGTATATATATGGATATTGTATGATGTCAAATCATGGTAATTAAAGACATGAAAAACAGTTAAAATTCAAAGTTAAGATGTTTTTATCTACAAACAGTTAAAATTTTAACCTGAGGCAAAATAAGATCCATGAGGTTTTTGCAATGGCAAAAAAAATTTCTATAAATCTTTCCTAGAAAAAAAAAAAAAAAAATCAAAATTAACTGAAGACATAAAACTTGTATAAAGTTTCAATACAAGCTAGAGTAAATTTGTTAAACCTTTCCAATCCGTGGAGGGTTATTCCTACAGACTGTTTTAATTATTATTTTGTGTACCTCAGAAATGTCCACAAGCATTCCCAGTAAACCAAACTCACCATCCACATCAAATACTGAGGATGGTAAAAAGAAAATGTCATTGAAGACTGTGAGCACAATAGTTGGTGGACTTGCCAATGCTAAGACAAGAAAACAAAGCAGTAATATCTGCTCTCTACAGTAATCTTTGTATGTGTTTGGAATTTTTCCGAAAAAAAATTCTCATTGGTAGGATTTCCTCTAAATCAAACCAATAAAATCACTGGATTTAAAGGATTTCCACGAAATCAAACCAATCAAATCACTAGATTTTAAGAGTTTAAAGAAAACCCATTGATTTGAGGAAATGCTCAATTTGAGAGTTTTCTGGAAAACTTGTTTATATTCACTGCTTTGTTAATATATATTAAGTTTGTGTTGGTACTAACCCATTAAATGAGAAAAATGTACTTGGTAGTGTACTTATTACTATGTAAGAAAGCTTAAACAGCATTTGATCAGGACTTTGTTGTAACTTATGGGCCATATCTAAGTGTGCATATAGTGTTGACTTCAGATATATATGTGTGGGTCAGAAAGGAAGGAAATGAAATTTGAAGGGAAAATGGTTCTCCTGGTGTAAAAAAAAGTTAAGGAAGATTTCTATGCCCCATTTATGGGCATTATGTTTTTCGGTCTGTGCGTCCGTTCGTTCGTTCGTTCATCCGTCTGTCTGTCCCGCTTCAGGTTAAAGTTTTGGTTAAAGTTTTTGGTCAAGGTAGTTTTTAAAGCAATTGCTTTTATGCCATCGCGTATGGCCATCTTTGTGACGCAAATCAGAGACTCCGCCCAGATCAAGCCATAGTATTTTGTTAAACAGGCTCCTGGTCTGTCATTCTTAAACACCTATGTATGTTTTCTAATGCAATACATAGCTTGAAACTTTTGAAAAACGTTAGTGGATTTAAGAGGTTTCAGCATATGTTCTTGTAGATGTATTTTTGTATTTAGGGGGACAACCGTTTGACTATATAAAAACATAGAAGTCTGAGTGAAAAAAATGCATTTTTATACTTGCGATTCCGTTCTCCTTTCGTACGATGTTTCAACAAAATATCGAATCATTTCAGTTGTTGATTTAGTATTGAAAATTTTACTGAATTATCTCTTATTAAATACAGTTTTATATGTTTAATTGGTGTTTCTCTAAGAAAGAGGCCAGGTGCTCTTGTTCATTCATAAAATTATCGTTCATTCATAAAATTATCGTTCATTCATAAATTTATCGTAAAATCAAAATCACTACACAGGTTATACGTAGTGTCAAAGGATTACCTGTAATCTAAAAATAGACAAACTTAACTGACCTATTTTGTTGATTTGTTTGCGCAAATAATTTAGCAGAACGAAACGCTTGTTAAAAACACATAACAATAAGTTTGTTTTCCTTTTTTGTCATATTTACTCCGTAAGATTTATCGATCACCTTACTAATGAAATAGACCCGTCAAAACGTGATAGATGCCAAGTCCAGATGAAGAGATATTTACAATTTGGAATTTTCTAGTTTCATAGATTGAAAAAAAGTACGTCCTTTTGGATATCATAATCAAAACTGGGTATGTATGACAAATGATGAAACCATTATCCTCGTCTTTCCAGTGGACGAGTCTACTACGTGTGTTGACACTCGACGGTCCACCGTGTTTGCAATTTTATTTCACATGTTTTCGAAATATTGAAGATCATTTTTCGCATTGTTTCCTGAAAATTGATAAATATCAAAGCAACGAAGAGCTGTTTGTTCTTGTTCGTATAATGACGATTTAATGTCATGTTTGTCTGTGATGACCCCCCTTTTCGGGATTGCATGAGAATTATAGTCATCTCGTACCGCATGAGGATGACACATATCAACTGAGCAATAATGTTTGGCACTTAGTTTTAAGAAATGAAGACAAAGTAACATTATGAAAATATTTTTAGTAAGCTGAAATATATATTTATTTTTTACATGTTTATGTCTTGTAAGATATTTTATTTCTTTCCCGTTTTTCAACATTTGCGTCTGGAAAGTTGAAATGTTTTAATTGAATGGTTAAATTTAAATTAATTATGGTAATTGTTAAAATTAAATCAATAAAGGAAATTATTGCCCAGTTACAAACACTACCAGGGGATAATTTCTTTTTGAGTTATATGTTTCAGCACATGTAAATCTGACCCCAACTCTAGCCTGGTAAACGTGTTGTCTCCTTGTGAAATATAAAACATATCAAAAATGACTTTCTGCTAAAGTCTTTTATTGATATAAAGTTAAAACCTTCTTACTTCTCACTAGACAACACTCCTGTCAGGTTTAATTCTTATATATATGTGTATGAAAAAGTCCCAAAAACATTAACATGGCAGCAATTGCTTTTACAGCCTTTAAGGCTTTGATTGATGAAGTTGAAGTCCAATCAACTTGAAACTTAGTACACATGTTCCCTATGATATGATCTTTCTAATTTTAATGCCAAATTAGAGTTTTGATCCCAATTTCACAGACCACTGAACATAGAAAATGATAGTGCGAGTGGGGCATCCGTGTACTATGGACACATTCTTGTTTAAAGTTTATTTGGTCTTTTCTGTGTCAAAAGTCTTGAAATGTGATACACATATATACTCCTAATTAAGTGACTATACTGTCAATAGTTCCAAATACCACCAGCTCATAGAGGCTCTGAATCCCTATTTATGAATTCCTCTTTAAATAAAAAAAAATTCTCATTTAAACCCAAAAAATAAAAACTCTTCCTGGATTTTTGAGCAAGTGTTTACTGTTCTAAGTGTCAAATATGTGGTCTGGAGTAAAATGTGGAATGATAGTGCTAAAAACAAACATGCAACATTTTGCATAAATTTAATCACTGAAATGCATTACTCTTTTAGAAGACCATCCTTAAATTATTTTGATGTTTACCTGTCATATAATGCTATTGAATTGTATTAATGTTAGTTCATCACTACATCAACCTTGTACAACACTTCTGTCATGGTGGCCTACATTTTATGGTTGAATAACTTTAGGTAAGTTCTGGGTTTCCGTTTGATGCAAATATACCAATAGGACAATATCAATGATATTTTATCCCTGCAGTATTGATACATAGTCAGCATCATTTGGATCAGTATGACTTACATTTCACTCTATAATAACTTTAATTATGTTTTGAGTTTTGATTTATCTGTTTTACTATATTTCACGACTTGAGTTTTGTGTTGAATACACACCTGTTCAGCAACTTTTGGGTCAATGTTTATATGAAGAAAAGGAGATGTTGGGATATTCATCTATGACACCACATCTCAATGACACAAATAACCAGAACACATCTTCAGGCAACATAAATCATCCAGATAATAAAAAAAGTTTTTAAAAAATTAACAGAAACTATTATCAAACTGTAACCAAAGCGAAATTCTCCAAATAACCAAAATTTTAAGAAATACATAATCACTATTCCATGATGGGTCAACTTAAGGTCAACTTAAGGTTATGTTTTGGGTTCATTTCAAAGAAACCTGTTATGAATCAATACCAGTGATATAACCCACCACAGGTTGCCTGTATAATACAATGAAAAGAGGGAGAAGATGTCAACGGGGAATCAAAAACCAGTAGTTAAAGAAAGACAACTCCATGTACAAAAGAAAAAAGATAAACGACAGACAACTCCATGTACAAAAGAAAAAAGATAAAAGACAGACAACTCCATGTACAAAAGTAAAAAGATAAACGACAGACAACTCCATGTACAAAAGAAAAAAGACAGACAACTCCATGTACGAAAGAAAAAAGACAGACAACTCCATGTACGAAAGAAAAAAGATAAAAGATAGACAACTCCATGTACAAAAGAAAAAAGACAGACAACTCCATGTACAAAAGATAAAAGATGGACAACTCCATGTACGAAAGAAAAAAGATAAAAGACAGACAACTCCATGTACAAAAGAAAAAAAAAATAAAAGACAGACAACTCCATATACAAAAGATAAAAGACAGACAACTCCATGTACGATAGAAAAAAGATAAACGACAATCAACTCCATGTACAAAAGAAAAAAGATAAAAGACAGACAACTCCACGTACAAAAGAAAAAAGATAAAAGACAGACAACTCCATGTACAAAAGAAAAAAGACAGACAACTCCATGTACAAAAGAAAAAATACAGAAAACTCCATGTACAAAAGAAAAAAGATAAACAACAGACAACTCCATGTACAAAAGAAAAAAGATAAAAGACAGACAACTCCATGTACAAAAGAAAAAAGATAAACGACAGACAACTCCATGTACGAAAGAAAAAAGATAAACAACAGACAACTCCATGTACAATAGAAAAAAGATAAACGACAATCAACTCCATGTACGAAAGAAAAAAGATAAAAGACAGACAACTCCATGTACAAAAGTAAAAAGATAAACGACAGACAACTCCATGTACAAAAGAAAAAAGACAGACAACTCCATGTACGAAAGAAAAAAGACAGACAACTCCATGTACGAAAGAAAAAAGATAAAAGATAGACAACTCCATGTACAAAAGAAAAAAAGACAGACAACTCCATGTACAAAAAATAAAAGATAGACAACTCCATGTACGAAAGAAAAAAGATAAAAGACAGACAACTCCATGTACAAAAGAAAAAAGATAAAAGACAGACAACTCCATATACAAAAGATAAAAGACAGACAACTCCATGTACGATAGAAAAAAGATAAACGACAATCAACTCCATGTACAAAAGAAAAAAGATAAAAGACAGACAACTCCACGTACAAAAGAAAAAAGATAAAAGACAGACAACTCCATGTACAAAAGAAAAAAGACAGACAACTCCATGTACAAAAGAAAAAATACAGAAAACTCCATGTACAAAAGAAAAAAGAAAAACAACAGACAACTCCATGTACAAAAGAAAAAAGATAAAAGACAGACAACTCCATGTACAAAAGAAAAAATATAAAAGACAGACAACTTCATGTACAAAAGAAAAAAGACAAACAACAGTCTACAATTGCTGCACACAAATAAACAAACTTCACCAAAGACCTAGGTAGTTCAGCAACTGATTAGTCACTGTGACAAATGTTTTCTCTTAGAGTTATTGTCAACAGGGATAAAGTGTGTTGCTCTCAGGCTTAAATATGTGCTGTACTGTTTACGAACTAAGTAAAGTGATTCATTCATTTATACTACTATTGCAAGTAGAAAAATTACACAAAAAATTAAGTCCACTAGAAAGTCAAAACACAGGGAAAAAATGTTACAGTATTTAATGTTTCTACAATGTTCTAAAACTCTTTTTAATACATGATAAGTTTTTTTACTCTTTAATTTGCAGATACATCAATTAATATACCTAGTCCATCCACCTCACGTCCTGTCTCAAGTACTAGTAGTACTGCAACCAGTAGTAAAAGTGGTACTTCAACACTCTCTTGGAGGAAGTCACAAAGACACAAGAACAGTCAAGCTTGTAGTATTCAGTGATTACCTTTACCATAGCTTACACTAGACTAGTCAATCTTGTAGTTATTATCTACGGTAGTTTTATTCTGTCTGTTACACAGAACAATTAGCAGGAAATAAAAAGTAATCATACTTTTCATTTAAATTGAATGGCAATTTTTTTATAGAGAAGAAATTTTTACTGATGTGTCTTAATTGAAGATTTTTGCACAGTTGGTGACATTATTAATTTAACCCTCTTTACAATGTTTTAATTGAAGAAATGTAGGTAAATTAAAGGGGAAGGGTATGATAAAAGACACTTTTATATACTAAATCTCAGTTATGATGTCTCGAATGTTATTGTTAACATGTAACGATAGTGTTCAAAAGTTCTCTCAGTTACATTGACATAACTGTATGAACTCTGGTTGTTTTTGCAGTTTTTCTGTAAAGTTTGAATGCTGAAGATGAATGTTAAAAGAAATGAATAATACATTGATATGACTTTCAGGGACCAAAAAAGTAGCCATATCGTACTACCTTCTCTATGTTATTATATTTATAATTTGTTTATTTCTTTTTTGAATTGTTATTGTTGATTAAGTTGTTGTAATATTTTTATAGGATTTTTTACATTTGAATTAACATTTATGTACATTATATAAGAGTTTTAAACATGTGATAGGTCATGGGGTCCCATGGATATTACTAAATACACAAAATCCTGAAATAAAATCACATATCTTTCAATCTAATAAAGATACATCTGTTTAATAAATAAAAACCTTTTTATATGGTCACAGAATAACATTGTTTTTGGAATGTTTTGATAAAATTGGTAAGAGTCTTATTGAAACAAAAAAATAACAGCATAACTATAACCTCAAAACTAAAAAGTCTTAAATATGTCTAAATATGAAACTTTTTTTTTTTTATCTCAAATTGACTAGTATTTTAACACATTCAGGAGAAGGTATATTTTGAACTTTTCTTTTTGTTCTATGATTATAAGTACATGCTTTTTCTTATATATTTTTCGTAGAAAAAAATTGTGATTACATTTTTTTTTTTAACAAAACAAATGGAAAGTGAAGATTTGTGCATTATCTTGAAAGTCAATGTGTTGGCATCCCTAGAAAAATGACTCCTGCCAGAACTTCATCCTTGAAATAATAGTATCAATTTTCTTGGGACTTGTTTTTTGAATTACTTTGCATCTCAGGGAAAAGGTAGTTTAAGTTAGATGCCAAATAATTGAGGAAGTTGTTAATACATGTGTAAAATGTTTCTATTTATAATTTATGGAACAAAGTTAAATAATCCATTCTTGTCCTGTTCTTCTCTAAAATAAAAGGTAAATATAATGAGAGTTTCTCGTAACAACATGATGACTACTGTTATATGAACATTATCATAGTATGCCCATTGACCTCATATGTTTTATATGCATCTTGAAATACCTGACAGTTCTGTCTCAAATACTATGAACTCTATTTGCTCATTCTTTTTATTAATTCTATGTGTTATGTTTGATATTTGTATTCTGTTAAAGTATGACTCCAACAATGCATGTGATATTTGTATCCGTCCATTTCATGTTTTTTGCTATATTTTTACAATTTATAACATATTTTGTTATTTTTTACATTATTTTCTACTGTAGGTATATTGTGTTTTAGGAGGGAAGTAAGATTTTTTTTTGTGAAAATCTAAATGAAACTGCAGTATATTGCTGTGTTTTTCAGTCATAATGATAAACCACATGATACAAAAGATTTTAGTTCATTTATATGTTTTGAAGTTTAGTGTGACGTCCATTTTCACTGAACTAGTACACATTTTTGTTTAGGGGCCAGCTGAGGCCCGCCCCCCTGGTGTGGGATTTTCTCGCTGTGTTGAAGACCCATTGGTGGCCTTGGGCTATTTTCTGCTCTTTGGTCGGGTTGTTGTCTCTTTGACACATTCCCCATTTCCATTCTCAATTTTAATGGTTAAACATCAGACTTGAAATTTTATTATCTCAAATCACAAACAAATGTTTTACAAAATATATGACAAACTGTCAGTGACATACATTTTTTTGGCATGTCTTTGAATATAGTATTAATTCATAGGGTATTAATTTTTTTTTTAATTGTATCTTGACAATGTATATATGTAAAAGATATGGTGGGGCATTATTCAAAGAGAATGAAATCCAACAACACCAAAAACACAGGATATAACTTATAGATTTTGACATTGGATTTAAAAGTAAAAAAGGAGTAAAAATTCTAATGAGCTATGATATGGATAGCTATCCAGTGTAATCCTAAAAAAAAACAAATGTCTAGTTGGACAGAGGAAGAATAATTTCATATTGCATCTTAACTACCAGACAATATAAAAAGTTGTCAACAGCAATAAATGACATAGAATAGACACAATTACATTGAATCAGAAATAACAGAAATAAATGTGAGTATAATAAAAAAACAAAAAAATATTTTCCCTAAACACGACAATATCTATACTATATGTCCTTTGTTAGGGACTGAAGCTGAATTAGTTAATTCATATCTCCACTCCCACTAGAAATGTATCATTTTGGTACATTATAACATAGTATGGGTGCAGTCCAATACAGAATTGTTCAGGTGTGTTTTCTATATGCAACTACTTTTTCATTCTTCGAAGAGAGAAGCAACGTCCATTGAAGATGTGATCTGATTCTGTTTTTATGTATATTTGTTTAATGTTTTGTGTCTACAGTTGACTTATTATCTCAATGTTAATTGAACTGACAAAAATCTTATTTTTGATTTGCAAACTAAAATTGTAGATTAATGATTTAATTTATAAATGAAAGCTTCAGTTTAATAGAGAGATACTGAAAAAATTGAATGAAATTATAATTGTACAAAATTTTAGTGTATTCTGAAAAAAATCCAGGACATCATTTAACATTAGCTTATGAATCAAATGGAAAACAACTGTCATTCTCCTGAAATGATCTCCATGAATGTAAAGTGATCGATCTAACCTTCAATTCTATGACAGTTTTACAATGTTCCATTAAACAGAACAAAACATAAAAAATGTTAGATTAGTATCACTTAATATTATTTGATATAATAATAGAAAAATACACTGTACATGTAAAACCTTATTATTCTTAATATAGTAGCTGAAGTAATCCAAAACCATTCTATTTTGAACATGTAGAATTTATAAACAGAGAACATATATCCTATAGTTAAATAGTATAGCACAACTGAAACATATGTGAAGCTGGGATCTGGTTTCAAAGATAAAGAAAGTAACATAGAAAAAGAAGAGAATAGTTCTAATTATTTTACTTGTATTTGCTATATTAGAGGGTAATACTACTTTGATATTAATAGTTATATCTTTATTTTTGTCTAATCTATATAGTAGCCATATAAAAATTTATAATATTAGTATACCAAGTTCTATATTCAGTTGCTATTAGTCCAAGGGATTTTATTTTGTCTGAATTGGAGGCCTTAACACCAAACTACACATATTTCTTTGTAATTAAGCTGGTCAATCATGTACAGTACATAATTCAATACCGATGTCTTACTTCATTCACAAACTTCTCATTCTCTGAAGTTGATGGCATAAAAACATCTATGGTATATTATGTTAATTTATTGTTTGCTTCCGTCCAATTTATTACAGATAATCTTTTATGACAATCATATATCAATACTACCTTATGGAAAAATCAGGTTTTATATTGTATCATGCTTTTTGACTACCTGATTTTTCATGCTTTTTGACTACCTTATTTTTCATACTTTTCATTTAAAAGGTAATATTTGCCTGTACTAGTCTTGTAACTGGGTCATGTGTTTCCTTTTTATATGCAAATTGTTGTTTTATGGATGTTTATGAGAGAAAAAAAATATCAATGTATCCTTGTTATTAATTTATGCTTTTGATTGTTGAATGCATTTAACATTAACTAAATTCAATTAAATTTTCAAATGAACAAAAACCTTGAGGTTATAGATTTTTTTTAACCTTAAATGTCTTGAAATATCCATGAAGGTTTTTTATTGTACATTTAATGCAATTTTCTCAATCTTATACAACACACTTTGTAGTGTAATTATTTTTTCTGTTAATCAATAAAATAATTAACCTTATGTGTTATGTCGTCAATTTAAAAAAAAAGAGAGTAATACATTATTAGTATTACATTATAAGGATAAAAGAATGATAGGAACCACCAGAAATACTGGAAAATACAACAGAACCACATCAACCAACTTTTTTTTAGGTTTGAAAGTTTGACTAACTTAAATGTCATTATTTTTTTTTAAATCAAAGAAATCACTTACTCCATGATTCTGTACCCTCTATCGGAGGTTAATGTAGCGACCGTTCTTGAGTCCAAATATAATGAATGGATTAGTAGGGTAGGAAATCACAAGAAAGAAAAAAAAGGATTGACACAGGGTATTGTTTTCTCCCAAATGAAGTCTCTTTAGTTCCAATTAATATTTACCATATGGGTGTTTGACTTACTCATCAGACATGACTATATAGTGCCAATGACGTCTCCAAAAATATATGAGAGGTACCATTCTTAAAATAATCAGGGTTTAATAGTCATTCAGGAAACATACCAAAATTAGAATAGCATCCTTTGAAATTCTTTGTTTAATGTCAATGTGTACGTCATAATGCTTTTTAAAAGATATGCTTGCTAATTGCTTTCTCAAATCATTTCTTCACAGAGACTTCAAGGAAATTTAGAAAATCTAAATTATGTCCTTTGAAAATTCAATTATTCCAAGTTGAAGTTTAGATTATATGTTTAAAAAAATGAAGTTGCTAGGTGCTTTTCCAATATTGCTCTTAAATTGAAAGACTTACAGGAAATTCCAATTTACTAAATATTGAAATGACACCCTTTAAAATCCAATGGTTCCATATAAAAGCTTTGGACATGTTGGACATTATATTTCTCAAAAATATATTGTTGAGATGTAAGTCACATTTTTTGTCGAGCCTGCGACTTTTGTCGCAGAAAGCTCGACATAGGGATATTGATCCGGCAGGGGCGGCGGCGTTAGTTAACTTCTCAAAAGCTTAATATTTCAGGAGGTAGAATACCTGGATCCTTCATACTTTGTATATAGATGCTTTATGTTATGAAGTTTCCGTCTGTCATATGTCCATCGACCTTGACCTCATTTTCATGGTTCAGTGACTACTTGAAAACAAAGTTAAGGTTTTTAGTATTCTTAATTTCTCTCTTATTATGAGTAATAGGATAACTATATTTAGTATGTGCGTACCTTGCAAGGTCCTCATGCCCATCAGACAGTTTTCACTTGACCTCAACCTCATTTCATGAATCAGTGAACAAGGTTAAGTTTTGGTGGTCAAGTCCATATCTCAGATACTATAAGCAATAGGTCTACTATATTTGGTGTATGGAATGAGTGTAAGGTGTACATGTCCAACTGGCAGGTGTCATCTGACCTTGACCTCATGTTCATGGTTCATTGGTTAAAGTTAAGTTTTTGTGTTTTGGTCTGTTTTTCTTGTACTGTATGCAATAGGTCTACTATGTTTGGTGTATGGAATGAGTGTAAGGTGTACATGTCCAACTGGCAGGTGTCATCTGACCTTGACCTCATGTTCATGGTTCATTGGTTAAAGTTAATTTTTTGTGTTTTGGTCTGTTTTTCTTATACTGTATAAAATAAATCAACTATATTTGGTGTATGAAAATATTTTACGATGTACATGTCAGTCTGGCATGTTTTATTTGACCTTGACCTCATTTTTACGGTTCATTGCTCAATTTTAAGTTTTTGGTTTTTGGTCTATTTTTCTAATACTTTCAGCAATAGGTCAACTATATTTGGATTATGGAATGATTGTAAGGTGTACATGTCCAACTGGCAGGTGTCATCTGACCTTGACCTCATTTTCATGGTTCAGTGGTCAAAGTTAAGTTTTTTAGTTTTGGTCCTTTTTTCTTATACTATATGCAATAGGTGAACTATATTTGGTGTATGGAAATACTTTAGGATGTACATGTCTGTCTCGCAGGTTTTATCTGACCTTGACCTGATTTTCATAGTTCATTGCTCAGTGTTAAAATTTGGTGTTTTGGTCTATTTTTGTTCAACTATAAGCAATAGGTCAACTATATTTGGTGTATGGAATGTTTAGAAGGTGTTTATGTCTGTCCGCCAGGTATCATACGACCTTAACCCCTTTTCCATGGCTCATTGGTCAATGTTAAGTTGTAATGCTGAACTTTGTTTCTTAGCAAATATAAGCAATAGGTCAACTATATTTGGTGTATGGAATGATTGTAAGGCGTACCTGTCTGTCTGGCAGGGTTTGTATGACCTTGACCTTATTTTCATGGTTTATAGGTCAATGTTAGTTTTTTTCATCCTTCACTGCCATCTTTAATCACAATAATCAACATCAAAGGTATATCACTAAGTTATTTCACTCTTAACCACAGTTATCCAGCATATCTTCATATAGCGGATAATAGCCTATACAATTAGTAGTATGAAGACACTATGTTAGTTGTCTTCAGCAGGCCTGGCAGCAGCTTTAGCGTTCATATAGGCATCAGCAGCAGCGACATTATCTCATTATTTACAGCTTAAAATTTATAATGTATGTCTGATAGCATTTACTTTCAACATAACTTCAATTAGAAATACACGACAGGCAAGACATTTCTGTGTGTCCACTCTTGTTTTTTTTTCAGAAGGAGGAAGTATGATAAGAATTGGATATTAATGATGAGGCTATGCAGCTAGTTATGGCTGACCATGCGAGACCCTCATGGGTAGTCAAGGTCGTTAAACACCCCCTTAATTAGTATATTTTTGTGTATGTTGGCAGTTCTGCAGATATGTGCGACAGAATTCAAAACTGCAGACTAATGCCAAAAATGTTATTTTGTGGAAATACAATATTTTTTATTCAAGATGCTAGAGAAGTTGCTTTATCATACGTCTTTTCGGTCTGATAGTCTTTCAGGAAATTTACCAAAATTGGAATCGCAGAAGCAATATTGTATTGTATAAATCATTTTGTCTCAATTTATATAGGAATGACTAGTTACATTGTACACAGTCACATGTATTTCTATCCATAAATAGATAATTAAATATGTAAAAATATATATCGTATATAGTTCATACGATACTTTTTTCATTTTTTTAATCATTTACGGATAAAAATTCAATTCGTCGTCTTCGACTTTTACAAAGATCATCTTCTCTGAAACTATACTGGGCCAAATTTAACCAAACTTTTTCATAATCATTCATGGGTATAGGATGAATTTTGCAAAGTATCAGTTTGAAAAATGTGTCCAATGACCCCGCCTGTCGACAAACATGGCCGTCATGGCTAAAAATAGAACAACGGGTTTGTCTTTACCTTTACCTATCCTGTATTTGCCACTTCTATCAGATGAACCACTGGCACTGTTGTCTTTAGTCAGTGTAGATTCTAGTTGAATCCTTATGAATTGTCACAATATGTATTTCCTGGGACACCATGAAAAACGGTGCACTTATAAAATAAGTTATAGATAAATTTAAACAAATATGATTTTTATTTCTCAGATTTACATGCTTACTTATAATAGAAAAAGCATCAAACAAATACTCTGTACACTGTACATACCCCATCAACATTATATCTACAAATTTACAGTTTCCATTTTTGATGGGACTGCAACTTTAAAAATGTCATCACATAGGTATCTTGTCCATATCACATATAACTGTTTACTATTTCACTTCAAAATCATAACACTGATTACGCCGCCTTTGGTGCAAGCTAAAACTGCTGTAGATAGAAAAACAATGTTCAGAATGAAAAAATCTACCAAATGTCTATTGACATCAAAACTGTCATATAGGAGTTATTGCCCTTTATCATCGACGAATTGTACCATTTTTCTCCATTTTTTGCCTATTACCTTGACAATTATATTAGATAAACAGAAACTGTATTAGCAAAAATGATCAGCAAGACAAGATCTACAAGTAAGTCTAACATCATCGAAATCGTCAGACGACATCTTATCTGGGAACAGTATACTAGTATCTATATATATGTTCCTGATCTTATTGGAGTTATTGCCCTTTAATGACGATTTTTACCCCCAAGTTTTTGCATTTAGTCTTATATCTTGAAACTATAATAGATAGACACATAGACACTTTAAAAGCAAAAATGATCACTAAGACAAGATCTACATATAAGTCACCATGGCTGAAATCGTCAGACGACTCCATGTTGGAGTTATTGCTCTTTAATGACGATTTTTATCACTTTTTTGCGTTTTTGCCTATTATCTTAACCCTGGGACTACTATGTCAATATATTATGTCCCAGCTTAAACCTTTACCTTTCAGACATTTTAGACCTTTACTTATCGAAACGACACCATCGAAGTTCAATAGAATATTTGCATTCGCATCAAAGGTACATGCACTGGCCATATTGTTCTCGTATGAAAGATAATTAATTGAATATTCCAGAAAATTATATTTGTAGACAATTGAATGCTTTAATAGATAGATAAAAACTTTAAATAGTAAAAAAGATCCGCAAGACAAGATCTACTAATAAGCTTAATGGTCGAAATCTTCAGTCGACTCGTTATTGGAGTTTTTGTCCTTTGTTGATAATTATTTCCACTTTTTTTTGCGTTTTTTATACCCCACCTACGATAGTAGAGGGGCATTATGTTTTTCGGTCAGTGCGTCCGTTTGTCCGTCTGTCCCGCTTCAGGTTAAAGTTTTTGGTCAAGGTAGTTTTTGATGAAGTTGAAGTCCAATTAACTTGAAACTTAGTACACAAGTTCCCTATGATATGATCTTTCTAATTTTAATGCCAAATTAGAGTTTTGACCCCAATTTCATGGTCCACTGAACATAGAAAATGATACTGCGAGTGGGGCATCCGTGTACTATGGACACATTCTTGTTTTGGCCTGTTATCTTGAAAACTATGTATAGACGAATAGAAACTTTTAGAAGGAAAATGATCAGCAGGATAAAATGTACAAATATGTCAGCATGACTGAAATTGTAAGTTCACTCTTGATAGAGTTATTCCGCTTTAATGATGGTTTTTACTAAAA